GCATAATGCTGAATTGTATTTAACATTAAAAAGTAAGCTGATGTTTTTTTATGTTTTTTTTTCTTCTCAAACAGCCCCCAATCGTGATGGTCAAAGACGCTTCTGTTGGCCCGGTTAGTTATCATCCGCAGGCCACATCGGCCTACTGCACCCTGCCACGGGCCTCTTACCACCAGCACCACCATCACCAGCACTCGTCCCATCAGCATTACCCGCAACAACATAAACAACAACAACAATCACAACAAGTACCGATGATGCACAACCACAACTACCGGGAAACGGACGCGTCCGAAACGCCGCCACCACCGCCGCCACCGCCATGGCCTTCACACGGCGGCGGCGCGTATCCGACGGTGATCGTTGTCCCGTCACCGCCGTACCCGTCGTCACCTGGCGCAACCGCCGCGATCGTTGCCGGTACGGTGCCGACAGCGGCGGCGGACGCCAAACCTCTGCAGCAGACCACAGTCGTCAGCAACAAAAGGGAAAGCGCCGTATGACGGATACGACGTCAGACGCAGGTGTAATGCAAAGAAATAAACAAATAAAACGATACCTACCTAAATATTATACTTGAGTGACCTTCACAGTGATATTTGCCTATTCTGTCTTTCTGACTTGCAACAATATAGTGAAAATTTATTTACTTAAAACAAACGACGAAACCCTGAAAATCGGGTTCAGTGATAAAACTCTTGTTATTATAAAATATGGTGCAGGTGGCAACATATCGAAGACATCCTTGTCGACATTTTTCATTATTCTATAAAACTTATTATCAAAGGTACAATAAATCGTGTTTTAAATAATTATAATTTTTTAAACGCCTATGATCTACGACAAATTATTTAATTTATATTTTATCTTTAAAACACATCAACTGCTATAACGCCCGTTATATTGTTAGAAAGGCAGACGCAAATGTCCACACTGTGACGGCCTCTTGCCTAATATTAAAATATTAATTTTTGGATAGAAAAAATAGTTGTATATTCGATTTTCGTTATTATATAATAATTTTTATTGTTATGGAATTCTTTTCGATTTTTGGTTTTTTTTTTTTTTTAACCGTTTGTTATTAAATATTAACAATTATTAATAACCTATATAATAAATACGATAATCATAGGCAATATTTTAAAAAGACTATGTATACTTAGTTAGTACACATATAAATTTGATGAAAAATTTATTGGGGGAGGGGGAGGGGTAAACTACAGAATTTTAGAATATTAAACCTCCCCGAGTCATTCCTATTTGTGCCAATGAATGAATAAGTATCTATTATTACTATTATTGTATTCACATAAAAAGACCTATTACATAATGTTATACTAATAAAAATATAATATTTTGTGTACCTACTTATAAAAAAACTGTCATATCTCACAGTATACACTACACTCACTTACACTTACAGAGACACACACACTTCACACAAAATATACGTGGATAGGTACATCATGCATCACTACCTACCTATATTATATGTTGCACAAAAACGGTTTGGTTTTATTTTGTTCTCCCGATATTAATACTAGGTTTAATAGTAAGTTATAATATTATTATAATCGTATCACGAGATAAAACTGTGTTGTTTTTTTTTTTTTTTTTAAGTATAAAACATAATATACAGTCGTATACTATATTATATATTATAATATAAATAAATTATTATTATTATTATAATATAAATAAATTATTATTATTATTATTATTATTATTATTATTATTATTATTATTATTATTATTATTATTATTATTATTAATGTTATTATTATATTATTATTAGTATATATTATATAATAATAATTATTATTATTATTTGTATTGATGTTTGATTACAAAAAGATTTTTATTAATATATATTAATATATTTATTATTATAAAATATTATAATATTATTATAAATAATATTATACTCACTATGTTAATTTTTTTTTAAATTCAATTCTGTACAAATACCATTAATAAAAATACATTTTAAAAACAATTTTAAATACCTAATATATTATAATTTATAATATTCCATTGTATTTGTATGTGCAATAAAATTTCATTATTTCAAATATTTATAGTAAACATATTATAATTACCTTTACACGATTAAGGGGATTTGGTGACAGTGTATATTTTAGTTGATTTAGACCTAAAAGCCAGGCAAAACAACAGGAGCTGGGTTTGACTGATTTCAATTTTGAAAACGGATAATGATTCTTTATTGGTTCTTTATTAGGGTATGTTAGAAATACAAGTATAATTATTTTCCTAAAAATCGAAAAAAAAATATGATTTTATTTGAATACATTTTTCTAAAATTCAATTAAAATATTTTGCCTTTTAGTTACGATAAGGAGAATTAAAATTAAAAAATAATCCTAGTAAATAACCAATCGATTTCAAAATTTAAAAAAAATTGAAATCAGTAAAACGCAATTCCTACAATTATGCTTGGCTTTTTAATCTAAAACCTCATATTCACCATAAAAAAAAGGATATTAGTACTTACTCTTAAATGGGTATCGGACTATTGTCTACTGATTAGAGAAAATTATTATCATTAAAGTGTAAAAAGAAATTTCTAAACATTAAAAATTAAAGGACATTTAGAAAATTGTCACCAATCCTTTTAATAATTCTACTTGTTATATATATATATTTAGTATTATAATATTATGAGTTAAAACCATGGAGTCTTGGGCATTAAGGTAAACTGCATTGGTTTTTTTTTTTTGCTAGAATTAGGTACCTATTTAATGACTGTTAACTTTACTTTACTATTGTTGATATTTTCTATTGATTCATAAAATAAATGTACAGGTACCTGTCATAAAATGAATAATGATTTATAAATTATAATACATTTTTTTTCTCACAATTTACAAACTAATCCAAAATATCCTACCTATGCTAAATAAGATAAATTATTCCTAACCACTCAGATATTCAAAAAACAAATGAGATCTCGACATTCGTATACTCATAAAACTACATTATACTTAGTAATGACATGTAAAAAGTACAAATTTTTACATTTTGTATAAATATCAGTTATAACTGTTAATAGAATAGGTACCTACCAAACTGACTTTAAAATATATTTACTAATTTGTATAAAACAGAAAAAGTAAGTACTTAATTAGGCAGGTACTTTTTAGTTTCAGATATAAAGTAAGTTAATAACATACAAATTAAAGCTTGACAATTAAAGTGTAATTCTATTGCATTTTAGAAAAATAAGAGGTACCCAATTATTGTACTTCTATTGCTTTTAAAAAGTAACTTGCCCAAGACTGCTAATACCTATACTTTCAACATTATTAAAACGCGTAAAAGTGTATATTATGTACAATACATGCGGTGGCGCAAGCCCAGTGTTGTGGTTAAAACTTGGATATGCTTCACCCTCGCCCAACCTCAGTGCCGCGTCTTGCTACAAGCTCGCACTAACCTCCTTGGTCTGATATTATTTACGACACAAACATTGTATCCTATATTTCAGATACCGAGTGTGGCGGGCGCGACAATGATGTCTATTCCCAATAAATTGGAAAAAAACCGGGAAAATATGTACAATATTAAATAAATATTATTGAAGAAAATGTCTAACGCATGCGTAATTATTTTACCATAATATGACATAAGTAATAAATATATATGTTGTTCGCAAAGCAATTAAGCAACACTATCAACCGGAAAATACCGGGGACTGGGTATGTTGAAAACATCACGGGAAGTACCAGTCCAACACATCGCCATTTCCTAGAGATTGTCGTCAATTCGCTTTGCGCACTTCCATACTGCCAGTGACGTGAAGGCTGAAAAAACTCTTTGCCACACTCAAATCGGTGCACCGCGGGGGTGTAATCGGCTTAAACGTGAAGAAAATAAGAACGGACCCATGGCTAGCCGAATTCAAAAAATTGACTGGATTGCACCAACGAGGGATAGGAATTAAATAGTACATATTTTACACGTCAATCAATGCGAGTACATTAAATAAGAAAGGACTGACCCGTGCAGAATGGACGAATGCGATAAAAGGGGAATCAAGGGGAGCCCTCAACTCGCCGTGTGTTGTGAACACGACGCGTTTCATTTTGATTGCACGAAATAATTTATACCCGTCGTTCTACAAACAACCAACATTATCACTCAGTATCACTATTAATTTACCATTTACCAAAAATGCGCGGTAATTATTATCGCACGTTTTTCTTAAAATATAATATCGTTATTATACTATATTATTTATGAACATTTATTATTTTGCCATCAATATTTACCGTCTCTACACTTTCTCCAAGCTTTTTATTATTCATAATATTTTTTGTCAAAAAAGGCGATCGCATTGAATTATTACCTAAATAGTATTCACTTTATTAATAAAGTTTACTTATATTAAACGATTAACTAATAATAATAATAATAAAAACAATACAATTATTTTACTTAATTTTAGTTACTAATATATTGCTACTTTTAATAGTTACGTTCTACACGTAGGTACTGACTACTGGTTCTACTGGTAGCCAGTAGGTATTGATTTTAATATCAATGATACAACCTATATTAAAATTATTTAGTATTGTACTTAATAATACTAGTTTGTGATATTATATCATTAAAAAAGTACAGTGTAAAGTGTTTAACGGAACAAACTTTTTGCATAAAATGCATATCTATTCTGTCCATAAAAAATGTACATGTTACGATTACATAACATAAGTTTATTATTTACCTTCACAAAATTCATATTGAATTTAAACTAGTATAAAAATTGAATATTAATTCACATTTGATTTTAATTTTAAATTAAATTAATAAAAAATGAAAATTTTTTTTTAAAATTGCCATAGAGGCATTTTTATTTAAACGATAAAAAAATCTTTATAAATACAAATCAGTAGGAGTATAAATACATACAATTCAATATATATACAAAAAATGTGCGAGGTTTTACTTCCAGTGAAGCAACACCATTCTTAATCTAAAAATTAGACCAAGTCAAATGGCTTCAGTCGTATGAGTCGTCTGATTTCTTGCGAGTTGTCGGGGAGTTGTATGGCAGCTGTATTTGTGTGAAGCTCTAGTCTTCTTGGATGTTTGCGAGCAAACCGGGTAATTTCATCCTGCACGGATGACATTTTCAAATCGCAGTGGATGGTGTCGTTCTTATCATATCAATATGCTGCGACGATGGTACGAAGAGCGATGCTCTGGCATCGTTGTATTATTCCGATATTGGACTTACTGGCACAACCCCACAGTTGAATACCATAAATCCAAATCGGTTTAACAATCGATGCATACAAGAGACGTTCGCTGCTTAAGTCTAGCTCGGAGTGTCGTCCAATTAGCCAGTACAGTTTGTGCATTTTTTGTTTGATTTGCAACTTTGCAACTGGCGTAAATGATGTTTCCAGTTCAGTCGTGAGTCAATGTGCATTCCCAGATATTTCGCTGAATCATTTTGCGAAATTATTTGTTGATTCAGCGTGACTGGATGTATGTGGTTTTACGTAAGGTGTAGTTAACGCGCACCGACTTATCTCCATTAATTTTTATTTTCCATCGTTTCGTCCAGTTGTATACGGTGTTGATTGTCGTTTGTAGGATCTCAGTCGCAGCTTGTTGGTCCTTCCTTGTTGACAGTATTGCCGTGTCGTCGGCGAACATAACTATCATTGTATTGTCGTTAGTTGGAATATCAGCTGTATAGAGTAGGTAAAAAAAAGGTCCGAGAACGCTACTTTGAGGTACTCCAGCTGATATACACTTCCAATTAGTTATCGTTCCTTCGTATCTAACGCGGAAATGTCTTTCAGTCAGATATGATTTGAGGAGTGCGCACCACGTGTGTGGAAGCTGCTTACGTAATTTTAACAACAGGCCTTTGTGCCAAACTTTGTCAAAGGCTTGGGCTACATCCAGAAGTACTCCACAATAATTTTTCTCTTCTAACGCCTTACTGATCACGTTCGTTACGCGATGAACTTGGTCGATAGTTGAGTGTTTTATACGAAATCCAAACTGGTGATTTGGTATAAGTTGCTTTGCTTCAACAATTGGGTTGAGGCGCTTAAGAAGAAGTTTTTCAAAACATGAAAATTGTAATAATATTTAAATTCATTATTAAAATGAAAACAAGAAAATGACGTTACCAGCTATAACCAGCATATCCAAAAGTTGAATTTATTTTATTTATTTATCTATTAATTTATGTATTCAACTCTGCGGTATACGCGATAACGTCTTGGTAGACACGATTAAAATGTATCTACCAAGATAAAAAGAGCCAATCAGAAAAGCATATTTCACACGAAACGAAATCACACAGTGAGCTGAGGACTCCCCTTAACACGTCGATGTCACCAATGTTGATTTTACTAAGATGTTTATTTTTTTTTTTCTTTCTTCTAGTCTGTGGACTCGTTTTTTCCTATTAAACTTTTTGTGATTTTTACGTGTAGAAACTTTTATGAAAGTTCAAATTGTCTAGATCGTACTTTAAAGTTATCATTTTTTGATTATTGACGTCTTTTTTTAAATAAAAGCACTTAAGTGGGAAAAAACGTAGGAAAACGTACAATATCACGGATTTATTATTTTATAGAAACACGGACGACGTTTTCTACTAGAAAAAATGATTTAATCGAAAAATCACAAGATACCTTTTTTGTTGTCTTTTTTATTTACTTTCTTACTGTATCAATGCCAAAACTTTTTAGCCACTTTTGAGCTTTTAAGGACTTTTAATTTTGGGATTTTTTTCTGTAATTCAGTTATAAATACACGTAGCGACTTGAAAATTGGTAATAATACTTATATTGGATTACCTAGACGTGGTAAAATTTCCAAAATCATTAGACGACTTTTTATTTTTTTAATAAGCGTTTTAAAATTAAATTTAAACAAACATCACAACAAAAATTACGGCACTTCAAATTATGTATTACTGAACTGCGCTCGGAATAATCTTTCGTCAAGCAATGGTTTATCGTTGCTAAATATAAATGAAATAACCTTATGCATCCTACCTTCTCAAATTCTCACCTACAACAGTGACCGCTCCCATCCCCAGTATCAGCTCTTTTTTGTATACTGTAGAATAATTTTATCCTAAAAAACTTAATCCGATTTATAAGTGTAGAACTTTTTCTGAAAGTTAATTTTATCTACTTGGTAAATACGTAGGTCATTTTTTGATTTTCGAAACGGTATTTAAAATAAAAACGATTAAAAAAATACGATTTTTTCACGATTTCGTTATTTTAAATAAGTACCTACCACGTTTTCTAGCACAAATACGGCTCCAATTGAAAAACGACAAGAGACCTGTTTTGTTGAATTATTGTTTTTAATGCGGATCGTTTTTTTATTTTCGAATCAGTTTACATAATAATCGGAAAAAACGTATGAAGTTTAGGTTAAAAAAAATTACAGCATTTCAAATTATGCACTACCGAACTGCGCTCGGAATCGTCGTAAGTCAGTATTTATCGTTGCCTACAGATATAAATGAAATAAGATTATGTGCCCTACCGTCCCAACTTATCACCTATTCTCATTTAATAACAGATTCACATAACATGTTTATTATTACTAAAAGTATACTTTCAAAGTCTTAAATCATTCAAAATTTAATTTTATATAATTTCAGGTTTTGTGAAAATTTGTAATAATATTGTTTTTATCTCTCTCAATAATATTCAACTTAGTTCTTACCACGATAAAGATGCCTACCCACAGATATTAATATATAATATTAAATATACTATATTCATCACCCTAAAACTTGAATATGCTGGACTCTTTATTTTACCGGGTAATGTGTATGGGTCTTTGAAGCCAAGTAGGTTGAGCAATGTTTACAATCTGTTATCAATATTATTATGACAACATAATTACAAATCATCAAAAATATAGTTTAAATACTCTACAGTCTACAATTAGTTTTGAATTTAAATACTATTTTAATATAGGTAATTATATAATACCAATATATTTTAAATTATTATAATTTTGTTGATTATTCCCAATTGTGTTATCAATCAATGTGATTGATAACATTGGCTTGTAAACATTGTCCAATCTACACTATGAGCAAGTTGAATTTTATAAATCCACTTTGATTATGAGTTATGACTGTTGGCTACAAGTATGGATACAGAGTCAGGCATATTCTAATATGTAGTATACATTATCTGTGTATTTACTGAACTTACCACCGCCACGGTCAACCTAACCGAGTAGATAACCGTGGACCACTTACCACTGGCTATCTTTTGTTCACTTTCCCGCCAAATCGAGAACGATAAGGCATGATAACTTATAAGACAATGGAAATTACGGAAAAGGTTCTCTACATCTATTCTCTACAGACGACGTTGTATACTTCACTGAACGAGAAAATTCAATAATTCGTTAAAAAGTCTAAAATTGTATGAGACAACTCTTTTCATAACAATGGTGAGTGTTACTTATAATTAATTCGAATCTTGGTATCTACTACATCGAAAATACCCGTGACTTGTTTGGTCGTTTTTTTTTAACTACCTACTCAAGTTGTACAACATTTCATCATTTTCGGACGAATAACATTTGCAGTAGTGCATATGAATTGCTTTAATTTTGTAAAAATAATATTTATGAATACAACTGTTTGCAATATTCGTTCTGTCTATATTATATAGCAATAGTATAATATAATATGGTATAATACCTATGTAGGCTATGTATATATTGATATTATGAATCGATTAATAAATTGTCATGTTGTATAAATTGTTTCTATAGTTTGAAACACTATTACCGAAAAACAAATTATAGTGACATAAAATATATACTTGTTAAAAAATATACTGTTAGCATATAATAACTAGGTACTTACCTGTATACCTAGTAATAATTTGGAAATAATAATAAACAGTTTTTAAAGTTTTTTACTTTTTTTTTTCATGAAAATATGTAAATTTTATTTTTAGAAATCTTCCACTAAAAATAAACATAAAGTTGATGATGTTAGCAGAGAAACTCAAAGATTAGTTATGAGTAGTTCTGTACATTTACCATATCACATACCCAAACAAAAATCATTAAAAGACTTCTTAAACAGGCAGAAAATTCCATTAGAAAATCAAGTATCTTTAACAGGTCCAAAAAAGTTATTACGAAAAGCATGGTAAGTGAAATTTATAATAATGAATTTATCAAACATAATATCAGAAATTGTTAATATTAAGGAAAATTTATACTTACAGATATTCATTATTTTATCTCTGTAAATATGCCTAAGATTAAAACCATGCAAATCTTAACTTATTTAATTGTGGAATTTCAGGGAATTTATTGAAACTAAAGAACAAAATGTAGAAAAATTTTACAACGAAATCAGCATTCAAGATGAAGATAATGAAGAGCCAAAATCTTCCAGCAATGATGGCGTTCAAACATTTCAAACCGAAAAAAACAGAAATTTTATTGATTTAGATGATAATAATTATAATAAAGGTATGAATTAAAACTAAATAAATTTATAATTCATAACTTTGTCTTAATTTTTTTAATATTGTTGATATTTTTTTTTTTTTTTTTTAGAAAAAATGGTAGTAGAATATGATGATGAAGAAAACTGTGAAAATAGTTCAATAAACAGTGACTCATCAGATTGCGATGAAGCATCTTCAATAAATGATGATGAAAATTCCAAAGAGGCAACAAGTTTATGTTCTGAAGAATTTCCAATTCAACCAGTTGAGCATGTAATATACAGATGTTTAAAAATATTTTGCTTCATACTTATATGAAATAAAATATAAATTAATTTTTAAATATACACTCATATTATTATATTTTTTTTTTCCTCAGCAAGATAATGAAAAATTAAAACATCATTTCAATTCAAACAAGTTAGTTAACTTTAAAGTTAACTTAAAGTTTAAACATATTCTGCATTAATAATAATTACTATTAAAATTATAGATTTGATGACATAGCCAAGCAATTTATTGATAACGAAGCAGAGTTATCTGAATTAGAGGAAAGTTCAGATGATGAAGACAGTTTTATAAATTCATCTGAAAATGAAGAAGGTTTATATGACAAAATAAAAATATTTAATTTTATAAAAATTATTGGTATAAAATTGTAATTTTATTTCAGAAATTGAAATTTCAAAAAAAAAGAAACGTCCAACACTATTATTGTCCGAAAGTAGTGATGATGAACATATTTCAGATATAGAAATTGAAATGACATCTAATGATATCATTCCTTTATCTAATGAACTCGAAAAAAATACACCTACATCACTAATAGATAATGGACACAATTCAAATACAGAAATGAAAATAGATACTAATGATTTAAGTCCTTTATTTAATGAGTCCGAAAAAAATATCTCTACTCAACAACTAATGGAACTATGCTCTGGACAGTTTCAAACACAGCCTGAATCTCAGGTCTTAAATTTTATTTTTATTTTTCTGAGTTAATAACTGACAAAAAATTGTTTTTTTTTTAATTAATTAGGAAAATGAACTTGAGGACAACTTTGATTCTAGTGTGTAAGTTAATATTTACTTTATTAGTGAATTATTATTTAATTTATTCTACTGTGTGCATAATGTTAGTTGCTTTAGTCCTCTAGATAATCTTGATGAAGATAGTGAAAATGATCAAAGCGATGAAGATGAAGATGATATGCCCAAACTTACTTCAGTGAATGATTTTTTTGATGATGAAGCAGAATTGTCCGAATCAGATTGGAGTTCTGATGATGAAAATCAAGATGCTGAAAAATTAGATAAATTAGATGAAGAAGATGGTGACAAAGATGAGCTTGATGAAAATCTTATTAAGGATGGTTTGGATAAGATTTATATGTATGATATTTATCTTAAGTTATATTTTATATGTATAATCAAAATATTTACAATTTTAATTAGGCGACAGTTATTGGATGATGATATAAAACAAGTAACTGAACTCAAAGAAAGACTACTTGAAGATGGTGAATTATATTCAGATACTGGCCGAAAAAGAAAATTTCAGTGGGGTGATAATGGTTAGTTTAAAAAATCATTTATTTTTACTTGGATAATATTTTTACTTTCTGTTAAGATCAAGATGATGATTCATTTAAGAAGCCATTATTCTCAGACAGTGAAGATGAGAATGAAGTAGTAAATGGTGATGACGGTGATGATTTATCAGGACTATGGCGAAAAGAACGTTACAAAAGGGAATCTTATTTATCACAAGTACTATTATCAATATATAACAATTTCTTTTATGATCCTAAATAGATACAAATATTTGTCTAAAATTGTTCAAATTAATTATTTGATTAGACTTGACACTATTATTTATTAATATAAGGTAGATTTGATTAAAAATTTCAATAACAGTATTTATTTTAAGATTCATAGCGTAAGGATCTATTGATTTTACTATAACTTGTGTTTTTTAAATCTATTATTAAATAACTTTTCAAAAAGAAAACTTACTACTTTTCTTAAAGAAAATTTCATCTAGTTTATGCATTAGGTCATTTTTTCATTTTTCATTATAATTAAGAAAATTTGAAAACAAAATTACATGTAAAAGACAAATTCTTATGTTTTATGTTTTCTACTAGAAATATTACTCCTTTAAAAAAAATAACAATAAATCATTGGTGGTATGTAAGAAAGCAATTTCTTTGATTTTCCTTGTAGTTTTTTTAATAATTGAGCAAAACTGAAAAGAAAAAAAATATAGAAGACCAAAAAAATGTACGAAAATAATGTTTTTAATATTTTTAATTTTGTTTTTGTTGTAATTCAATTAAAATTATTTCTAAAGACTTGAAATTTGGATTAAAAACTAAAACTTGCGTTTTCTAGACATGGTAACATTTCGAAAACATTTGCTTCATTTTTGAGCTATTTATAAATATTTTGTGAGTTGTACATAATTATTATTTGATCGTTACTCTGTAGTAAAATTTTTAAGGCTAAACAAAAATGCTTGAAGATTTAACTAGAAGTTCATTAAAATTTGTACTTAGTAGTGAAACAAATTTGTTGTAATTATTTTTATACAGGAATTTTAATTAAAATGTATGTTTAATGATGTGTAATCAATCTAGTTACTGGTTCAAACAAATTTTTCCATTTTTTTTGTTTTAAACATTTGTTATGTATATTACTGATTTAAGACCAATAATGAAATTAGAATTGAGTGGACTGACTTAGTTTCAAAATTATAGCTTCTTGAAGTTTTGATGTTATTGCAGATATTCTGTAATAACTTATAACTCAATATTGTCAATATTATATTATCTTTGTCATAATTTAGTGGTGGTATCAACATACCTGTTGTCATTTCAGAGATTACCCAAGTTCTAAAAATTTTTTTTTGCAAAACTACAGTAACAGAAAAAAAAACGAATGCATTTTAGGTGCACCATGAGAACCAAACAATCACTCATTTGGACTATATTAATTGAATGCCCTTTGATTTATTGTGCAAACTTTTCTACTAATAATCTTGCTTCGATATTTCAAATGTAGCACTTTTCTTGTAAGAAAATTTTATCTACATGATACCTTTAGGGAGGTCATTTTTTTGATTTTCTGAGTGTTTTTTATAATAATTGGCAAAAACCTGGATAAAATGTTGGAAACAGGAAAATTTACAAAAATATAATATAATATATTATAATTCAGTTCAAAATATTATAGATCAATTAAAAATATGAAACTGTATAAAGGAAAAATATTTTTACTACCTACACAAAATAATAAGTGTTTATTGTTAAATTCATTGTATTCAATAGGTATTTATTTTGCTATAAAATGACATTATATATTGTTGAAAAAGCAATACTATTAACCAAGCTCCCTTTAAAATGGTTTTTCATTATCAATGATTAATCCTTGCTTACAAATATACATTCATTTCGTCACTATATCCTACCTTCACACTTCTTGTTAACAACAGTAGTCCATCTTTGTCCCTGTTTCTTATTATTATAAAATCTACTTGGGAAATTATCTCTCTAATACACTAACTACATCCATAATTCAACAAATAAGTTATCTTGTAATTTTATTAAAACTTTCAGGTATTACACCTTCACGTGTAAATCAATATACAATCTCATCATTTTACCTTAAATAAGCACATCAATTAATATAATATAAACTTATCTTTAATTATATTTTCATACCAGAACATTAAAACAAAAAAAAAATCAAACTAATTCATATACCATATATATTGTAGCATCACTGATAGCACTATGAAATATTAAAGGAACATTTTTTTAAACCAGTGTTATCATGACACTTAAATCTATAAAAATAATAAGAATTAAATATTATAACTGTTATGGACTATCGCCATAAAAAAAATTAAATAACAAACATATCTAGTCAGTGCTGTAATAAGGTACATTAAATTAGTATCTTATGATACATTTAAGAAAACAGATATTTTTTTTAATTAACACTTAATTATTAAAAATATAGAATTACAAAATTAAAACAAAAATAGATTAGTAATAGTAATAGATTCATAATTTATAATACAATAATGTCTATTATCCACTTGTCAATACACAATAGTCATACACTCATACATAATAATTTATAATGATAAAGAAATCAGAAAATAATACATATCTATAATTAATTGTTGTTATTTTTTTTTAAAATAATTAGATTTTAAAATTATATAGTTTTTTTTTTTTTTGTTAAACCAAAAAAGTAAGAATTGTATCTTAAAAAGTATCTAGATATTTTACAGCACTGCATCTAGTCTACCACATCTGATAAAGTCATCTTTGATGCCATCACCTTTGATGAATTAAGGAATATATGGAATATTGTACAAGGTGATCAATTTATCATGAAACTACATTTTTCTCGGACTTTTTAGTAAATTTGATTTTTTTTATCCATATTCCTTATACTTAAATAAGTAGATATTTTTATTTTAAAATAGCTCCCCCCTATTTCAACACATATTTGAATACAAAAAAGTATAGTATATATCTAACATTAATATTGGATTTACTGTTTATAATCTATAATAATTTAAACCAAAGGAATAGGGAAGGATTATAAACATCATATTCATTTTAAAATTATGTATCACATATATCTTATTATTACTATACTTGAATAATATTTAAATATTGCAATTATAATAGATTTTTTGATTATTTTTTAATATAGAATAATGTTGCAAGTTGTTTTCAATTGATCAATGACATACCAGTTTTTGTTTGTACATATTATTTTATTATATTACAATTTAATTTTTTTTTTTTCAGACAAATGACTCAGAAGATGAGATTCTACCTGATAACTGTGAAGAATCGGGTGATAATTCACAAACTTCAATGATTTTGGCTGTAAAAAAAACGCATGTTGTATGTTTTACCTATTTTTATTATTTTTTTTTTTAAGGATATTTCTTTTACTTTTATCATTTTTAATTGCATAATTAATATTATTATGAAATAAAAGTACTCCTACTGAGATAATGAATGTGATAGTAAAATAGTTTATAAAAATAATGTATCTTATATCACTTATAGTCTATATATGTGCCAGAAGAGAAGCAATTTGACCACATTTTAAAATGACAGGCTGCTAAAGCCAGTTTTCACCCTCTATGTGGCCACCAGATATTTTCTTTTGGTGGCACAAACTGAATACAATTTAAATTTACCAAATAATTTTGCTGTTATCATTTTTGATTTGCATCAATCTGTTTTGGAGATATTTCACTTTTAGTTTGGGTAGGAGAAGCGTAGTGAAGACTGTTATCCTTAGTGTTTTAAAGTAAAGTAACTTGGAAACTTATTTTTAAATTTCAATTGCACTATATCAACATTTTAAGAAAAATCTTCCTATTTACAATTTGCATTAAAACATTCTCATTTGAAAAACTAAAGTTCATATCTCTACAGGATACTACTTAAATGTTATGAAAAGTGAAATAATTAATTCTATACATTGTTGAAATTGCCAACAGGTCTAAGTGTTTGTAAATAACTTATAATATTGTTCTTACCTTTTTTAGATTAAATTAAAAAATGAAGGAATATTTCAATCAAAAGACAAATCTATAGTAGTAAATGTTAACCATTCTGACTCATCAAATAAAAATAAAAAAACTGAAAATGGTTTAACTTTACCGTGTGTTGCAAAAGTTACAAAAGTAAGTACTAATAATTAATATATTATAGTAATTATATTCTGAATATTTCAAATTTAAACTTTGGTTTAACTTAGGCCGTTTGCATCAATTCACAGTCTAATAAATTACTCAAAGGATCATTCATGAAACGCAGAAATGTTAACAAAATTGTTACATTATTAAATATGAATAAAAATAATGATCAAGTAGATAGTGGAAACTATTTAAACAAAGATATTAGACCTTTGACGACCATAACAGCTAAAGCTTGTAACAATCCATTTGCATATATGTTAATGGATGGTAAAAAGCAAGATAATACAAATTTAATCTCTAAAGAGATGGTATGTATTATTTATCATCTTATCACATTTTTTTTTAACTTTTATAGTTTTTATTTTTCAGAATACTGAGAAAAATGACAATGAATTTTATAATCAACCATCTATTAGTGGTCAATTAACTGAAGAAACTAAAAAAAAAAAAAATACCAACAGTATATTGATGCATTTAGAATAGATTGTGTGGCAAACTAATTTTTGAATATTGTGATAACAAAAAATTCAATTATATTATTTTCTATAAATGTTAAAATTATTTTTTTATTAAGTCAGTGTAATGCATAAGTTGCAGTTTGTTTAATTTGTAATTGTTTTTTTTATATATCTAATAGCTCTAACTGTTTTTAATGCAATAATGCTAATAATTAATATAAATTGATAATATTATTTGTTTAATAAATATTAATTAAAGTATAAGTTTATATTTTATGTGATTAACACCCTTCAAATAAGTTTTCTAGTATAGCCACTCTATTTATAAAACCATTTAAGGTTTTATAAGGTCTGTCAAGTTCATTGAATTTAAAAAGACCTTTTTACTTCACTTATATAGAATTCTAGATTTTTGTAATATTTTTTTACAAATCAATCTTGTAGAAGATTCGTTTGAGTGTAATATTAATAAATGATACGCCACTGCTTTATTGTTGTCAACATTTTAACTTTAATTGCTTATGAAAAAAAATAACAGTATTACTCTCACCTTTTTTTTCCCCCACTAAGTATACAATATGATAAACGTCAAAATTATTTATTTGAATATTTTTATCAAGGTAGGGTTTAATTAAAAAAAAATTAAAATATGTATTCAAAATGTTTGTGAATTTGAACTTTTCAAAAAAATTATAACTACAGAATTTTTAAATTAGTATATTAGGTACTATAAGAAAAACATGAGGAATATTTTATCAAATATTCAATCATTTATATTAAATTTAATACACAAATTAAACAAAATTGTCTACCAGAAACTGCCCTTGAAATTAATAATTGGAACAAAAATTTAGGTAAAAAAAATTATTTAATGACAAAAATAAATAAATTTAAAAACAATACATAGTAAAACAGACCATTTAGCTGACCAGTGTAAGTTTATGGTTATAAATTTATGAGGACAATCTTTAAGTTACATCTCTATCAGTTAGGTACGTCAATCACTAATCAACTAGACACTCGTCAGCCACATTTAGACAATATCGCAATTAAGTCAAGTGCTAACAAGCTACCTATTGTGATTGTTATAATCAATAACATTATCTAATGAACACTTACGTGTAGATTTTTAATAAGATATTACAAGACCTTGACAACATCATGTATTATACTATAATGCAATATACTCTGGGTCATTTGCATTTGTTAAATTACTATGATACTCGTACCTACTTTAAAAATATTGGCTTAAATATTGAATACCAAAATATATACTAATTTGCGGATTTATAGAATAAATTTTAATAAATTGTTAAACCGATACCATTAAATATGACTGGAATATTCGGCTCTGGTGTCCATAACAAAACAATCAAAATTTTGATAACAGATAAATTGATAATAATATTGTTCGGTCACTCGGTGTAATTTAGCTGTACTGCCTGTACTCTGAACTTACTACACTGTACACTGTTGTATCTCGTAGATACGTCATTTAACACTTTAATGGTCGACGTGCTCTTTGCCCATTCGTTTCAGACAGCTGCAAACGGTCGACTTGATATCATTCGTCGTAGTTGTATTTTGAGTGTAGACGTATCGTAGTATTTTAGTCGCCGATGAATATTTCATGACAGGTTACGTATCGAAAACTTTTAAGTGAAATTAGTTGATAAAAATAGGTAAGTAATAACATACATAGGTAATAAATAATATATACTCTCAACTTTGGTCGTTAATACGTAAATTTTTTTTTTCCAACGATACTGAATAATTTATATTGTTATTGTATTGATGGTAGAACAAATCAACATGAGTATACCGTTGGCCACCGCCAAAATGACCAGCCTAACTGCTGTGGCCGTTAGCCTGGTACTGTCTGGCTGTGTTATAGGCAATGCTTTTCGCCGCAAGGAACAATTTTTTCCGGCTGTTGTGTACATATGTAAATCCAATCCGAGCATGGCGGTTAGAAAAAAATTTAAAAATATTTTAACTTGTTAGATACCTATATGTATACATAATAATAATAATAATATAATAATCAATATAGATAATGTACATGCAAGCTTTGATCACTGTCTATTTACTTGGGAAATTAATTGGTAAAATATTTTTTGGCACATTACGTCCTGCAGAATCTGAGGTATTTCTACAAGTTACTATTTATTTATTATAACATTTAAAACATGTAGAATTGTATTAATTTTTATAAATCATTTTAGCGTTTAATAGAAAAATCTTGGTACGCCATTACAGAAACATGTTTAGCATTTACAATATTTAAAGATGACTTGAGTCCAAAGTTTGTGGCTCTGTTCACGTTATTATTATTTCTAAAATGTTTTCATTGGCTAGCAGAAGATCGTGTTGATTATGTATGTTAATTGTGCATTTAAATGTTATATTAAATATTAATAAAGCTATAATTATTGTATTTTTATAGATGGAACGTACTCCAGTTATATCAGTTTTGTTTCATATTCGCATATGGTGTAAGTACATATTTAAACATTTCCCAAGTAGTAGTTATACTTTACACTAAAACTATTTATTTTTCTAATAAATAATTTTTTTTTTTCTTTATAGCATTGTTAACTGTTTTAACAATTGCTGATGTATATTTTGTTCATGACGCTTATATTACGACAATAACTAAGGGCCCATCTGTGCAATTAGTATTTGGATTTGAATATGCATTGTTAATTACTCTAGCAATGACTGCATGCACAAAGTATGTATTGCATGGATTTGATGTGCATAGTGACACTTTTTGGGAAAGCAAAGCTGTTTTACTGTTATACCTTGAATTTTTCATAGGTAAAATATATTAATTATTTTTAATTAGATATTTTTTTTTATAAATACAAAATTTGAACAGGATTATGCAAAGCTGTCATGTATATTGCGTTTCTTATAATTATGGTGAAGACATATACAGTACCTCTATTTGCTTTCCGTCCAATGTACCACACACTCAGGTAATATAATATTCATTGTTTCGTCAATTAAACTAAATTTTAGTTTGTTTTTATTACTGTAGAATGAGCTGACTGATAGTTTTTGTAGATTTTAGATTCTGAGTATAGTGAAAATATTGGTTTTACAAAAATGTTTATTTTTTTTTTATTCTTTTTATTTTGTGTGAACACATTTTCTAAAAGAAAATTTGCCTGGGGTGGTACTTTAAGGAGATTATTTTTTGATTTTCCCAGGAGTTTTCTCAACATATGGGAAAAAACAAAAAAAATTACGAAATTAAAAATATTTCAGCCTTTTTTTTCCGTGAACAATTTTTCTACCAGCAATTTTGGTCCTATTTACAGTAATACCATTTTTTCTAAAAGTAAATCTAACTGTTTGAGTAGTAGTTATCAATCTTTTTACAACTACGATCCAAATTTTTCCCTGAAAATCTATTGCGACCCACATAATTTCACTTTTCAAAAAGTAGTTTATGCAAACAGCAGGGAAAGGTTAGGTTAGGTTAAATTATCCCTTTAAAGTACCATTCCAGTCAGATTTCCTCGCAGAAAAAATGTTAAACTTAAAAATTGCTGGTTGTTTACAAATAATATGCAAAAATAAACACAATAGAACCAATTCATTCCTTCAATGTTCCATTTAGAATCTAAAAACATGTATATTTCTTGGAATCTATATAATTCAAAATAATTTTTCGCAACCCACAGTTTCAGAAACGCTGTGTTAGAGTATTTAGAGACTTTATTTTAGATTTTCTCAATAGTTTTCACAGCAAATGTAAGAAAAATGTAGGAAAATGGGAAAATAGATACAATATTAAACAAATATTATTAAAGGCAATATAAAATGCCTATTTAATTATTTTACTATAATATGACATATATATTGACAAAACAACACTATCAACCGAACTACACTCAGAATGGTTTTTTTCATTAGCAATGATTTATCAGATTTACATTAAATTCCCTTCTGCATCCTACCTTCCCAACTTCCCACTTACAACAGTGACTATACCCACGTGTGAAGTATTTTTTTAAAAGTATAATTCATAACTATTAAGGTGGTCCTTAGTTGTTATAAGTAATTACTTTTACGCTTTTATTTTCTTTTTAATATCCCCAAAAGTTTTATTATGTATACAAATACCAACTGGTTATGTTTGACCTACTGTCCAAAGATCTCAAAGTTTAAAACTACTGAATAGCTATAAAACTTATTTTATCTTATATTATAACCTGCTAAATTGTGATCTGACAAAAATCTGCTGAAAAGTTCAGTTGTTGAGTCAAATATTAATATTATTATTATTTTTGTATGTTATAAAATAATAAAAGTAAAACAAAATTATTAAAATGGTTAATACTCGTAAATAAATATATGAATAAATAATTTCTAATATGTATAAATAAATAAATGAATGTGTCCTTGTGTATTATGATATGTGTATTGTACAACCAGTTTGGAATTAAAAATTCATCATTATTAACTAAACTCTACTCAGAATCCTTTTTTTTTTTAGCTATAGTTAGTCATTGCTTATGAATATACATTAAATTACCTATAACAGTGACTGCCTCATTATCCTAGGATAGTTTTTTTTAAATTTGATTCTTAGAGCAGACTTGTACATGTTTAAAAGACCATAATATTTTTCATTCATCAAAATTCGAGAATACAATTTGTATAAGAAAAAAAATCTCTACATTACTTAATTTTGTTTTTTACTACAAATTATGACTTATAATGAACCTCCTGTTAAATTTTCAAGCATAAAATGAGTTCTTATTTTAAAATATAACATTTTTAATGTACCTAAAATTGATATTTTACACTACATGTGAAGTGACTTGTACCACAATTTTTTTCTTTGTCAAATTAATGGTAATGCATAAAAATAACCTATCATTTTTGTCTGGTATACAATTTGATCCAATAGTTTGAAAGTTATACGAGGGCGTACCCAAAAAAAACCGAACTATTTTTGTACAAAGTTATTTAAATAAATAAACTTTACAAAAAACATTTAATCTCCTTCAAAGTACTCTCCGTTGGAGTTAATGCACTTGTCCAATCTTTTGTTCCAATTTTCTAAGCACTTTTTAAACTCATCTTTTGTGATGTCTGCCAACACCTCCGTCGTTTTTTTTTAACTTCATCAATGTCCGCGAAACGCTTTCCTTTCATGTTCCTTTTCATTCTGGGGATTAAAAAGAAGTCGCAGGGAGACAGGTCGGATGAATAGGATGGATGGGACACAGTGGTCATATCATTTTTGGTCAAAAACCGCCGTACAGAAAGGGCTGTGTGAGCAGGAGCATTGTCGTGTGATGAAAAACCCTCCTGTCTGAAAAGTCTCCTGACTGCCACAAATCAGGTCCTTTTCGCCTCAAACTGTTGCGTAATCTTTTTAAAACCTCTAGATAAAATTCCTGGTTAACTGTCTGACCAGGTGGAACAAACTCCTAATGGATGACTCCTCTCACATCAAAAAAACAAATGAGCATTGTCTTAATGTTTGACCTCACTTGACGAGCTTTTTTAGGGCGAGGCGATGCTTAAGTCTTTCATTGGCTCAATTGTTGCTTGGTTTCAGGATCATATCCATAGCACCATGATTCATCACCTATAATGACCTTGGAAAAGAAGTTTAGGTCATTTTGGAATTCTTCTTTCAAAGAAGAGCATGATTCCACGCAGCCTTGTTTTTGCTGCTCAGTTAGCAGTCGAGGAACAAATTTTGCAGCCACCCGTATCATCCCCAAATTTTCACTTAAAATTATCTGTACTGAACTTCATGTCACACCAGATCTCTCCACTTCTTCTTCGATGATTTGCTGTTGATCTTCTAGGATAATTTTGTGAATTTTTTCTACATTTTCGTTGATTCGATTGATTCAAAGGGCAAGCTTGGTCGTCTATCAACATTTCACCACTTTTGAAACGAGAAAACCACTCAAACACATGAGTTTTCCCTAAAGCACCACCTTTGTAAGCTGTTTTCAACATCTCAAAGGTTTCTGTGCCTGTTTTCCCGAGCAGGAAGCAAAACTTGACAGCCGCGTGCTGTTCATGCAAATCAGCCATTACAAAATATACGAAAAATAACTTTTAAAAAAAATATCACACCAAAGTAACACAACCTTCCACGATGACAGCCGTTGGCATATTGAATGTTGAGAAGTATATTTATACGCCCCTACCAAAAAAAAATCGGTACTACTAAAACTCTGTCCCACACATCAGTTCGGTTTCTTTTAGGTACACCCTCGTAAAATAAAATGTTCAACAAGGTGACTGATAGGATTTTTATCTAAGCAATATATTTTGCATTTTTTTTTTTTTGACAATTTGTAACAAATAACAGCACATTATATTTTAAATACCCATGTAGGTATAAATAGTAATTAATTAGTTTCTCTTAAATTATATTATATTTAGTTAACATTTAATATTTGGTTTGGTAGATACTTATCATTTGTATAATTTTTATGAGGTTTATATCAAATTTTCTAAAAAAAAACAATCAATTTACTTTTAATTGAGATCATATTCACCCATTATTAAAAGATTAAATAAATAATTCAAATAAAAATCAATCTCATACCCATTTAAAAGTTACCCAATTCTATAAAAGTCAATATTATTTTCTAGGAATTTCAAAAAAGTTTTCCAAGATCTGGTTTTATCTCGAAAAGCTATACACAACATGAATACATTGTATCCAGATGCTACAGCTCAAGATTTACAAACAATTGAAAATGTTTGTATAATATGTCGTGAAGATATGTCAGCAGCTGGTAATTTATTAAATATTATTAAGTTATAATTGATACTATTTTTTAGTTATGATCATCTCCAATATATAATATTATGTTTATTTTTAGCCGCCAAAAAGTTGCCATGCAATCACATTTTCCACACATCATGTTTACGAAGCTGGTTTCAACGTCATCAGACATGTCCGACATGTAGATTAGACATATTACGTCCAACTCCTATAACTCTACCTTCTACAACTGTTTCTGGGCCTCCTCCCACATCAGTACCCCCAACTGTAGGAGCTTCAACACCTTCCTCTTCTGTTTCATCATCTAATAATGCTGATGCTAATGGCCAAGGTCTACCTGGTCACAATCAAGCTGGAAATATTAGCAATTTCTTTAACAACCAATCACCATTACCGTATCAATTTAGACAATATGCATATCAACAACAACGGACATCTGTTGATGGAAATAATAGTAACACAAATGAAAATTTAAATAACAGTGACTCTCAACAGAATAACATGAGTGAATCCTGGGCTGAGTACTTGAATATACCAGGACCCTCATTTTTCAGTATGTAAAATAGTTGACATAATAGTTTTAAAAATATTCCATCCAATGCATTTTTTATACTTTTATTTAGATGTACAACAGAGTAGCAGCTCAAATATTAATTTTGATAATAGAACTCCATTTCCTGGTAATATACCATTCGTTGGTGGTAAGTATGTTATTAGAATAAATTAAAATACATTTTCAAGATTATTTTTTAGAATTTCTTTTTGATTTTCAAACAACAGGTGTTGCTATACAACACCCAGAATTACCTGCTGATTTAGATACATTATCACATGAAGAATTATATCAGATGGAACAAAATACTAGAGCGGCATGTATAGCACGTCTAAAATATGTTACTGATATAAAAACTATGTTAGATGCCGCCATGGTTATGATGAATCATTATTCATCTGCATGTCTTGTAGCCGGGTAAATAATTACTTGAAATGTTGTGCATTTTATTTCAATGTATTTTTTAATATTAATTTGTATAAACTAAATATTATAACTGAATTATTAATTTTTTTTTTTACAGTCTAGATAGTACCAATTCAACGGATAGTACAAATGAAAGTAATACTAAACATTTAGATGACTATGAACAGTTTGAATCTAGACCATCTAGTAATTCATCATCAGAAACTGATAGTAGTGATATAAGGTATCTTTTAAAATTATTTTTAAAAAAATACTTTAGGTTGAAAACAGCAATTTATTAAAGGGTAGTATTTAGGCAATTTCTAATCAGATCTCACCATCCCTCCCTGTTATCTCTGTGTTAGTTGTAAATGATCATTAGTTTGCCACCCACCATAGCAAATAGTAAGTTGCATTGTTATTAATAATTTATTTTGGGATTTATTACAAATCAGGTTATTATATTCTGTTCTTACCGCTATTGAATGGTTCACAGATAAAAGTCTATACTAGGTAAATAATTATTTGGGGAAGTACTTTGAGAGGCCATTTTTCAATTTTCTCAGGAGTTTTGTCAATAAATGTGAAAAACCGAGAAAAAACTTAGGAAAATTGGTACAATATTAAACAAGTATTATTAAAGTAAATATATGAAACCTATTTAATTATTTTACTATAAACTGACTTATATTGTTGACAAACATCACTAACTGAACTTCCCTCAGAATCTTTTTCAAAAGCAATGGTTTATCCTTGTTTACAGGTATATATTAAATTATCTATAATATTGGCTGCACCCTTGCCATTATCCTAAGAGTCTCTTTTTTTTTTATGTACAAATATTCTGTTCTTGTGGTATACAAATTTTAAAATTTAGCATACAAAATTATTAGTATTAACAATGATAAGAAAATGCATTCGGGTTATTTTTATTTAGTTATCATATACATTATGCTAACTAATAGTAGCTAATTGAATAGTTGTGGGGTAGCATATTGTTTTTTTGAAAACCTTTTTTTTTTTTCTATTAATTCATTAATGCTTTATGAGTTTCTCATAATTATTGGTGAAAGTATTCAGTACAATTGTATATTTGTCTATCGTTATTTACTATCCAAGAATATAGGCTTTATATCAATTTCTACCTACAAATGGAATAATTTTTAATTTTTTCTATCTTCAACCATTTTATATTCTGAATTCTGATTTATTATCATGATATATTAGAAAATAATATTACTAAAACACAAATTACCCATTTTTGCCACAAAAAAAAAAAAAAAAAAAAAAAAAAATAGTAAGTAATGATTTTATTAGTTTTTCTGTATACTGTTTAACAAATTGAATACTTAAATAAGAGTATAAGAATATATGTAAAAAGTTTTTAAACTAGTTATTGGGTATTTTTTTAATTTATCATCTTTAATCTATAAACAAATTGTATAGTCATTAATTTAGTTTCTTCATTTATATAAATCTGTGATTGCTATCAATATCATTATATCTATAAATAGTCAGACCTTTCTTATTGCTAGTATATTATCAGTGTTGTGGTTCTTGGAAATGTGAAATATTTAAAGTTTGAACTCCAGCGAAACTATGAAAGCAAAAATACACAAAAAGCGGAAAAAAATTCACTGAGAACCCAACACCTGATTTTAATTTTGTAAACATATTTAAACTTGTTAGCTGCTTATCCAAGTTTTGTAGGAAATTAATTTTGATTTAATATTTTTTTGATTGATCATAGTACCAAATGTATTTCCCCAAATTTCAAATATTAAATTTCACTATAGTATTACTTAAAAAAAAAAAAAACAAAGTAAAAAATTAATTTCCTACAAAATATAGACAAGAAACTAGCAAATTCTAATGTGTTTTCAAAATTAAAATAATTGGACTTCTGTTCTTAAGTATGTTATTTTTCTTCCTCTTATTGGTCTAAATGCAATTTAACCGCCTTAACCACATTTATTAACTACCAACTATACCAACTACAATATACTTATATTTTTTATAGACATTGGACTTGTGTTTTGTTTAATTATTTGTATTTTGAAGTTTAGACTTATCTTGCAAATAGTATTTAATTTTAGTACTTGTTTAGTAGAAAATACTTTAAACTTAAGTATAATTATTTTATGTTTGAGTTTGGTCACCTTATATAATATACTTGTAAAATGATGAACTTTCATTAAGATATATTTTGTTTAAATATCAGATAATTTAGTAAATCGGTAATTTTGATCAATGGAAGTTTTAATTATTATTATTACTATTTTAAAATATACAAACCAGTTAAGATAATAATTATACACATTTATTTTACAGTAATATTACTTATGAACTGGAAGAAACTGATGAACAGAGAAAAATTAGATTGAAGAGGTTGAAAAAATTTACCACTTTTGGAAATCATACAATATAATTTGTTTTAACATTATAATTAATTAATTTGCTGCTATCTAAATTATATTTTAACTTACAACAAATCATTTATTCTAAATCTATTCTGTAATTTTGTATTGTCTGTTATTCAGCATTTTTTTAAGTTTTGTATTTGAACAGTAATACTTGCTTTGTTTTTATTTATATATTATTATTATTATATATTCAGTGTATAATAATTTTTACTAGAAAATAGTGATCATCTAATATCTAATCTTACCAGAAAAATTAATTTATTAGTTTTTCAACTAAGTGTATCAAAATATGTCAACTTACAAACAAATATGTATTTTTGATTGTAACAATATTATCATGGTATTTGGAAATAAATAATCTATTATTAATTTAGGTAGACATTTAGAATCTGTATTTGTATAAATGGTAGGTAAATGTGATGAAGTTTTATCATTACAACTGTCAGTTTGACCCTGACAAGTAACTTGATGTAAGTACTTCTGATGTATACACTATAGTTCAAGTATTCGGTGGTCCATAAAATATATAAAACTAAAAACTACTTTGTGTAATTTATTTATATCAATCCTCTACTTCAACTAAGGTACTATAAGTATGAGTATGTACATCCGCCATTTTGTTTGCAACAAAACTGATAAATGAAAATTAATTAACTATAATAGCTATACTGATTACTGAAATTACAGAAATGTATACTTTAAAGTTTAATCAAATTAATAAAACTACTTATTCAATTATGTTATGCTCTGTAGGAAAAATTTGGATAGTTAATAGTATATGGGATTCCAACCGATTCAACACGACTGCCAAGTAGGTAAATACACAGTTATTTGTTTTATTTATTTATTTATCATCTATACTAAATTGTTATTTTAATAGATTCATTTTGAGGATAATCAGTTTGAACAAAATTTATTAGATTGATTAAAAAAAAGTTGAAATGCAATGCAATTCCTACTATTCTTGATGTTCCTAATCCACCAAAAACAATAATGATCTCAAGAAACTCCATGTTTAAATTAAATTATATATTATTAATGTTGAAGCAAATATTGTGTAAATTAATTAATTAAGGGTTGCATCAGGGTCCTATTTGCTGAACTGCTTAACAAACAGTAGTTCAATAGTTCAGTTAATTAGACAGTATTCAAATTATTTTAATTACAATTTTTATAAAAACTAATTACTGATGACAATATTTCCTATCAGATTGCAGATACTGTTTCTGTCAATGAAAAGATACATTTCAAAGATCTAAAGATTTAAAAGTTTAAAAGAACAATTCAAATTTAGAATCTACACATTTCTGCAGTAAAATTAGCTCATTTTTTCAACAATGTTTTTACAGGAGCCATTGTTAAATAATTTTTAATTACCAAGCTTATAAAACTTATATATTAACCTTATATTATGCCTATAATACTTATATTTATATCTTATACATTTTCATTAGCAACAACTGTTTTATTTTATGTAATCTGCATTGGACCATCAGATGTAGACAAATGAGCCATAATATATACAACACAATTTGTTGTCTAAATGAGTTAGGTACTTTTATATTCTTTATAAAGAAGAAAAATTATAAATACTAGTAAATACTTGATAACTAATGGTTATATGGAGCATTCAAACATAGACTAAAACATGACAAAATATTTTAATATTAAATAATAAGCAAAGAAATAAATTGAATAATGATTATATTTATACAATTATACATAAAGCTTATGACACTCATAATATCAAGATATGATAATAGGTTCTTACAATATTTTGCAAACAAAATAGTGAATGTACATACCTGCTTATTTAGTGCTCTATAACTATTAGTAAAACTACTGATTGGTACTAATAAAAACAATAAATTCTTACACTTTATCAAAAATTGAATACAATATATTCATATATTCTAAAGGTTATATTGAAAACAATCAATATTTTCTTTCTTCAGCTGTAAAAAATATGTAGCTTTTTTTGTGAAGTATCAATTGGTCTGATACTTAAATAACGGCGGAGTACGATTGCGCAGGGTGCCGGAATAACAAAAAACACGGTTTTGACCAATCAAAGGCGTACGATTGCACATTAAATTCGATGCGACGTTGCCACTAATAGTTACATAGATAGATTGGTTAAAATTCATTGAAAAAATATCGTTAAAAAGTTACCTATATTAAATTATAAATTTATAGTAAAGTCCCGATACCTATTTCCTACTATTAACAAATACTTAAGAAAATTTTCTGACGTTTTATTTTGTTCATACTCTTTGTGTTTTTTTTTTAAAAAATTAAATTTTTTGTAATTGATATTGGCTTCATTATTCCTTTGGAAACGATTAATAGTTTGGTTAATGTTTCTACCTGAGTCCCAGAAAGATATTTATAACAATAAATGTCGGTGAATGAGCATTGTTAAACTGTGAGTTATATGTTCTATGGAAACTTTCAACCCCATTTGTAGTTGTAAAAATGCATGAAATACTATAGTAAACATTATTACTTTGGTACCCCGTACCCCACATGTTAATTTTCCATTTATGCGTGTACTTATTAAAACAAATCATAATTTGCAGGTACACGGTCGTGGGTATTAAACATGGCATAATGACGTTATCAAGTTATAATATTTAATCATAATATTTATTTAATTTTGTTCAATATTTTAATATCCAATGACATAAAAAAAAAAAGATAAGCCTAATATTGCCGTTTGTATGCGATGAATGTAAAATCTAAATATGACACCTAAACCATTTAAATGTCTATTTCTTGTATAGCTAACGAGAAAAAAAAATATATGCAAAATAAACGGATTAATTAAAGATTATTAGAGAATATTTTTGATTCATTCCATTTATAGATCATTTTAACTTTATTTTACCATCATCTATTATAGTTCACGCAAAAAAAAAAATAAGCAACTATAATTTAAATGTATCAATGTGATTTAGATTACAGTGTGATGGCAGTTGTGAGTAAAATTAAAATGTAGAAACAAAAGATTGCAGGATTTACCAAAAATTACTATCTACACTTTTCAAAAATGTAATGTATCAATTTTCTCCTCTACTTTCAAACAAATTTTAGCAACCCTCCCAGTTGCAACTGCTAGGAGTGAACGATCTTTATCAGTGGCGTCTCTAGACCTTGACTATGGGAATAATTAAATTTAATATCAATGATTGATAAGAAAAAAAACGGACATACTTCGCACAACGGGTGGACAATTGTTATAGATTGTTATAGAATAGTTGGGAAGGTAGAATCTTGAGAGAAATTTAATATATATCTGTACCTAAGCAAATTTAAGCATTGCCAACAAAAAACGATTCTAAGCGAAACTCGGTTAATCATATTGCTCAGGGGCGTCTTCAGGTCAATTCCGTGAAGAGAGGGCAACGAACAATTTTTACTAATGAATACGACCGCTTTAGTCAATAAAAACTTAAAACCTTTATGTCTATTGTCATAGCTTAGATGTAGTTTAGAAGACTACAGATATATTGTACAAATACAGTAAATCAGTACAATTTAAGTTAAATTAATATTTTTCACATTAAATAAATAATAATTAAAATATTGGTAATATGAATACCAAAAAAAATATAATAATAATATTTAATAAAAGTTGGATCACTCAATATTTTTATTTTAAGCAACGTTTTGCAAGTAGTTTGATTTACAATATTTTCTACAAAAATGTTTTCATTTTGGTGAATATTTAAAAGTGATAAGCCTCTGCTAAAAAAATTTTTTTTTACCACAAAGTACGACTTTTAATGAACCTCTTGTTAAATTCTCAAGCATTTCTGTCTGGTTTAAACATTTCATACACAGAGTACCTATACTGAATAAAAATTACGTACAAAAATCGCAAAATTAAAATGTCCATAAATTGCTTAAAATGTTTACCACGTCAAGAAAAGGCAAGTATAAGTTTTCTGTCCTTTTTCTAGTCTCAACGAATATTTTTAACTGAATTACAACAAAAAACAAAATTTAAAATAATATAATCAATATTTTCGTATATTTTCTGTTTTTCTTACGTTTTATCTTGAGTTTTCCTGATATAATGAAAATTGCTTAGAAAATCAAAAAATAACCTTCCTAAAGTACCATCTAGTCAATATGATAATATTTTCTTTCAAAATAGGTGCTACACTTAAATATTGAAGCAAGATTTCTGGTAGAAATTTTTGTAACGATACAAAAAAAAAACATTGTAAATCCAATGGGTACAATCTTCGTTAAACTCAGAATCTAAAGTTTAAATTAAATAAATCGTTTCCAATTTTGATTTTAAAAATATATTATTTTATTATATCTTTGCAAATTGATTGTTCTCACGTAGTTTTCTATAATTCTATCTCACCCTTGAAAGAATATTTATTGAAATTTATAAATTAGGAAAACGGAAAATGTATAACGACCGGTTATGGCATACCACTAAACCTGAAATAACAATTGAAAATTATCATAATCTCCAAAAGTTTTATGCCGCCGTGTCGACCGTAAATACATAGTTCTAAAACAAAACATAGAAATCACTTGGGTGTCGAATTAAACTTGAGGTATTATCTCTTCAATATCGAACCAAACATAAAAAGCTTTATCTTAAAATACTTGTATCTGTATCTAGATATTAATTAAAAGTACCTTATTACAGCACTGATTACTTGGTTATTTTATTGTTATTTTCTAACAAATCTAACAGATACTTTATACAAGTCTGTTATATAATCTGTTTTTTTCCCCTTGAAAATGTTATCAAAAAGGTCGTGTTAAGATAATTCGTCTTGATTAGGTTGTTGATTTTGGTATTATTTTCTGCTAAATATTTTCCTATTAAAAAAGTGTTAGAAATATTTGAAATCGTATGTGGTTCGTTGTTAGCATTTATTACATTGTTGTTTATAATTGAACTTATCTGTTTAGTCATAACAATATTATTATTTAATATCCCTTTGATTTATTTCCACGTTAATCTAGTATTTAATGCAACATTATTAAATTTGATTTTATAAAAGGACGTCCTTGGATAATGGGGACGGTCGCAGCCACTGTTATAGGTAATTTAATGTATACCTGTAAGCAACGATAAACCATTGCTTACGAAAAAACGATTCTGAGCGGAGTTCAGTTGATAGTGATGCTTTTTCCATAATATATATATGTCATACTATAGCAAAATAATTAAATAGGCTTTATCTATTTTTTTTAATAATATTTGTTTAATATTGTACCGATTTTCCGCGTTTACCTACGTTTTTCTCGGTTTTCCCATGTTTTATCCCAGTTTTTCCCATTTGCTGGAAAAACTCTTGGAAAAATCGAAAAATGACCTCCTTAAAGTACCTTCCCAATAAAATTTCCTTTCAGAAAAATTGTTTTAATTATAAATCAAACCAAATTGCTTGTAGAAAAGTTGTTTACAGGAAAAAAGAAGGCCTTAATATATTATAATAACTATAATGCTTACATTTCTTATATTTTCCCGTTTTACTTCCATTTTTTTTCAGTTTTTCAAATTTGATAAGAAAATTTCGGAGAAAATCGTAAAATAACCTCTCCAAAGTACTTCCTCAGTCGGATTTTCTAATATATTTTTTCACCTGAATCAAAATAAAATATTGAAACAATACAATTCATAAATTTTCCCGCTTTTCCAACGTTTTTTCCTAGTTTTTCCCATTTTTTATGAAAACAATTGGAAGAATTGAGAATCAAAAAATAACCTCTTTAAAGTACCACTCCAGTCAGATTTCTTTTCAGCAAAAGTGCTATGCTTGAAATTCGGAGCGAAATCAACGGTAGAAAAGTTGTCTACAGAAAAAAAATAAAAAAAAATAAACATAATTCTAAAACCAATAAATTTATTTGCTTTGCTCACAATCTAAAACATAAGGTATGAACTGTTAAAATGTCGATAAATATTTCAAATAAAAAAATATAGTATTTATCTAGCTAAAAGGGTAATAAAAAAAAAAAAACATTAAAAGTATTTTTTTTTTTAAATATATAGAAAATTTTAAATACTGCGATTTGATCCAAACAATATTAAATATTACGTAGAATTTGTAAAAATATTCCAAATTTCAAGGAGGGATGTTAATTATAACTTTCATCCTCTTTTCCTGGTTACGCTACGGGTATATATACATCCCCAGTATCAACAATTTTTAAGTTTCTTTCTATATAAATCAAACACTTGACATTTCTTTTTTGTCGACATTATATTTAAAATAAGCGTTTGATTATATTTTGTACATTTTTTCAAATAGAAGGATAACGAGAAACCTTTCCTTGCATTGCCATTTTTCAGAAGGCTACAGAAAATGTTGGGAGACTATGGTCCTCCTTTCTACGCCTATGCACGTTTATTTTAAAGCAATCTGCTGTTAAGTCCAGAGAATATGGTATACTGAATTTCATCGTCTTTATAACTATAGCTGGGGAGTGGATATATTGTGCATATTGCATACCAACGCAGAGCCACGTAGACTGTAGTATTGATTGGTGTTTTTTTTTAGTACACTCTCTGGCCGACCCGTCAAGCAGCGCTATTATAAAATATTTAGAGTGTGTATGTAAAAGTTTATGGGTTGTTACTCATCGCGATATTCCTTTTAACATGATTTTCTATTATGAATTTTGTTTTTGGCAACGTTTCAGCATCCGGAATTCCGTTTTCGCAGCAGTTTAATCCGAACCGCAGTTATGTGCGTTTTAGTGTGTGGTGACAGCGGTGGGTCTTTTTTTCACTTTTAAATCGAAACAGTATTCATTTATTCTCCTCCTTTGGAGAATATAGCGAAGTATTGTAAAACCGTCGTCGAGAATACGGTTACAAATTCGAGCTACGTTATCAAAGGTAATTTTTTTTTTCTTATTATTTAAATTACGTTTAATAATGGCCATATATACCTATTTTACCTGTTTATTTGGTTATTTATAATAGGTATCATAATTAATGTGCGACGATTATGTTTTGAAAAATATTTATTTATAAAAAAAAAAAATGTAGTATTTCACAATTTTTTCATGTGATTGCGTATGTTCGATAAAAGTACCTATCTAAATAGTTTTTAATAGTTGTAATAACATTTTATGGTAGGTACATATCTAATTATAAATATGTAAAGTGAATAAATATATAAATAAAAAATGTATATATAAAAATAAAATAAATAAATGAATCAATGTGTTGCCTGCAGCATTATGTTAAGTGTATTATTCAATTTAAAAATGCATCATCAGGTATATCACAGTCAATATGTAAAACGCGACTTATTACATTTATTTATTTAATTTGTATATATATATATATACATTTTTTATTTATATATTTATTTACTTTATTTATTTACGAGTATTAACCATTTTAATAATTTTGTTTTTACTTTATTATTTTATTATAAATATTTGGCGAAATCGAGTTTAAATACTAAAATACTCAATGCAGTAGACAGAAGGGTCCTAAGACTTTTAATTAAATCATGATAATTATACTAATGTAAAACATGAAGATTCATTTTTTTTTTATTCAATCTTATAAGATTCGTATACCTACGTAGGCAACTACAGAACAGAAGTACAGGTACTATCGTAATTAAGAATACGTTAAATTATATCATAATTTTCTATTTAAGTAGGTTCCGATTACACATTATATTTATGAAAATTAACTCATACAGTCGTAATATATTATCATCGTGTTGAGAAATATATTTGAAAGTGTTGTAAATTAAAATAATATGTCACAATAAACGCAAAACAAAATATAACAGTACATGCCAAAATGGTTTTTGTATTTTTAGAAACGATATAATATCATTAATGAAACATACACTAAAATGTGTAATATATTAAAATACCAGTAATACCACCGCATTATTGTCCGATATCTGCATATTTTTAGATTTAGAGCGTAGCGAGGGATCTATTGGTTTTACTAAGTGCGTTTTAGATTCTGAGTGGAGTGAAGAAGCATATGGTTTTACAAAGATGTTTATTTTTTTTTCTGGGGACAACTTTTTAAGACTTGCTCCGATTTTTAATGATAGCAATTTTTCTAAAAGGAAATTTCACTGGGGAGGTATTTGAAAAAGGTCATTTTTCGATTTTCTCCGGAGTTTTCTCAGCAAATGTGAAAATCTGGGAAAAAACATAGGAAAACCGGGAGAAATCGGTACAACATAAAACAAATATTATTAAAGAAAATATATAGAATATTTTTAATTATTTTACTATAATATGGCATATATATTGTTGGCAAAGCATCACTATCAATTGAACTCTGCTCATTTTGTTTTTTTTTTTGTTAAAAACTATTATAGAGACCTATAGTTTCATAAAATACTTAAATTAGTTTTTTGTAGACGTAGTCAAATTTTCAAAACATTCTAGCTCTTTTTTGGCTATTTTTAGGTATTTGATATTTTCATATTCTTATATGTACCTATTTTTATTTGGTAGGTATATATTATTAAACTCACACGACTTCAGATGAGTACTTGAAAATTTAACACAAGGTATATTATTAGTTTCACTCAATGGTCTAAAAAATAAATTTGAGTTTTATACATTCGTTTTATTTCATGAGTGTTTTAAGATAGAATTTTGTTGAAAATCATAAAAAATTATGGCATTTTAAAATATGTCTTACAAAACTTCGATCCGAATTCGTTTTTTGTGTAGAGTGGTTTATCGTTGAGTTTATACATAAATTAAACAACTTTATGTATCCTCCCTTCCCCCCAACTTTCCATTTACAACAATGGCTGCACCTATACCCAGTTATTTTTAATTTTCTATTTTATTAAACTATTATAAAGAAATGTCTTCACTTAATTTAAACTAATATTGGTTAATCTAAAAATATTTAATATATATATATATTATAAATATATTTTATATTTTGGAAAACAAAAATACCTACCCGTTTTCCGGCTAATAAAAATTAGTTTCATGTAATATTATTATTATTATTATTATAAAAAAATATAGAAAATGATAACGAAAAAAGTTATTTATAAATTGGAATATCAGGTATGCATGATAATATTACTGCAATTAAAAAAATAACCCAAAATAAAATAATACCTGTTATTTGTGTATTTGACACTGAAAAAAGGTCATTGGGGATTTGTATCCCATATCACCCTGAATTTACGGAAACGTCTATACCGAAATTTCAACTATTTATAAAATAATTTGTAATATCAGTTGCTATTTGAAAATTAAATGTAAATAGTTGTTTCAACCCTTAAAAGTAGAGTTACCAAAAATAATGGCATTGTAATATTTTAGAGTTGCTTGTTTCTTAAATTGTCCAAATTAAAAATGTATTACTTTCGGTATAATGAGTGTCTAAGTATGTTAATTATTGATGACTGTAAATATACAGATACATATGTACTATAATAATTTTGTTACTGTTATAACTGTTGTATAGGAACAATGATTATTTCAATATTTTTCGCAATATTCGGATTTTCTTTTGCGATTTCTCCAGGAATAAAAACATGCGATCGCAAACCTGCGGGAATATCAGCACCAAAAAGTACAAATCCACATCCATTTAAAATTTTTTTTAAGGGAAATTCAGAATTTTATGTACCAGGAACAACGTACACAAGTAATGTACATTTCATTTATAACTAGCATAAAATATATGTTCGATGTCGTACATTAAATTAACGTTAAAAATGTTTAATATATGCTAATTATATATTATATTACCTAATAACTATATAGGTATGATTAATTTTGTATACAATTCAGTTTTAAAATACTAATATATAATATTTCTAACCATCCAATTAAATTTGATTGTATTAGTTTCATTGCAAGGCGTCAAAACTTCTTCCACTGTAACACCGAGTTTCAGTAGTTTCATACTGATGGTCGAGGCCGAAGACCATCGGATCTATGACGAAGAAAGTGGATTTGTTGCTGGAAAATTTCAACTTACCGGAGATGTGAGAACTAAAATTAGTGAGGTCTGTCCAAACACTGTTACTCAAACTTCTTTAGTTCCAAAATCGGAAGTGCAAGTATTTTGGACAGCGCCATCGTCCGGTAGCGGATGTGTAATATTCAGGTTGGTATTATTATTATTTAATTGGGATAATTCTACTTATTAAAATCTGAACAACTGGATACTTACATTCTACCTAGGTATACGTTTAACTTTTTGTTTAAAACATTTAAGTACTTAGTACACTTTTTATATACACAAAACATTATTTATGTATATATATATATATATATATATATATTCATATCATATTTTGGATAAATTAGAGCTACCATTGTAGAATATCGAGATATTTGGTACATGGACGACGAAAATTTAAATAAAAGAATTTGCGAAGAAAATAATGAAAGTAACGATGATAACGCTAATGTCGTATACGAATGCTGTGCTTGTGACGAAGCAAAGTTTGAGGTTTGTGTTTATTATGTTAATTTTGATTTAAAAGCATTTATTAGTTTATGTAAATACTTGATTATGTTATATGTATACGAGATGTTTAACCAGTCTAGTGGATTAATGTGTGTGTTTTTGTTGTACACCTGTATGTAACATTTGTAGATTTTATACAAAATATGAAAATCAATCATACTTTAATCTGTATAATGTATTACTAAAATAAAAAACGTATTTATTTTGTTAACACTTACATTTTGAATACGATTTTTTCAACACTTAATGAAAAATATACATGGTTTAAATCATTCTTATTAAAATAATTACGAAAACAAATTAGTATTTGACATATATTTCTTTTGTTTTTATATAAGATTAAAATAACGAAAGGTATATTTATTATGATGTTTTATAGTTGACTTTTGAAGGACTGTGGTCCAGACATACTCACCCCAAAGATTATCCTGATGACAATTGGCAAACTCGATTTAGTGATGTTATCGGAGCATCACATACAATTGACTATCGGTAAATTTGTTGTAAACGTTTTTTATGTGAACTGTCGCACCATTAACTATATCTGTTTAAAATATTTATTTTTTCAGATTTTGGGAACAGGATCAAGTGGCTTCCGATGGTATGAATTTTATAGCATTAAGTGGAGCCACTTCTACTTTAGAATCTGAACTTAAATCAAAAGTAATACAAACTTAATAATTGTTCATTCAAGTTATTCAACTATTATTTTTGTTGCCCTTTTTTTTTTTTTTTTTCAGAGTGATAAAATCCGTACAATTATAAAAGCCAGAGGTATAAGTTATCCAAATGTTACTGGGAAGACCTTTGCTGTATTTCGAGTTGATCAAGAACATCATTTGATTTCAGTTGTGTCATTTATGTGTAAATATTTACAATAGTTAAGTTGATTTTTTTTAGATACAAATTTAAATGATTCTTTTAATTTATAGACCCATCACCGGATTGGTTCGTAGGAATATCAGGGTTGGAATTATGTTTACCAAATTGCAATTGGATCACGAACAAAACCATTAATCTTTACCCGTGGGATGCTGGGATAGAAAGTGGAGTCACGTATAATGTACGTATTTTATGATAGTAATATTACAAATTATAATATTGTATTGATATGTTGGTTTTATCTAATTTAGCATACATTTTAATTGACATACTTCCATAAAAGTTATACCCACATTTATTTTTTCATATTGTATTTTTTGCTATAATTTAGAAAATTAGCGTTCTGTGGGGATACCTCTGTGCTGTTAGTTTCAATACCTATTATAGTGAATTGACCTATGAGCTTGTGGTTTTACAAAGGTGTTTTTTTTTTAATCTGTGCGCGACTTTTCTACCAGAACCTTGCTCCGATTTTTAAGTGTAACCTTTTCTGAAAGGAAATCAGTGTTGGGGAGAAACTTTAAAAAGGTCATTTTCTCAGTAGTTTACTGAATAAGTGTCAAAAACCGAAAAAAGACGGAGGAAAAACAAGAAAATATAAAAAATGTAGGTATTAGTTAAAAAGTATGTCAGCCTTTTTTTTTCCTGTGAACAACTTTTATACAAGCAATTTGGCTCAAATTTATAATGATAGAAATTTTTCTGAAAAGAAATTTGACTGTGAAGGTACTTCAGGGACGTTATTTTTCGATTTCATCAAGAGCTTTCCTAGAAAATTTCTTTGGAAAACCAGAAAAAACCATGGGAAAACCGGGAAAAACAGGATAATCGGAACTACAATAAACAAATATTATAAAAGAATATATAATAATTATATTATAATGCATTTGTAATTATTTTTCTATAATATAACATATATATATTGTTGACAAAGTATCACTAACAACTGAACTCCGCTCAGAATCGCTTTTTGGTTAGCAATGGTTTGCCGGTACTGCAGGTACACATTAAATTACCTATAACAGTGGCTGCACCCCTCCCCATTATCCTAGGACTTCTTTTTTAGCTCAATAATAGGTAAATTTAATTTAGTAATAAAACTAACAGCACAGAGTCACCTAATGAACCCTAACTTGCTATCCTATGTTTGTAAGACCACATGCATGTATAATGTTTAACTCAATACCTATATTTTGTTATTTTTCATAATTTTTTTTAATTAGGTATAAATATTCAATACCTTTAATTGAAATTAAAAAAAAAAAAATAGTTGCCAAGAACTTAATTATGTTTTTAGCATTTTTTTCCCCTTAGTGTAATCATAATTTTTTTTTAAATGTGTAATAATTATGAAATTATATTCGTATTTAATGTACTCAATAAAAAGTTTCCATTTATATTAATGTGAGAGAATTCAAAATTCACATTATCAACGGTTTCTAATAATAATACAACATAAAATATTAATTTAACCAAGTACTAATAGTACAATATATTGTAGTTTAGTTTACCAAACTTTAATTATTTTAGTTTATTTTTAAAAGTAAATAGATTTTTTTTTTTTGTATAATAAGTTATTTGTTGTACGTTGATATATTTTTAATGTGTTTTTAGTCAACTGACATGCTTCAAGTACCAAGAATGACTATACAAAGAGTTTTGTCATCGTCCGGCAATGATCCACGGTCTCCATTTTATGATCCAACAGGTGTACCGATGAAACCAATTGCAAAACTTCATCTTACGAGACAGCGTCTTTATGAAAAAAGTTGTTCAGAAGATGAAGTAAAATCAGAATCTGCAGGTTGGTTGATTACATTTTTTATCCATTACCATTGCCCATTACCCATACAGGATCTTCCAAATTTCATATTACTCTAAAATTTTCTATGAAATACTTATTTTTCAAAAAATTGCTTTTGTAAACCCTTTTTGGAATCATATTTTTTAAAAATTGTATTTATTATTTGTTTTTCCTTATTTTTGGGAATAATCCACTCCTACTTTTAATTTTTAATCATCAAAATATAATAAAAATTACAACGGATACAATTTTGGTTTAAATTAATAATGTCAACACTAAAATGCATTTAAGCTATAACTTAGTTTGCAGAATTTTTTTATTTACATAAATTGTTATTTTAAAATTAAAAATGGAATGTGGATTCATCCCCCCCCCCCCCCCAAAAAAATAAGGGTAATATAACCAGTGGCGTAGCTACTCATTGAAGCCATATTTTTTTTAAATAGAAATTATAATCTTTGTTATACAAAAAGTGTTGTCCCAACTTGCTCAGGTAGCTAAGTGTAGTACTTTTTCTGCTATTGAATAGGTGTGGGGAAATACGCTAAAGAGGTAGTTTTTCAATTTTTTCAAGATTTTTCTCCTCAAATTTGAAAACCCGGAAAAAAAAGGGAAAATGTAAGAAATGTAGGTATTAGTTAAATTATATTACGGCCTTTTTTTTTTCTGTGTAAAATTTTTCTACCAGACATTTTACTCAAACTTTATGGTAGCAATGTTTCTAAAAGGAAATTTCATTAAATACTTTAGAAAGCTAATTTTTCGAATTTCCCAGGAGTTTTTCCAGTAAATGTAAAAAACCGGGATAAAACATGTGAAAACCGGGAAAAACGTAGGAAAATTGGAAAAATCGGTACAATATTAATCAAATATTATTAAAGAAAATATAAGAAACCTATTTAATTATTTTACTATAAAATGGCATATAATGGTATATATATTTTTGAAAAAGTATCACTTTCAATTGAACTCCGTTCAGAATGGTTTTTTCGTAAGCAATGGTTTATCGTTGCTTACAGGTATACATTAAATTATCTATAACAATGGCTGCACCCATCCCCATTATCCTAGAACGTCTTTTTGTATTTTTTTATTCATATCTAACACATAATTTTTTATGAAAATATGAAATAATTTATGTATTAATCATTGTTTAGTATGGCCATTGATTAATTGTATAATGTATATTTCACCAATGATATGGTTATAAATTTATTATATTATCAGCTTTATCAGTTGTTGTTCACTGCAGGTAACACATGAATCGCAATCAATTAAATTGTCGTAAACTAGCTATTAGGCCTGTTTCACGTGCACGTTTAAACTCATTTAGTTTTAGCACCCCTGTCAAACATGTAAGTTCCCAATAAGTGTGTACTCTCCAAGTCGAATGCTTCGGTTGCCCCTGCGGTAGCTATGCTATTAAATATGATTTACATGAAATTTGGAAGACACTGTATAAGTATTATTTATGCTAACGTACTAAAATAAATGTTCCATATTATAAGTTTGTGACACTAGCCCATGGTCAGATTGGGATGAGTGCTCAGCAACTTGTGGCAGAGGTTATAGTAATCGACACAGGCAATTTGTAAATCCTGAAGACACTTATAAACTTCATTGTAACAAAAATTTAACACAACGTAAAGGATGTTTTGTACTTCCATCTTGTTCGTGAGTATTTTATTTATACCTAATCATCAATTTTTATTATTTTAAAAATTATACATATTTATTTGTATAGTAAATAAAAATTATTAGGTATAAATTTAGTTTATTGCCTAAGGTCTTATAAATTCCGAGCATAGCGAGGGAGCTATTAGTTTTATAATGCTGCTTAATTTTTTTCCTTCTTTTTCTTTGTTCTATTCTATGGACACATTTTTTATTAGTAAACTTGCTCCGACTTTTACGTGTAGCAACTTTTCTGAAAGCTCAAGTTTATAGAAGTTATTTTTGGATTTTTGACGTCATATTTTCAATAAAAGTACTTTAATGAGATAAAACGTAGGGAAACGTTTTCAACTAGAAAAAATGATTTAATCGAAAAATCACAAGATACATTTTCTGTTATCTTTTTGATTTACTTTCTTACAGTATCATCACCAAAACTTTTGAGCTATTTTTGAATTTTAAGGTATTATAATTTTTGGTAGTTTTTTGCTGTAATTCGATTATTAATATACGTTAAGAATTGAAACTTATTAATAATACTCATATTGGACTTATCTAGATGTGGTAAAATTTATAAAATCATCGGATGACTTTTTTTGTTTTTAATAAGCGTCATGAAATTAATTTTAAACGAAAATCGCAAAAAAAAAAATGACAGGATTTCAAATTATATATTTCAGAACTGCGCTCGGAATCGTCTTTCATCAGCAATGGTTTATCGTTGTTTACAGATATAAATTAAATAACCTTATGTATCTTAATTTCCCAACTTCTCACCTACAGTGAGAATGTAAACAAATTCAGGCGAACATCGTTTAGAAGTTATGGGAGAAAACCTCATAAAGTTCAGGTTTTCCATTTCACGTATTTCTTAGTTAGAACTTAACATTTTATATTTTCTTTTTCCAAAATGTGTGTTTTTAAATGCTTAATCCATTGGTACTTATAATTAAAGCTTAACTATTATATTTACTTATACAGCGATCGAGTGACCACCTTGAATATCTAGTTTCACCTATAATGCTTTTTCACTTTATCCTCTTATCTACTGGACGAAGTTTTGCATAGCAAATCGAGGGTTACTTTCGATTAAAATTAAAATTAAAACACGGCGCATTTGAACGTTTGTAACTCTTAAACTAAGCCAGATAGACTTATATTGACTTTGGTAAAAAAAAAAACCGTTGTTATCAAATTATCAATAATTAAAATAAATAATAATAAAAACAAAAATATCTATTTTTGACCGCATTTTGGATTATGTTATTTTTTAAGGTTTATGTAAAAAAAAACTATAAAATCAAGTATGATATTTAAGTTTTTATTATACCAATGGATTTGAAAAAACATTTAAAAAAAAAAAAATTAAAAATGGTAAATTCTAACTAAAAAATACGCGAAATGGAAAACTCGAACTACATGAAGTTTTACCCTATGACTTCCAAACGAAGTCTGTCCAATTTTTTTTACATTATTAATGTGCACACAAAAACACACATTTTGAAAAATACAAATTTGAAAAACGAGTTTGGGCTGTAAACTGAATTTTTTCCAATTATAATATAGTATATTGCTGTTTAACGATATACCTATGCTTCATAGATACCTAAAATCATATCACTTTGAGTTATACAATCCAATATGTTGAAATGTTCATTTAGGTTTACATGGAGTAGTTTATTGTTTTTTTGACAATATATATTTAAACAAAACATTTTAATATGACTTATGTTTTAGAATAGAACCTAAGGAGCCAGATAATATTGATCCAAAATGTGATGTGACAGCTTTTGGACAATGGTCAGAGTGTTCTAGATCGTGTGGGCCTGGTGTGATGGCAAGATTTCGAACAATATTAAACGAAGATGTATCACCAAAACACTGTTTGTTAGGAGAATACTTGCAACAAACAATCCCGTGCAGTGAAACAAAACCTTGTTCAGATGAATATAATGTGGTTAGCGTTGTATATACCTATGATACAACTAACAAAATAAATTCTTAAACGATTGTGTTTTTGAAATTTTAGGACTTGGATGCAATATGCAATAATTGTTCGTTAAGTGCATGGTCATTATGGTCACCCTGCAGCACGAAATGTGGATTCGGTCAGAGAGAGAGATTTAGAATGAATCTAAGATCGAGTGGGACAGAGTGTGATAGTCGTTGTTTTACAGAGACAATAAATTGTCCAGATAATCCACCGTGCAATAATATGACAACGGGTAAGACGATCTATTCGATTTATATCGTTCATGATAATGTCCAAATTTGAAAATATTAATTCAACACAATTTTACATGCTGCGTAGAAGATATATTATTGTTTGGAAACAGTTATATGTTAAACAAATATAATGTAACAGTACAACGTGCTTTGGTATATAATGTAAACCAAAGGCACACGGTTTGTAATACTACTATAGATAATCGTACGTTTAAGTGTAAACAGTTACAAAAAATAATAGTGTTACAATGTTATTATGTAAACATAATATATATACAACTATAAAAGTACCTACTTGACAAAGTACTTTTTTTATTTATTTAGAAACGACCACTACATCAAGTGTTGAAAATACATCAATGCCATCTGTTACTATTAATCCAGAGGATGTAAGAATAAACAAATCATTTTTTAGAGTGAAATGTATAACGTGGAGAATCATTTTAATGATGTATACGTATATATAGTGTTAATTAATATTAATGTTAATTTCATAGATAATTTTAAAAATACAAATTTGATTACCTACCATATTGGATATTATATAATATCAATGGTCCAAACAAAGAAGGGCTTAAGAAAATGTTATTTTGTTTTCAAAACAAACAAATTAGATTTTAAAAAGACGGACATACTTCACACTAAGGGTAGGACACTGTTATAGGTGAGAAGTTGAGAAGGTAAGATATAGAAAGAAATTTAATTTATATCTATACATAACGATAAACCATTGTTAACAAAAAATGATTCGGAGCGAAGTTTCTTTTATGTTTACACATAAATTTTCTCTTTTTTTCTAAATTTTTTCCAATTATTATAAAAATTGCTTGGAAAAACAAAAAATAACCTCTCTAAAGTACCAACCATTTAAAATTTAATTTTACAAAAAGTGCCACACTTGATACACCGGAGCAAGAATTCTGTAGAAAAGTTGTTCACAGAATAAAAAAATAAAATAAACTTCATTGAAAAACCAATACATTCCTCGTTACGCTCTGAATCTAAAATACATACACTTAAACACTACTTACACTAATATTTAGAAAAATATGCTATTTAGGGTAATAGATAAATAGAAAAATATTGCATAAGAAACAATTATAAAAAAAAAAAACAAATGCTAACAATTGACTTAAGCCCTCCTTCTTTGGATCTAAACTACCAACGATATAATATTTAGGTATTATTTTAAATAATTTTATTTTTTAGATTTCAGATGATTCGACAGAAAAGTGTATTTTGTCAAATTGGAGTAAATTTTCAATTTGCAGTACTGTATGTGGAATGGGTTTCAAAGAGCGTACGCGAATAATAATAGTTAGTACATACTTATAATTTATAAATAATTGTTCAACATCATTAACATCAATTCATTGTTCATTTATTTAAATTTTACATTTACTATATTTCAGTCTCCGACCGATCAGCTAGAACAAAAAAAATGCAGAAAAAAATTAGTTGATCGTCGAAACTGTAAAGGAAGGCAGTGCAATAGTAAGACCATAAATACATTTATATAGTATTATTTTTAGATTCTTAGCAAATGGAGAAAATAGATTTTTTAATGGAATTTTTTCTTTTTTAAAAACTATTTGAGGTTTTAAAATTCCATCTAATAATAATCTTTTAAATAGAACAGACGGGTCGGTTTCTTATAAAAAAGATGTATTTTGAACTCTGAAAATCACAAATAAAAACTAAATGAATTACGAAAATAAATTTTAGTAAACAATAGCTTTGTTTGGACTTGTTATTTTTTCAAAAAGACGAATCAGAAATATTTTATGTGAAGTATACATATTACTTATTTCACGAAACACCAGAAGGTATTTTGTTTTCAATTGGCTTAGATGCATGAGTGTTGCATACCGACGTACGGATATAATTTATTTTAGTAAAATAACTACGGATCTAATCATTCATAGATTATACTGACTAGGTACCTATTATAAAAACACCGTAATATTATTTTATAGATTTTAATGCCGTTATTTATTATAGTTGCCTAATATTTGTTAATATTTGATTATTGTTATTATTTATTTATACAGCGCGACTTGTAAAATTGGATATATTATGAGCGTAAGCATAATAATAAATAAAATAAACATTTTTTTTGGTAAATATACACAACTCCACTATCATTCATTAATTTCTTTAGGCTACAATGCTTCGACTCGACATCCAGTATCGCAAAAAACTTTGTATTATTTCTTTGGAGGTAATACTTATAAGCTATATGAGTATCAGGTACTTATACCTAGGTTCTTATGTATATTGTCTATTGTTTATAATAATATTTGAAATATTTTGTAAAAAAATAGAAGATTAAAAATAAATAGTGTTAATAAAGCTGATATTTGTTTGTAAGTTATCCCCCCCTCTCTCAAATTGGTCCTTGAATTTAACCCACATCTGAGTTAATTATTTAAGTTAAGTATTTTATTAAAATTACCAAAATCTATGTAACAGTCCGAACATAATAATATGATGATACGTAGTGTATAGAAACCGATGTACCTAATAGGTAATAATTATGAACTACTTTACAGTAGACAGGTATACGCTAGTAATTATAAATTGGTCCATTGAAATAAAATCTGTACAAGTCAATATGAACGCATCAATGATGGAGTTGTGTACAAAATATTTCATATAAAATAATGATTATAATAAATGGTTATTAAATTATTAATATTTTTTTAACATACTATTTTATTATTCTATCGTTTTAATAATACCTACATGCCTAATGAATCTATTTTATTGTCATATAAAGGATGCAATTATTCGCCTTGGTCTGAATGGTCGTTGTGTTCGGCACCGTGTGGCATGAACGCTGTACAACAACGTACAAGAATTCCCGGTGACGTTTCGTGGACATGGTGCACCGATCGATTAGAACATCGTATTTGTTCAGCTTTAGCGTGTAAATCGAATCTCTAACCCCTTAACTATTTCAATGTATCTATACTTTATATCAGTGGTTAAAGGGGGGGAAACTTCGAATGGGAACTGGGAACTATATTTAGCGAAAATTGAGGGACATTCCCGAAAACTAACTAAACCTAACCAAACTTTAAAAAACCGATTATGAAGGCAACAATTTCTAAATGTTTTTCTTTCATACACACATTTGTTCATAAAAATAAATGCTACACTAATAGAGTTTAAAAAAAAAAAAACTGCATACCCTTCTTAAACATTATTTTATGTATATGTCTGCACAGAAAAAATAAAGTAAAACAGAGTCTGATTACGTTTATCTAATAAGTATTAAAGAAATTATTTTCAATAAAACTAATTAGAATTTTTAAATTCTATTAAAAATAACTTAAGCGTTTCCATGGACATAAAATATTAAAGGGGATTGATATTTACCTTAAATATTAAGGGGAATTCTCCCTTTTCACTTTAACCACTGATCTATAGTATAATAAATATTTAAGCAGTAGTATTACCGTTGCTATTTTATTATTGTTCCCATACCTCTACCGCAGTGTTTCTATTTGTATGTAAGATTTAAATAATATATCGAGGATGGTTACTTACCGGAAACCGGGAACTTTTCCGATGGGAATGGTCTTCGTGTAGGCCGCTATATTATTGCGTAATTTATAAAATAAATAGAAGTTGGTATTAAATTGTATTCTTTTGAATGTTGTTAATAATTACGGTTTTAATTTTTTACATTAGTATCATTTGCGCATACTGTCGAACAATGGAAAAATAAAAATAAGCTTTATATAGAGAACTTATATCATCGACTACAGGTTCAGGTACTTAATATTTTAATTATTGATTATTTAATTTAGAATGTATCTATTATTGTATTAAATTAGTTCATTAGGTATTAAATATACAAATTACCTACCAAGGTACTTTAAAACCATCTAATTTGAATTGTTTTTGTTTTAATGATCAAGTCTTCTAAAAGAGAATCATAGAGAGGATTTATTTGTGTTCAAATCCAAAATTTACTACATTTTGTATGTCTTTTTTTGTATAAAAATAATGTTCAACTTGTGTCATGGTTTTAAAAATAGGGGAGGAAATGCTTAAAACTCCCAGTTTTCAAAATGGTATCCAGAATATTCATAATATTATTATGTTTAAACTTTGCAATATCTATGATAAAATACAAAATATTCTACAAATGCTAAATACGGAAACTTGAATGCACATTACAATTGAGTTAATGATTTGATTGATAATTGTGGGGGTAATGGAAGCCCATCACATTTTGCTGTGATGTGTTTTAGAAACACTAATATTTTATTATCTTTGCACCTTTGTTTTTTACTGGTTCATGAGATGATTTGATTTCCTGGACCGAAAAAAATCAACAATTCGTTCCTAACTGTACTTACATAGGTACATAGTTACTATTACTATACTAGTAGACTTACGACTTACTCATATGTAGTTTGCAACAATAACTCTGATCATTTATTTCTAGCAAATTCAACATCTATTTAAGCCGTTCATCACGTAAAAAAATATTAATCCTAACTAAATAATTATATACCTAAATGATTCAATACAATCTTTAACCAATATTCCATATTCCGGTAAACCGATATGCTATGCTACCGATATAAAACGATACCCGATTTCCGATATTTGACATCAAAAACATGTGTTTATATTGAAAATTCTACAACTTTTCTACCAGCGATTTTGTTCTGATCTTCAAGTATTACACTTTTTCTGAAAGGAAATCTGACCGGGGTGGTATTTCAATGAGGTCAATTTTTTGATTCCCCCAGCTTTTTTCATAAAAAAAATGTAAAAAATATGGAAAAACAATGGGAAAATCAGGGAAAAACCTAGGGAAAACGGGAAAGTAGGTAAAATACTAAACAAATATTATTAAAGAAAATGTATAATACATTTGTAATTATTTTACCATAATATGACATATATTTTATTGTTGACAAAGCAATACTATTAACCGAAATTCGTTTAGAATCGTTTTTCGTTAGAAATGGTTTATCGTTGCATACAAATATACATTTAATTCCCTCTCTAACTTTCCAACTTTTCACTTACAACAGTGGCTCACCCACATGCAAAGTATTTCCGTCTTTTGTATTCAGATTTTCATTTGAATACACGTACATTTGATTAATATAATAATATTATATGAAATGTATTTCATAGTTATACTAGCAACTCCCCATCACAATAGTTTACTTTAATTTATCATATTAGTATTTATTTATTTTTATATAACTATCCTAGGATAATTGGGACGGGTGCAGCTATTGTTATAGGTAATTTAATATATATCTGTAAGCAACGATAAACTATTGCTAACGAAAAAACGATTTTGAGTAGAGTTCTGTTGATAGTGATGCTTTGTCAACAAAATATATATCATATTATGGTAATATAATTACAAATTAGTTATTATATTTTCTTTAAAAATATTTGTTTTGTTTAACGTACTGATTTTCCAACGTTTTTCTTGTTTTTCCTCCGTATTTTCGGTTTTTCACATTTGAAGAGGAAACCTCTGAGAAAATCGAAAAATGACTTGAGTACCTAAAAGTACCCTTAAGTACTATCCCACACCGATTTCCTTTCAGAAAAGTTGCACACACATAAAAATAATAATAATATACATCTTTGTAAAACCATAAACTTCTTCGTTCCATTTAGATTCTAAAATATATTTTTATTGAAAATCATTATTTCATACCATATTATTAAACGTCAATTGTTAGTTAGTTTAGTTGTTAGATAGTTTCTTAATTATAGGTGTGAAAACAATTAATCTTCAATAAAATAGCACGTTATGTGACAAGGAATCACAATCAGCACGATAATTATTCACCTTCTATTGAATATTAATGATTTTCATGCTTATTTTCTAGAAATTAAAATGTCTATTTTGAAAATTTTCTAAAGTAAATAAATAAAGTTAATTTTTTTTGTGTTTAAGGAATGCAAATAAAAATGTAATTTTTCTCTAAATCGATGTCCCTTTCGAAGACAAACTGATTGAAAAAAAAAAAATCAACAACAATTTAATATTGACAGGGCCAGAAAAATCTGTAAGATAGTGAGATTATAGTGACTGTATATTAATTTTTAATTATTCAATAAAAGCACGTGTCAATAAAAATCCAAAGTTCATAATAAAAACGTTTTACAAAGTATTAATAGAAAAAAATTAACTAAATTGAGTGCTACTGCTTTTGGAACCGATATTGACCGTTTATTTTCACAACATCAAGTAACATGAAAATTTGTTTATATATTATGTATGCTAAATCGTTAAAAATATCATAGTCGTCAAAACATAAATAATTTCTCAATCTTATGTTTAATTATTATTAATCATTAATTTAAAGGACGTTGCAACACCCGGTTATAGATTCTATTTCATGCATGTGTTGTTCTTTTGAGCAATTTATTATTATATTGATTATTCATATTAAGCTTATAATTTTTAAAGTTAAAAAAAAAACGAGTCGATACTGGAGATGGGACTGCCACTGTTGTAGCTGAGAAGTTGAGAAGATAGGATACATAACGTTGTTTTATTTATATCTGTAAGCAGCGATAAACCATTTCTGACGAAAGACGATTCCGAGCGTAGTTCGGTAATACATAATTTAAAGTCCTGTTATTTTTTTTGCGATTTCCGTTTAAATTTAATTTCAAAACGCTTATTAAAAAAAAAAAAGTCGTCCGATTATTTTTGAAATTATATCACGTCTAAGTAAATCCAATATAAGTATTATTACCAAGTTTCAAGTCACTACGTGTATTTATAACGAAATTATAGCAAAACACTCCCTAAAATTATAATACCTTAAACTTCAAAAATGGCTCAAAAGTTTTTTCGATAATACTGTAAAAAAGTAAATCTAAAAGACAACAAAAATGTGTCTTATGATTTTTCGATTAAATCATTTTTTCTGATATAAAACGTCGTCCGTATTTTTGTAAAATAATAAAATCGTGAAATTGTACGTTTTCCTACTTTTTATCTCACTTAAATATTTTTATTTAAAAAATGGCTTCAAAAAATGACCTTTTTGAAGTACAATTTAAACAACTTGAGCTTTCAGAAAAGTTGCTATATGTAAAAGTCAGAGCTAGTTTACTATGAAAAAACGTGTCTACAAACTAGAACAGAGAAAAAGAATAAGAAAAAAAATTAACAGCATTATAAAACCAATCGCTACGCTCGAAATCTAAAATCAGCTTACCTAACCAAAACAATTTTTAAGTTACCTAAAATTGTGAAAATTAACGATCAACATCGGCTGGAAAAGCATTTTTGTCTATTAATATTATTAACCTTTTTCCTCTAACTAAAAATATTGGACATTTTTAGCATAGGTACGTTCTTACCACTAATGGTAAATTATAATTTTTAAATTTAATATGTAAATTGTATTCACTTGTTTTTCAAATCAGCAATTTAGAGAGCAATTTTAATAATAACAATACAAAAAAAATACCTGACATAAACACATACTTCTATACTAACTTACTTTTTTTACTTTTAATACAAAAGTCTGTGAAAAAAAATGCTATTCTGATTCTTCGATCAATGTCAAGAAGCTTAGAAACAACCTATTATATACTATTATTACACTGACGTACAATGCACTTATGTAAATAATTAAAAACGCAGATGGCTGCACTGCTAAGTCGTGCACATACACTTTTTGCTAAAATGAAAAAACGTTATCGGTCAAATTGCTGTGGAAAAGAGAGATTCAACCAACACTATTTTTTGCAGCAGATTCTTATAGTACAGATAAAAATAAAATACTTTTGGGGTGATTTTATAGTTCCAAATATTATAAACTGGATATTAACTAATACTAGTTTATAAGTGAAACCAATTCTTAATTTTATTTTATTACATACCAACCATAGGGTTTTGTGTTATTGTATTATTACAATAATAAATAAATTAGATACATTTTATTCTTAAATGTATGGGTTATATATATTTTATGTTAAAAAAAGTATATAATTTATCCAAGACGAAATATTAATTTTCAATTATACCTATAATTTCTTTTGAGTAATAACCTTTTTTTAAAATCTCGAACTATCAATATTTATTGAAAAATGCTAAGCTTATCTTTTATTGTATAGTAGGTACCTATAATTGATTTAAAAAATAAAATCCATGGTAACAATTGTTTGTTTTTTTTTTATCAGAATAAAATTTGTTGGTATTTTACTTTTACTCGTCCATAAGGGTACCTATACAAAATAATTACATACTTTCTGATGTATGTTTCTGTGTTTCATTTATAAATAAAACTACAGTTAAATATGCCTAAAGTTGAACTTCCTGATTCAAATGGAGGTAACAAATCGTCCAATGGTAGCGATGATGAAATTGAAAAAACAAGTACAAAAATGGCTAATATTAATAAGAGTTTGAAAAACAATAGTTCGAATACATTATCTAATTCTCCAACCGAAATTAAAACATTATTCTCAAGATATAGACTCCACGGCATATCAAATAATCAACTTGATATTGACATCGATTATGCTATTCACCTATTAAAAAAAGAAGATCAAAATATAAATGTGTAATTATAATACCTACTTATTATATTTGTTTTATTTATCTTATTATTTATTTATTATCATTACTGCGGCCGTCAAATCATCAAATTTAACTAATACACGACGTAAATCGAAAGAAATGGATTTAGTACCAATAGTGTGAAAATGAGTCTATAAAACCGCTCAACAACCTTCCACCATCAGGCATGTTGCCTGGATTTGGGGAGGTGTGTCTAAACACTTAGTTCATCAGCAACTGCCAATAATTGTCTAGGGGGAAAAAAATGAAAACGTGATGAGTAGAAAATTAAAATATCTTATGATTTTTTCGTCAGGAGCTTAAATTTTCGGGGGGAGGTCTAACACTCATGAACTCCTCCCCTGGTTAAGGGCCTGTCCCCCATCGAGCCATAGGCCACCACAAATCTGTCCATTGTCCGCAATCCGATGAACCAGTGACTAGTTTCTGAACTCTTGACACACGATTTTAATTTTTGGTTGAAAAACCGTTAAAATCCATTTAGGTATTATTGTTATTTTTATATTTTACCCCTTTTTCTAACTTATCACTTTTCCAAAATTCATGGTGCTAGTATTCCACCGTTTCTCATTAGTTAAGCTTAATCGTGATGAACACTTAAAATATTAAAATAACACCGGTTGAATTTCAACGAAAACCATAACATTATTTTTATCATTATTGTGAATTGTAAATTATTTACGAGTAATATGAACAATTATGTTTAGATACAGTCATCTAAAAAGCATATTAGACAAATTACTCGTGGAAAAACCGAAAAATCCATTAGAAACGTTTGAGGAATATAGTCATTTGTTAAAACGTACATATAATTTAAACGAAGAATACAATTTCGAAAGGGTATTTGTGGATGCCATAAACCGAAGTGATTGCCGTAAAAGATTACACATGTATAAGGTATTAATTACTAGGTATACCTATTAGGTTTTACCTATATCTATCTAATATTATTAAATGCGACAATGCGTGATCTTCATTCCGTGAACAATATTATACTATTATCTTATACGACAGCCGCCTATGGCAGCGGTTTCCAAATTTGTACAACCTTGGAAAACCTTAGGAAAAAGTATGTGTTTCACGCGTTTTCCCATGGACAAGGATAGAATACATACATATAATGGTCATTGAACTGCTGCTTTGCGGCAGTAAATAAAAAAAAAAATCAAAATAAACGGACTCTGAGCGAATAATAATAATTTGCGCGCCCGGACATCAACCACTTTGCGCGCGTACCACCAGGGACCGGAACCTTTTGATTTTACCGATTCCATTTCAGTTTCTGTTATTTAAAAAAAATGTATACCGGTTCTCTTTCGGTTCTGGTTCTTTCATAATAAATTATCTTTCAAAATATAGGCACGAATAGCATTGTTAGGGGTTAAACTTCTAATATTTTATAAAGCCAATCCTAAAAACTAATGACTTGCATCATACATAATACATATACTAAATTGGATAAAAAGGAATACCTCATAAGTATTCATAAGGTATATACATATTATAATTCTACCTTGTTCGACGAATTTTTCTAGCGCTGTTTATATTAAATTTTTTTCTATTTTTTTTTTTCATTCTTTGAGGGGAGCATCGATTTAGAGAAAAATTAAATATTTATTTTCATCCCTTAAACATAAAAAGAAAACTTTATTTATGCACTTTAGAAAATTTTCAAAATAACCATTTTTTAAAATATATTATTATATACATTTAATGTATACAGAGTAGTGCCTATAGAGGAATTGAAACTGAGACAACGAAATTTTTGCTATTGTCATTGTTACATTTGCGTATAATTATTTAAATTTATGTTCCGGTATTTATATTTTTTTTTTAAAAAAAGGTTCCGGTTCTCAATTTCTAAAACATTATAATTCCGGTTCGGTTCTGGTTTTTATTTACTTTTTGTGAATAGAACTTCCGGTTCCAAATATTTTAAAAGTTTCAGTTCCAGAACTGGTTCCTTTTGTTTCGGTTCCAGTCCTGGCACCCACTTACGTACCTACGTCGGCTATATTGTGTGTTAGTGTGTATGCGTGTGGTCATAGCCTATGACCACACGCATACATAGCTATGACTCATAGCTCAATCAGAGTGGTTGTATGTGTGGGGTTGCATGTGTATGTGTGGGTGTGTACTTAATACTATGGGTGGAACACGTAAATAAATGGTAACTCTGGTTTTGATAATCACGGACTTGTATTACTTACACAAACAAATAAATAGTAATAATAATATTATCATTGTCATTCGGAAAAATAAATGAAGTATCAACACAATTCAATTAGGTACTTTCCTAATATTCATACATAAAATCATCAAGTAGGACATTTTCGTACGTCTCGTCTAAAAAAAAAAAGTATAACTTACCAACATATAATATTTCTCTGACATAGTAGAATTCAAGTATTCAGTAACATATTCATAAATTTCTATTTTACCTAATTATGATTCATATTTAAACCATTTAAATTTAATTAAATATCAAAATAAAGATCCATTATTCTCGATTTTCGAGTCAAGGCATTAAGAACTTTTTCAGAATCAATTTGTATTTCTATAAAGAACTACTGCGTAGAACGTTGCACTCACTAGCAAAATTAAATCAATAATTTTTTTAACTAAAACATACTAATCTTTTGTCCAATAATCCGACAAACCTTGTGATGTGATAAGACTTTTAAAAACTGATTTAAATTTCTTATTATTTCTACTTGAGATCGGCCATGCCATTTTTTTGAATTTACAATTTACATAATTCCATGTAATATCAAAACATACAGTTTTTTAAATTTCATAATTTTGAAATTCATATTTAAAATATTAGGGGCCGAAATTTGTGGCATAGACGATCTAAAGTAAACATAATACGAATAAAAATCAGTTTTTAAAAGTCTTATCGCAACATTATAATATGATATCATAATAACTATAGGTTCTTCAGACTAATAGACAAAAAATTAATATGTTTTAGTTTTAAAATACTATCTGTATCGAATCCCCTTAATAATAGTTATTTAATATTGTACTTATTTTCTCGTTTTCCCCGGTTTTAAATTATAAAAACAGCTGAGAAAATCAAAAATGGACGTCCCTAGTTCGATTTCCTTTCAGAAAAAGTGCGATCATTGTAAATCGGAGCAAAATTGTTGGTGGAAAACTTGTTCACAGATAATAAACATCATTGTAAAACCAATAAATTCATTGCTCTGCTCAGAATATAAAAGACGGTCATACTTTACACATGATTGGCCACTGTTGTTGGTGAGAAGTTAGGAAGGTAGAGAGAAAATTGAATGTATATCTGTACGCAGCGATTAACCATCGCTAACGAAAAATTGATGTGGGAAGTGCGGGAGTCTAAGAGGTCATCTTTTTTTTAGGAGTGAAACTCTACTAATTTTTTATTTTCAAGTAGCAACCTATATTTTAAGTTCTAAAAATATATGATTTTTTAGTTTAAACATATTTTGAATTTATAATTTCTGTTTTGGTAGGGATAGATTAATGGACAAGTTAGTAGTTATAATCTAGGTTCTATAGTTAGTATATACTTATATAGTCTACGAGTGTGATATTTTTAGTGTTCTTTGAAAAAACAACGTGGAAAACAAAAACACTATTATGATAGTAATACAAATATTAAGTCAAAAAGTGAAGACACAAATATTAATGATGACATTGAAGTACAGAATCTTTGGGACGTGAATCATATGTTTAATAAAGCTGACTGTGGACTTCCAACGGACGAAGTTTCATTAATATCTTTAACTATGAACAAAATGGCTCAATTAAATAAATTCAAGAGCATAAAGTAAAAATAAATAAATAAAAAAAGCACATGTTTTTTAATTACACTTGAATTATCTACTTTTAGATTCTGGGGAAAAATATTCGGATTAAAATGTACATATTTTGTTATAGAATGTGAATGGACAGATGTAGAATTACATCGTAAATTAATGGTAATATGGAACATTTTAATTTTTAATAACCTACTTTATAATTGTATAATTTGTTTTTTATGACCTTGCGAATGAATATAATATATTTAGATGGGCAATTATAAATCAAAATCATCAGGACAAAGTGATTCTAATTTGTCAACCATGTGTACAGAATATATTTGCAATCAAATCAATAAAAAAGATTCGATAGATTCGGATTCGATTAGGTCCTCAGAAACAAATGCCAATAGTCAAATAACCGGAAATTCAAGCAGTGATGATTTCTCGAATTATTCAAGCGAAAATAATAGTTCTCAATTACGTTCAGAGATTCCGTCAGAAATACCCCCTGAAAAATTTGGAACCGGCACAAATCGAAATGTACACTTTATTTTTGATTAATATTTAGTTATTATTTTAAAATATATCAATAATATTTTTAGGTTTATTTTTTTACGAATAACTTAAATAGTAAATGGACTGAACTAGACTCGGTCCAGCCACATAATATTGTCGAAGCTCGAAAGATAAAACGATATTTCACTGGAAAACTATACGAACCAGTCAGCATACAATATACATTTAAATAGTTATTACTTTTAGCATATTTCATTATATATATATATATGTTTAATAGCTAAACAGTTTTCCAAATTTCAATGGTTTGGAAATTGATTATTTAAGAGCTCAAATTGCAAGAATATCATCGAGCACTAGTATATGTCCAAAAGGTTATTACGTGATCGATAGAAAAGGTGATCAGTCCGCAAAGTTAGATGTTCGATCCACGATTTCATCTAAATCCACCGCAATAAGTAAGATGCCTATTGCAGTAGAATAAAAAATATATTAAAATAAAGAATCGGGGAAGAGGATAAGATGGAGAAGGGAAAACGGGAAAAGTATGTTTGAAGTATGAGGGATATAGGTTTAAGTATGCAGTAGATATAACGTAAAACGCAAGAGTGCGGCCCGATTATATGGATTGGCGGTCAGAACTCGTTAGTTCCATTGACTGCTGAGCGCTGCTAGTCAGTGCTATTTTTTTGTAGGAACTTAAGTATTTGAATAAGTGTATACATAAATACGGATAATCGAGAACTTCAAGTGACTACATCTTCGACACTAATATTTCGCGAGAATTTCTTTTACAACCAACTTAAAAATTTCAATTTATTTAAGTTCCAAAGAAAAAATGTTTGCAAAAATTGTGTCATAGCATAGTATGTTTTATTGCAGTGCAATTATATCATACTTCATATCAAATACTATACTATTTCTTTGTATTCGTATTTGATTTTTATTTAAATAATCTGTTAGAAAAAGAACGAATATCAATTAGGTAAGTAGTGTGGCGGCATGAACTTTTTTTTCTTATGAACAACTATCTTAAATTAGTAATCAAGTAGCACACCAATTTTTTCACATTTTATATATTGTAAACGCAATTCGTATGTGACTGTATAAGTTATAAATTAGTATAGTTGTCTAGATCTTGGAGACTGGAGTCATTAGGATACCCACCCGGGGAATTAGGTATAAAAACAGACTAATTGGCATGTTAAAATTTGTAAAAGTTTTCTTGATAGTCTCTTAGATTTGTGACAGTGATTGGTACCATTGGTGGATCTAGAATTTTTTATGAGGCGTGTTTAGATTAAGGTCTTGTATGCTGTATACTATCCTGATGGCAAGACTTTTTTTTTAATCCTCAAATTGAAAGTGCTTAATATTCAAAAGGTGGCAACTGAATTTTTCTTTTTTTGGTATCAATTTTGTTTAAAAATGTCCCCAGCCTACTGAGAAATATATATTGTGTAGAGTGTATGTTTTCCAGGAAGCAACATGCCAGGGGGGGGTACTATAGCAAATATAAGCTTTCATTTTTTGAAAAGTAAAAACAAGATAATTTTAAATATTAATTAGCAGCATTTAAGTTAAGACATTACACGTCTTTTTACTAAATTATAAAGGCAAAGTTAAATATGCAATAATTTGGCCAATTTCTCTTTTTTTTTACGATATATTTTCTTTCTTATTATCTTGTACTGCTAAATGACGCATGCGCATGGCTAGATAATTAGTGATATAAGACATTAGAATATGATTTTGTTTGAAATATACATGAAAATGTAAATGTATGTTACTCAAAAATATCTACTATAACTAAATCAATAACATGCTTTTTCTCACAATATTTTGTAAATGATTGCTCTACACATTTTAGAAAAGTTAAAAATTACGTAGGACTTTTTAGTTTTTTCGCGGGTCTTTTAGGTAGAAAACCGTAATAGGCTATAACTGGTAGCTATATGGGATAATGAAATAATCTGACACGTTTGACTAACAGCCTTCGTCAACTAATGGAACTATGCCGTAACGAGTAGTGACCCGGGCAGTCGTGTATAAATTGCATTACCGATAACTAACCTGTTCTGTATAATCGTAGCGCGCGGTGATCTATCTATCGATAAGATGATTGACGGCAGTGTTGCCACAATGCACAATTAATCGGATGTGACCCTGAATAAACTCGCAGCATAATATGTTAACAAAATTGGTATAGTGTGTGTAAATAGTTCTATGTGTGTGTGCGGTCGTATGGATTCTATTGTGATATATTGTGTACGTATACCTAAATTGATATAGACACGAATTATATTTTTTCGACGATAGCTATTGCCTACTGTAGGAAGTTATTATTTATTTCTGTCTATTTATTCAAATTAATATTCTTATTACGAAAATAATATGATATCTATCACGTATCTTATATTTCCTACTTGAAGTTTGCTGCTCAAAATATGAGGAGTAAAGTATAAATGGGTTGGCATTACGACTACGTTTGTTCTGTATTCATAACCGGTTAATGAGATGCATATAGCCTTCTAGTCAATGGTGTTATACTCTTTTAAGCGCGAAATGCATGCCATCTAAAATAAACATAATCTATGGTAAAACAATAGTGACAACAAGCACATTTACCAGGTATATAGGGTAAAGAAAACCAAATTCAGCAGCCCATCTATGGTATCTATAACTGCTGTATAGGTTTAAAAAAAGTTATGGTTGGAGTGAGTGAGCAAAAAATATCTGCTTCTGCTAGTGCTTGGTGAACCCAGAGAGGTAGCAACTGACGAATTGAATAACGCGTCTGGCATCTTTATGCCCTCTGTGGTCTCCTACCTCGACGGCTCCCACTTCACTACAAGTAGCTACGTGGAGCACCTCTATGTGGGCGACGCGCGCGTAATTAATATTGTGAATTTAAGTGTGACACGCTAAGGTAGCCAGTGGTCACCAGGGGCGAAGCAGCTTATCTGAAAATCTGGAATTTTCTAGATGGGCCGGTACTGAATGATACTATATGGGTCGGTCAAAAATTTAAAAATAAAATTTTTTAAACATTTCATTTAATAACAATATTAGTATAATCAATGCTTAAACTGTTCAAAATATCAAATAATATTTATTGACCCTTATTACAAATAAATCGTCTTATAATCTTAAAATGATTTATGAATTATACTAATGAATTAACATCAAAACATTAGATATTATTAAATATCAAATGTCGACAATTATTGACTATTGTGATGCATGGTATTTCCACATTCCACTTCTTCGTACACACGACTGCACGAATGAATACTAGCAAGTGTTCGATTCCCACAAGTTCTTATCTATCGCGTCAGTTTTGAGTTCTAATTATAGAATTTAATCTATATTCCTAAGTCGTAACTAATAACTATGTACGTCAGTTGACACGATAAACGATTATATAAAAACATAAGATTATCATAATTATTCTTAAATCATAATAAACGCTGTTTTCGAGAGTGTTTTTCATTGTTACTTATTTTGTTTTTTCTCTACAAACAATTTATATTTCTACAATTTAATTTTCTAATAATGAACAATTTACACACGTTGAAAAAGATAAAAGGAGGAGCGATACAAATAAAATACTTCTCAAGTCAGCTCAAATTCTTGGAAAAATTTAAAGAAATCTGTAGATCATAAATATATTGAAGAACTGTACTTAAATAGTGACACAGACAATGAAGATGAAGATATAGACATATCAAAACTATGTAAGACATGTAAAAACTGTAGCATTTGTTGTTGTAATACATTGATTAAGTATAATCTTAATGCTTTAATGCTTATCCTATATTAGCCATTGCTTATCAGCTATTACTAACTTTGCCGGTAACCCAAGTGGTCTGTGAAAGATTATTTTCTACTTTAAAATATAAAAAAAGCCGTTTGAGAAATTCAATGACAACCGAACACTTAGTGTCATTCATGTTGATGGCAATTGAAAAACAAATTCTCTATAGTTTAAATAATGATATGATTATTAATAAAGTTGGTGAAAAATCCATAATATTTTCTAAATTACTTTTATACGTTATAGAATACACTTTATGACATTTGTGTGTACATTTATATATATATATATAAAATGAAAATATTAAAACATAAAATATATTTGTTAATTTTCAAGTTATTTGATAGAGCAAAGAATAATTTTTTCAAGCTTATGTTTATAGGTTAACCACGGAAACTATCAGCTGATGAGCTGGCAAAATATGTTATCCAGGGCTAAATTTAGGGCCACTCCGCCCCTGGTGGCCACAGAAATTTTAAAATAGGAACAAGTAAGGATTGGGGCCATCCCAATCACTGGTTGAGTATAGTAGATACCTTTACCTTCTATATATATATATATATATAGAGAGAGAGAAATTAAAAAAATTATAAATCTTTTTTTTCTATCATCAGTGTAATAATGTTGTTTTTATTTTATATACATATCTATTTCAGTCGACTACGACCTTACCATCAACAAAAACTTCATGGTCATCCCAAGTAAAAATTTGATCGAGTTGCACAATTGGGTACATAAGAATCCCCGTATAGATACTACCGGAATGACCACCGATAAATCCGATTTCCTCGTAGGAACCGATTCTAAAGTGAACAACACTGATATTTCTGACGAGATGATGTATCTTAACGAGGCCGAGGAAGAATTCGATAGTTATGCCGAACCTTCATCTAAGACAGATTTATTTGGAAATTTGAAAAATGATGTTACTAATGAGGGGATGCCCGCGTGGAAGGGTGTTATATGCTCTCAGCCAAATGCCCGTCATAAGTGTATAATGATGAAGTCAAATTTGTGGCCTGGAGCTTATGCAATAACATATAAATCGTACGTAATCAAATTATTATATTTTATTTTATATTTAAAACGAATCGAGCCAATTACATTGTATAGAATTACATAATAATTAAACGAGGAAATTTATAATATTCATAATTTAAACAGACAATAATTTTATGCTAGGAACTAAGGAAAAGTGGGTTCTCGTTAGCCAGTTTTATCATACGGACAATAGGTCGATTAGTTTAATAACTATATTGGCTAAAAGGAATACGGAAAGGAAAAGAGTATCTGGAACAGAAATTTGGAACTCTGAAATTAACTTTAGATAGGAGGACAGGAGCATCAGCTTTACCATTAATAAGTTTAGAAAGAAACGTTAGATTACCATGTTTCCTCCTATACATAGGGTAGACAAACAGAGAGGCTGTAACACTGCTTCATACTCGTGAGGTGCGTACTCAATCTGTAAAGCGAAAACGACAAATATCAAGAATTTTCGCTAAACCCTTTCAAATTTACAACTACCATCAAGATCACGTAGATCCCAAATAACTATACCATACTCCAAAACAGACTGAAGGAAAGAGCAATATGAGAAAACTAGACAATTTAAATTTAGCCGAAATTCTCTTAAGAAATTCGAAAAGCTTCAATGCATTTAACATGTATATAACTTTCTCGATATGAGTATAAAAATAGAGCGAACGAACAAGAGAAATATCAAGGTTCATAACACAATTAGCTGAATACTTAAGAGTAAATTCGTTAACAGAGTAATTAAACATAATACGTTCGTAGAAATAAGTGTGGTCATGGTATATGACATTTAGGGATAAGCCCCAAGCCAAGGTCCTGAGCCCAACGAACGACAGAATTTAGATCATATTGTAACAGTTCACAATCATCAGTAGATTTAATACGGAGAAAAATTTTGATATTATCAGTAAATATAAGAAGTTCAGAGTGTTCTACCACAACTTTGATATGTACTATTAACAAATAGTGCAAATAGAACTGGAGATAGATGTCCTTATTGAGGTACACCAGAGATTACATTAACTGAACTGGAACAAAATCCGTTAATCTTGACAAACTGTTTTCTCTCAGACAAATAAGAATGGAACCATGATAATAGGCTTATAAAGAGGTTCACTAAATCCTAGATTTAACAAAACATTCAACAAAGCATGGTGGTTCACGTGGTCAAAGGCCTTGGCGAAGTCTAAGTAAATGGAATCAACCTTCAAATGCTAACCTTACAGAATTATTATTTATTAGCTGTGCATTGTTTTTTACAGTACCTCCATCTTACATATCCCTCAGTTCGCTGTCTGATATATCTAAATTTCTTCCTCTCTCGGAACTTATAAAACAAATTTCATTTTCCATTTTAGAACAATATGTTTCACTACAAAAAAAAAAACCTAACTGAACACAACTGAAACCTATAATATGGGAATTAAGTTATCTATAACAGTAGCTGCACCCATCCCCATTATCCTAAGATGTCTCTTTATTATTTATTATTTATTTCAATTGTTAATCAATAATGACTATAACTACATGTATCATAACGTTCTATGGTACAGTTTGGATCCTTCTTGAATCTTGTTTAAAATATTGTCAATAAACTATAGTTTTCTGATTGAAACTTTGAGAGCTCATCTCTCAGCTTTGAGGGATTGTCAAATTTCGGGAATTGACTCGCAAATTCTAGCAAATTGAGAAAAAAATTTTAATAACATTTTCGATTGTTTCTAGTAAGGTGAGCCAACTTTATGGCTGTCATGAAAATCATAATTTATTTTTATACAATTATATTATACTATAACACATAAAAAAAATGTTAGTATGTACATGAAAAATATAGTTTTAACTTTAAAATTCGTAATTAATAAATAATAAAGACATGTTTTATCTATGATGGAATTAAATTAAGATCACAGCTGATAAAAAAATAAACTTCTAAGTTATATTTTTTTTAAATCTCAGCCGTTTTTTAGCAAATATGTTTAGCAATGATCACCTATTTTGCATAATAGTAAATCCAGAGTTTCACCTAACTAGGCACCTAAAAATTGTACATATAAATATTTATATTATACATCTAATAATAATTAATTTCAAAGGTGATAGGTTATAATAAATTAAAGCTATGATAATAATTTATAATGAATTGATAAAAATAACCGATTCTTTTATAAAATTGTCTTAGCAAAACGGACTTTGTGTACATTGGATGGGCTCAAAAACAGGATTCCAGTTGGTATTCTTCGAATTTGATGAATGAACCAGCAATTGAAACCGTACCTAATAATGATTTACTAGAATATCAAATACCAACAGGGAAAAATGTAAAAAAAATATTAAATACTAATAATACACAGAATAAGAAGAACCAACTATTTCCGATCAAACAAAACCGCAATGCATTCAAGGGAATTGAAAAACTTATTAAATCTTATACTTACAGTTAATAAAATAAAATAAATAATGACTAGGCTCTCTCTAAAACTACGCCTTTATATTATCTATTACAGTAGTATGTTTCTAGTGGCGTGTTTAGAATATATGCGCTCCAGGGAGAAACAATTTTATTGCCACCCCTTTCCCTCCCACTTATGTTCACCCACTACTTATAACAACCTCAGACCTTCCCCACTCAATTTCTGAAAAATATGCCCCTTGCTTATATCGAATAAGATTTTAAAATGTATATCTTAGAGTTAACTAATTTACAATTCCTAAGTATTTTGTTCAAATAAAAAATCGTACCAAATAATGGCATAAGTCAATTTTATACGTTATCAGTCGTTTTACTCATATCACAGTGAAGAAAAGAGGAGAGAGACCGGCACCTCGAGGAACTCCTGAAAAAAGACAAAATGTTTCGAATTATGTGTAGTGGAAACTGAGTTCAATTTGTAAGATAGGAACAAAGCCAGGAGAGAAAAGGTTTACCGACCCCGAGAAGGTCCAAAGTTTTGATTAGCATTGAGAAATCCGCGTGATTAAACGCTTTAGAAAAGTCTATGTAGATGACATCAACTTGGCTTCGGATAGAAAAAGAGCCAAATACGAAAGAGATTATAATAGGTTTACAGGTGGTAGTAAAGCGACCTGGGAGGAAGCCGTGTTGTTCATCGATGAGAATATGATTGAAAGAAGGATAGATAGAATTTAAAACTAGGTTTTCAAAAATATTTCCTATATACATAAAATTAAAAATATAAAACTTACTTGACTTAAAATAGAAAAAAACAATAATTTTTTTTTTTTAAATCAAATTAAAAAACAGCATTAATTTCAGATATTAATATAGTTAAACAAACTAATTAATAAAATATTATATAACCTAAAAATAACAAATATTTCATTAAAATGAATTATAAGATAAATTCCACTGTTACTAAAGTAGATGAATGAACTAATGAAGATACAGAAGTAGGAGCAGCTATTGCTTAAGGTAATCAAAAAGGAAACGGAATTCTCTTTTCCTGTTGTGTTTGAGTTTGAATTTGTGGACCCTTGTGTTTAACATTTGAAGATTTTGCCATCTGTGCAAAAAAAATTTTGAGTGACTGGTTTCGTAGGATTTTATTGTGTTCTTTCTGCTAATATTTTTTTTCGGTTGAGCTTTCTATACTGCTTTTTAAAAGTGGAGAATCCTTTCTAATTTGAAATGTGACCTTCTCCATAATTTGTGCATTTAGCCTTTGATTTCTTAGACTTGGTGAGAATCAGTGTGTCCTTCCCTATATTTCACACACTTAGATGCTTTAAAACAGTAGTTTTTAGTGTAACCAAAAGTTTGATAATTTTTGCATTGTGGCTCGTTTTTTTTTTTTTTTTTTTATGGAGGCTCTACTTTAATTTTGAGATAACACAAATTTTCAAGATCATAGATATCTTCATTATTTGCTTGTAGCTCCAGATCAACGAAGAAAGTGAAAGCCTCACAATAATAAAATCACTGCCCTTGTTGTTAAGGTCTACTTTTATTATAATCTAAATGTTCGTAACATTATGTACAAAATGTCCCAGTTCGGGTAATTCATTTTTAATGTCACAAAGGTTGGATGCAATCTGCGAACTACCGGAACTTTTTCTCTGTTTTAAGCTGATATCTCTAGTACACAACTTTTTGTTTGTGTAATACTTTTATAGTCAAAATTGGTGTTCGTCACGGGTTAGTATTTTAATTTCACCATTTGCCAAGGTTTTTAATTGTTGCTCGTGTCCCTCAGCTTCTTCGAGTTTCAGATTATTCATTAGTTTGTTAAAATTATTTACTATCACATACTATTATTGGAGGTGATTTGTGGATTTTTATAGAATATCTCGCAATATTTTTCATCACTTTTATTGCTTTTTAGGGGGCTCAAATTATCTTTAGAGCTTCCAGTGGTCATTTCAGAAATCTAAAGTTGTAATTTTTCATTGCTCGATTACAATTCCGTTACTATTTGTTTCAAAGCTGAATTATCATTTTGAATTTGTGTCCAAATACTCGCATTAACTAAAATATTTTGTGGTGGATTTGCACAGCCGTTTATATTTTTATACACTGTAATTCGATTAGTTTGCATGTGACCCACTTAAAATATATTTGTTTGAAAAAACTTACCATCAGTCTGAGGCCGTTTTCTGCACTATAAACATTGATATAAAAAAAAAGAATAACTGAAACAGCACTATTTCGCGAACTGCAAAAGCGAAACGGTACGTGTTGCTTGTTTGGTGTACAAATCGCAACTGAATATTTAATTGATAAATACAAAAGTCATTTAAATTTTTTTTACCATTTCGTTAGGTTTTAATCGCTAAATAATAATATTTACAGGTTTTAATAAATTTTAAGGGATGTTTTGGGCATAAAACCCTTAGCCGAGTACACGCTCTAGAAGAAGACATTACGACCTATCGTTTGAAGTTGCAAAATGTCTTCATATAGACTTTCGTCTATAATTAATCGGTGTTTACATTCGATATTTTCAGTTTTTATCACCGTAAGATACAACCTACTTTTAACGAATTTAAAAGGATGTTCAAGTCAGAGAAATACTTAGCAAAGTTTACTGCCTGAAAGAAGACTTTACTCCAAAACTCTTGAGAAAATCTATAGTATCTTAAAGTACCTTCGCACACCACTTCCTTCCAGATAAAGTGCTACACTTAGAAATCCGAGCAAGTCTTCTGATACAAAAGTTATTAACAGATAAAAAATATAAAAAAATAAAAATCTTTGTAAAACCATAGGCTTCTTCGCTCCACTCAAAATCTAAAATTACAAATAAAGGTCGAACTGAAATTAAACTGTTATCATCGCCAGAACTAACGTTTTCATGATTGATCAAACTAAAAACTTTGGTATGTTATCATAGTTTTACTTAAAGAATAACTCAAATTATAATTCTAGTTGTAGATTGAGAAGTTTATTATGTTTTAACTTCTATGAACCACTAATTGTTTTCAATTAAATTAATTGACCTTTAAAAATATATAAATGTATAATATTATTATTTAACTAATTATACTTGCATGCAATTTATTTATTTCAATGTATTGTAATAATATTTATTATGGTTAATCATTAACATCTATTTAATCATTCCCTAAAGATTTTTGCAGTGTTTGATTAAGATTAGAGAACTATTATGGTATATGAGAGAAATTCGTAAAAAAATGTTATGCCATTTTATCTCTGAAAAAATAGACTTGAAAAACCTTGAAAAACTCTCCAAAATATTAACACATGTAGTTTGGAGACTAACACATGAATTACTTCGAGTAACTAATTTATTCATTACTCTGTATCACCAAAATCAGCATAATTTTGCTGCAGTATATATATACCACATACAAGAGAACCTATAGTTTGTCCAACAAGAGAACGCGCCACAAGCCGACCGAAATCGGTTCGAGTTCGTACATCCCCTCATGAGAAAATCTTCCAGACTCTTGACAATAGCGCTTTTGTTAAAATTAGAATACGAACGGCGTGTGCCCCGGTACCAAAACTCAAGGGGTAATAAGTTATTTCGGCGTAATATTATTTACTCGGAGCATTTCGTACTAGGGCCATATGCGTTGGTATATATATATTCGGTCTTACTATTTCAATTATTACTATAAATACGGCTCGCACGTGCCTCTTACGTGAGACGCGTGTGGGCACATAACACGTGTTACGCGATAACATCGGTTTCCACACGGTTTAAAAATTTAAAATGGCTGTTACTAAGAAACTTCATCGGAAATAAATGTGTGATACATTAAAGTTTCCAGAAAAATATTTTTTACGGAATGGATATCTTAAAATTTTCTAAAAATAAGAACATAAGGTTATTTGTTTTTATTTTTTTAATAAATATTTTAAAATTAATACAAATATAAAAATTTATATTCCTCTTTTCTGTGAGTAATCTTCAAAGATACTCAAGGGGGTTTATCTTCGTGGAACAGCCTGTATACTATTGTGTATGATATAAATATATATTACCTTATTAAATGTTTAATTAAAAAGTATGTTATTAGGTAAGTATAATATCTAATGGATACATTTTCATTATCCCCCCTCTTTTATGAATTTCTGGATCCGCCTCTGTATAATATTTGTATTGTAAAAAAATACATGTTTAAAAACAACATAACTTTTTCAAAACAATACATATTTGATGTTAAAGGTACTGGCGTGTAGTGGTTGCATTATATTTAACTGTAAATTCTAATAAATAAAATTCTTAGAAATCTCATTTTTTTTTCAAAAAATACCATCAGAGATCCTAATTAGAATCTCATAACAGGCAACTGAAGTTTTGTTGACATCCCAAATCAGATCTCACGTCAAGCAATTGAAGTTTTCAAAAAAATACATTGCCGTCAAGTTGTTAAATAAAATTTATTTTGTTAGCATACCTATGACGTTTACTAATAACAGCGTTCAATTTTTACTTAATGACATGATATAACCTTAATTTTAAATATAATAATGTATGCAGGTTACAATTAGAAAAAAATATTATCTAGTTTTAAAAAGTTACTCAAATATTAGGGACCGACTTGAACAGCAGTAAGCCACATAGGACATGGTCATTTTATTTAATATTTAAATTACAAAATTTAGATTTTAGATAATTATTCAATAATAATAATCATAATACACATAAATTATTAAAAAAAATATGAAAAAGCACAAGGTTGCAAATTGTAATGCGAAATTGATATTCCACTCCAATATTGTAATATCTTTTGTCAGTGTCCGGGTAGGGTGGTTTGTGATTGGTGGTGGAATACATAGTGGAAGACAATTTTACAAATACTACAAAAGTTTGGCCAAGTGAAACATACAGAAACAGATAATAGATATAAACTAAGTTATTACCACATTTGTGCAAAAAAAAAAAAAAGGATGGAGTTAGAAAATTGGTCAAAATGATCAAACAATTTTTATTGATTTTTTTTATCAATTATAATGAATACCTATAATATGATAGAATTTAAATTTTTCGTTTAAAAATTTTTTTTATTATTTATTAAATCAGTAATATCTTTCTAATAGATTTCTATTTGTTAATTTATTTAAAAATAAATCAGAGTACATACAAGTTAAACCAGGTATACCACAAAGCGGGCATTTGTCACCACTCTTATTCAATATTTTTATTAATACTACATCAAACATCATTTTACCATGTAGGATACTCCAATCTGCAGATGATCCGAAAATTGTCTATACAATAAATATTGAAGCTGATTGTATTACATTGCAAAATATCTTGTTCAAGTTGGTTGATTGGTGTGGTATAGTAAGACTCTCCTTAAACCTAAAAAAATATAATGTCATGTCATTTTTTATCATACCTAACCAGTTTTGGTTATTTAATTTATAATGAACGCTTGCCTCTGGAGAGCAAATGAATGGCTTAAGATTTTAATTTAGTGCAATCTTTATCTTTTAATAATAATATTGAATTTATTACTTATTACTTTGTTACTTGCATCTAGTTTCCATCAAGCTATTTGCTTTAAAATATTATATATCTTGCTGGTATAGTCTATTCTGGAATAAGGTCCCCCCCTTACACTCTAAAATATTATTCCTGTAGTTAATATTAATTCCAAAAAATGTTCAAGTATAATTTGTTTTGGAAAACAGTGACAATTAAAACATTGGTCATCACTATATAATTCAAATGGGTTAATTATAACTCAGTAAAGACAATTTTAATACAATGGAATCTTCTTAATGTGGACATGTTGTGGACGAGTTACATTTGGGAAGGTAGGAAGGTAAAAACCATTGCTAATAAAAAAACGATTCTGAGCAGAGTTCAGTTGATAGTGTTGCTTTGTCAATGATACAATATATGTTATGTCATATTATGGTAAATTGATTACAATTTTCGTTTTTAATGACAACAATGATTGTTTAAAAAAAGATTAAAATAATAAAATAATTGCCAACCTTATTTTTAATCTTTCAATCTTTTTAACCTAAAGGTTTTCCACATTACCTCGAATATTAATGAGAATTTCAAGTGAACATTTAAAGTGCACATGAAAATAAAATTTTTAGTACACTATCTGTTAATACATGTTTGTAAACTGAAAACATTCTATATCAACTAAAGTAGTTTGAGCATATTTGAAAGAACTTAATGTTATTGTGTCTTGTTAATTTCATCAACTTCGTTATTTTAACACACGTTATTTTGATTGAAATATGCAATAAACGTGCAAACAGGCATAATATGCAAATAATTTCCAATTAGTGATTTATCAAGATTATTAACAAAAGTTTAAAAATATATGTATATGCTGTATATGTGTATACAAATCTCTACTCTAATTATAAATAATAAATAATCACATCACAATGTATAACAATAATTATGAATGTTTATTTCCTTTTTAAATATATATATATCTATTACACCATTGAATTTATAATATATATATTATGAGTAAGTTATAAAATCAATGGGAAAACAAAAACCACATAAATTAAAATAAATATAGATTAAGAAATTGGCAATGTGCATTATTTATTTACTTATCAAAACAAGTTTTATTATAGAATTGTGATAATAATAAATTACATAAAATATTATAATTGATAACACAATTCATAGAAATGACTAATAAATTAATAATAAAAATATATAGAAATTAACCATCACCAAAAAAAAAAAAAAATTATAGTTCAACTATTATTATTATTACCAAGTATTGAAAAATGACACAAGAAAATTATTTTGTTTTACAATAAAAATAAACTGTTAAATCTACAATGTTTTAAATATAAAATTAAGAACAAATTACTATTTCATGCAAATTTAAGGGTTCAGTCCAATGTTTTATGACAGGAGAAGGGGGGGGGGAATTTTAAATTAAACAAAAAACTATTTAGTAAGATAATAAATAGTATAAATTTAAATTAATTAATTTTTTATGTTGGTGGTGAGATTCCAGAATGACTATTATTAGAGTTACTATAGAATTTTTATTTTTCTTTGAATGACTATGATTTGTTAACATATGATTGTTGATGATCTCTAGTTTCTCCTGAAATCAAAGATATTGTTCAATTGCATTAGTTATCAATTTTGATATTGTATACTATCACAAAATACTAACCAATATTCGCTTGCATATGTAGTCTTTGATTTTGCAGTAGCAGATCTTTTATTTAAATCAGTAGATTGGTTTTTGTCATAATATGTAGAATTTGAGTTTGTGTAATTACCAATATTATTTTGTTGTGTGGGTTGTCTGTAGTTACTTTGATAAAATGTTGGGTTATTAGAAGTAGCCATAGGATATGGGTCCTGCTTATTAAAAACCACAGATTTTTTCAATAACCCCTTGAGATTCTCTGAATATCCTAAATAATAAAATTAATAGTTATTTAACTTTATTAGAGTATTAACCATTTTAATAATTTAGTTTTACTTTATTATTTATTATTTATTATTATTTTATTATTTAATATTTATAATTATAACTAGTTAAACACTTTTTATCTTATAAAATATCACTATATAGTAAATATAATTATAAGTTATGTATTTTTTGCTAAAAATTAATAACAATAAATAAATAATTACTCAACATATTTACACAAACAAATTATAAATATTAAATACAGACACATTTATTTAGTAGATTTAAAGATGACATATACCATTAGTAACTAAACTGTTAGAAGAATTTGTATGAGGAGCATTTGAAAGGATTTTCTGTTCTGAATTATCTGCTTCAACCATGTGAACCCAATTATTTTTGACAAGCCAATCATTATTTGTGCTATCAATTACTGTTTGACTCCAGTTTTCTTTTGGTAAATTACTAACACCAGTTTCTGTTTTATTTTGAGAGTTCACACCAACTTTCTCTGCCCAGGACTTAGAAACATTCACTATATTTTTCAAGTGGTTGAGTTTTGTTTCCTATAAATAAAAATCCCTAGTTAATAATCTAAAAATTAAAAAAAAACCTTAAACAACACACTTTAAATTCTTATATTGTTAGTTAAAAGTTATAAGTATTAATAAAATTACTTGATCTGTCGATTGACTTTTATAATGAGAAGATGAAAATGTTTGTGTTGGTATAGAATTTGGGTTAACACTGTAAACATCATCATCTAGCTGAGAATCCTATAAAAAATGTTTTAATTAATTAATATATTTATATATTTATGTTCTAAAAAGTACACTGAATACTTTCAGAAGTATATGAACACACTTGTAAAAACTCAAACGAAGAATTGAATACTGTATCTACGATATTCTTATTTTGACATGGTTCATTATCAACTGTATTTCCACTAACATTATTATTTGTAAAATAAACTGTTTCGATTTTTTTTGAATTGTACTCAACATTATTAACACTAGAAACTAATTGAAATTCATTATTACTAAATTAAAATTATTAATAACTAAATATTAACTTACTTGATATATTATCAAGATCTCTTATTGGCTCTATTAGACTATCAATCTGTTTTATATTTTGTGGTATTTCATCTGAAGTATTTATTTCTTCACTAGTATTTACCTAAAAATAAAATTCATTTTTATTTACTTATTAATAGAAAAAAATTAATTACACACTTTAATAATATAAATTTTACTAACTTCTTTGTGACTAGGTTTTATGATAGAGTTTAGATAACCACTTTTTTCTATTTTTAACAAGCATTCTTTTAAATGTGCATAACTTGTACCAATTACAATATTAGGCCTATTTTCTACAAGTTTCATATAATGCTTAGATACGGCTTTCAATTGATCCTGTATTTTTAAATAAAATAGAATAATATTTCTCATAATAAGAAGTACAATTTAATATAATATCAAATGTAAATTATATAATGCAGTATAATTTATTAACTAACTATACAATTTGAAGGTGAAAATATTAAACAATAACATAGCTTTTTTGTAAAATATTTTCTAATAAAATAAACATGAAAATTTAAAAACACTACCTACTAAAATAATTTTCAAAAAATTACCTATTTTGGTATGTTAATAAACCTTAAAAATATTAACTTGACTAAAAAAATAATTTTAATAAACAAATTATAATGTTCCTCAAAAATTAATTAATAAAATTACCTCAAAAGGAGGTTTTCCTTCCTCCACAATACGTTTTGCCGAAACCATTTTAGAAAAATGAGACAACTTTGATAATTCATCACTTGTTAATTGTACAGCTCCATTATGACCATTTAATAAATCTTTTTTCACAGATTCATTTTTAATATTTTCTAATATGTTCTAAAAAAAAAAATATATGTATATTAATAATGATAACATCTGGAAGGTAATAATCAATTAGAAAATAATTTCAGAGAAAATAAATATACTGAACATAACTGCATTGACACTGAAAAGAAATTTAACGAAATCTAATCTGATGGAAATGGAATATAAAAACAACTCACAATAATTTATAAGAAAAATAATTTGACTGAAAAATGTCAAAACACAAAATTTGTTCAAAATGTAATAATCATGTCATAATATTGGAAAAATTACTATAGAATCATAATAACGCATGAATTGCATTCAATGTGTATACATTTGTAGTCAAGATGACATGGAAAAATACTTAAAAAAATGTTTAACCTCTTTTGACTTTAAAAACGCTCAAAGTTTAATATATACCATAAATGGTGCACCACCACCAAAACTATATATCTGTGCAGACTTGAATGCATTAAATTACTCAATGGTATTTATGTGCCATATTATGTTGGATATATGCAGTTATAAATCAAAACTAATAATTAGACCATATTATATTTATTTAATTATTTATAAATTTGTGTATCACATTTATCTGTTTATATCTATTTTATAAATTATAGTAAACAATTTTACTTTTAGATAAAAGTACCTTGTATTAAAATTGTTAAGTTTTTTTTGCCAAATTTGGCACGTAGGAAGTATTGGAATTGAATAATTTGTCAGTGAAATAATTGATAAAAATGAATTTGTGCCATTTTTGGTACAATATAGGAAAGGGAATAATTATAGCAAAACATAATTGGGAATTTTCAGAAAGATGGTTGGTGACTATAATTAGAAAGACTAAGTTTGATTTCCAAAAACAGACCAAATTTTATCTTTCATTATATTTTATTTCCCAGTTTTTTAATTCAAGATTTTCTGGGGCCTTATATTCTGAAATATTAGAGTTATTTTATTTTATTTTAGTTTCTGAGTGGAGCAAAGAAGCATGTAGTTTTACAAAGGTGTATATTTTTTTTTTTTCTATAGACAACTTTTCTACCAGAGATCTTGATCCAATTTTTAATTGCAGCACCTTTTATAAAAGTAAATCGGTGTGGATAGGTATTTTAGGGAGGTCATTTTTTGATTTTCTCAAGAATTTTCTCAACAAATGTGAAAAACCAGGAAAAATATGGAAAAACCCGGACAATTGTAAGAAAATCGATATAATATTATACAAAAATTATTAAAAAAAATATATAATGCCTACTTAATTATTTTACCATAATGTGGCACATATATTGTTGACAAAGCATCATTATCAACTGAACTCCACTTAGAATCAATCCTTTTTTGTTAGAAATGATTTATGTTTGCTTACAGGTATACATAAAATTACCTATACCAGAGCCTACACCTGTCCCTGTTATCCTACGACAGATTTTTTTTTTCAAATAATTATCCCTAAAATCTTAAATTGCGATATAATTTATTAGGTGTGTTTTAAAATATTAGAATTATAGATATATTTTATAGAATGTCTGGGTGTGTCCATTTATAACTGTCAATGGAACTTGAAAAAAAATAGGCAAAAATAGTTGAAATATCTATCTTATTTTTAGAAAATATTGATTTTATTTTAGTTTTTCATCATATAAAAATGCAGATGTAACATCCTCTTAGCATCAAATATTAAATTTTACAAATGTTGAATAATAAATATTTAAAATTGTTAATTTTTACTCTGCTTAAACTTTTAGGGCCAAACTATATCTAAATGATATTTGAAAACCTACATTTAGGTGCTTTTTCAGTACACAAAAATTCAGGCCTTAGTAATAAACTATATAATTGATAAAACAAATTGTAATTAATTTAATATTTAGTATGCACTTGAAAAAGTGTTTCTATTTAAAATACATAACCTACAATATCTACAGTAAAACTTACTAAACAAAAATGTATAATGTATTAATTATTTTTTTTTTTGAAAGGATTTTATTTGATTAATTTAGTATTGTTATGATTTTTTTTTTCAAAATGTGTATTGCCTGTACAATAAAAATGTAAAAAAGTCTTCAAAAAATTCGGTTTTTCCATAACATGAACTTTTTAAAAAAAAATACTTCGAAATAAATATTTTCAAAATATGTAGGATTTATAATCATTAATCGATTGGCAAAATCAAAATTTACATACGATACATAAGTCTTTTAAAGTTATAGCACATGAACCTTAAAATATAGCATTTTTGAGATTAATCAAAAATTAACAAAACATTTACATTCAAATTACATTTTTTTTTTTATATAAAATAAATAAACACTTAGATTTTTGGTACAAAATCACTCAAGTAGGTGTGTCAAAAATCAAAGTTTTTAGAGTTTTTCACCAATACTCCAAATGAAATTTGTCCTATTTTTTTTTATTCTAAGTGTAACAAGAAATCTATTGGTTTTACTATTCGTATTAAGGTAAACTAAAAAAATTATATTTTTTGTTTTAGGTAAGGGAATGTTTATATTTATTTAATTTGTACAAGTATGAGGATACTATCAAATTCAATTTTTCGTGAAAAAAAATTGTCTAGTTTGTGAGCAGCCATTTTAGATAAATAATGCAATTTGTGTGTATTTTATTTTTGTTAACACTTTAAATTATAGCTAACTAAAATATAACATTAGACTAAATTATCAAAATTTAATAAGGGACAAATATGGTTTTATTAGTTGATAAAAAAAAAATCAAATCTGACAAAGTTATTACTAATAACTTTGTATTCCTTTATATACTGATTTTATTGAGCGATAATTCTGAAAGGAAAACACACAGTAATTAGTTGGATTATTTAATAATTTATATAATATAAATTAGATTTAGATTAGAAAAAAGTAGATTAAAATGATTAAATATAAATATAATTTAATCATTATAATCTATATTTTTCCAATTTCAAGAAAATTCATATTAAATATTGTATAGTATTTATACATAAAATCTCTCTCGAATATTGTTTTAAATTTTTTTTAAAATAAATGTGAAATATGCACTTAAAATAAAAATATAACAAAATATGTTCTTATAGGGAAAAAATTGCTGAATATGCAAAATATGCAAAATAAAAATGATTGCTTTAAGCTCGTAAAAATATGAAACAAATTTCTATAATACTTAGCTATGTTTTGAATGAAAATTAAAAAACATGCAAACTCCTATAAGTCCCTAGCCCTATTTAATAGCCATTACATACTGTTGATAAATCAATAGCTAGAATTACCTCTGAAAAATTGTTTTATTTATCAAAAAAATTACAATATAATCTCAATTAAATTTATCAAAAACCTTATCAAATAAAAATACAATAATAAATAAAAATATATAATAGAAAAAGAATACAGTATTTTTTATTCTTATTAATTAAATAAGAAAGTCAATATATTAAATGGTTAATAATTTACAAAAGTTAATATATAAATAAAAAATGTATATCTAAAAATAAAATAAATAAATGAATGAATGAATGTGTCCCCTGAAGTATTATGATAAGTGTATTAAAAATGTATCATAATACTCCAGGGGACACATTCATTCATTTATTTATTTATTTTATTTTTATAGATACATTTTTTATACATATTTATTTACTTTATTTATTATTTTGAAAATAAAAAATATTATTATAATAAATAGTACATTGTACTTCTATATCATATTATATGTAGTTATATTTTAAATTATTAATAAAAAAAAAACTATTTAACAATATTATAAAAATTATATTTTATAATGTTAAAAAAAAATAAATATATTTTGTAGGAAAATTTAAAATATTTGTATTTTTTTTAAAAAAATATTTCACATTTTTTTGTATGGTTTTTATTGCCGTTTAATGCAATTTTTCACAAATTTAATAAGGATTATGTAGTAATTTTTTTTGTAAATAAAAAAAATTTTCAAGGATAGTTCTAGCTAGATGATTTACCAACATTATGTAATTATTTGCATTTCACGACTAATAACTTTGTTAATTTTGATTTTTTTTCTCATCAACAAATAGGACCATATTTGTTCCTTATTAAATTCTGATCATTTAGCATCATGACATTTTAAGTTGACTATGATTTAAAGTGTAAAAAAAAAAATAAAATACATATAAATTACATTATTTATCTAAAATCACTGCTCGCCAAGCTGAATATTTTTTTTTCATGAAATTAGATTCAATGGTATTGTCATACCTGTACAAATTAAATATAAACATTCATAATGTCCACTCTAATGTGTATATATTATGCCTTTGCATTTTAAATCTAGTTAAAAAATACATAAATCATTTTTTTGATTCTCTAAACAGTTGTAATGTATATAATAATTTGGAAAACCACTAAAAAACCATAAGAGTTACAAAAAAATGTAGGCATCAGTGGTTTTATTATTTTTGATTTTTGTTGTAAATTGATTAAAAATTATCATAGAAAGCTGAAATTTGTACAGAACACTTATATTAGTCTTTTCTAGAATTGGTAAAATATTTAAAATATTTTGGTGATTTTAGTGCTATTTATAGGCATTTTATATTCTAGTTTTTATTTTGTAGATAAAATGGTTTTATTAAACAAATGCTAGAAAATTTACTTTGTGAATCATTATAAGTTTAATTTAGTTCTAAAAAAAAAGTTAAGTAATGTAATGATATTTTTTTTTTTCATACACCTACCTAATTGTTTTATAAGATCATATTTTGACTAAAATTTTAAATATTATGACATTTAAAAACATGTATAACTTCATTCAAAATCGTATTTTGTTTGTAATAGTTCATCATTGCTTGCAGATATAAATTAAATAACTCTATGTACCAGTGATCCGTTTAAATGGGTATAATCATTATCTCGAAAAATATTAATTATTTTTGGAATTTGTTTTCTAGAACATTTAAGAAACAAGTAACTCTAAAATTTTATATTTATGTTATTTTTTTTGTCACCTTGATTTTTGGGAGTAAAATTACCTACTTTTGATTTTCATATGGTAACTTATATTAAAAAGTCTGTAAATAGATGGAGTATTAGTTAATAAACTCTAGAGTTGACATTTTTGATTTCTGTCAATTCATTGATGAGATATTCCACTTTTAAGTTTGGGTTGGAAGAGAGTACTACCGCCCTAAGAAAAAACCCGTAAATCAAAAAAAAAATGAGATTATACTAAAAAAGTGTAAAACTCTAATTAATATAATATAATATAATACAGTATAATTCCATCAACGGATTAACAGAAATCAAGAATATCAACACTAGAATTTATTTTAACAAATACTCCGTCTATTTGTGGACTTTTTAGTACATGTTGCCATTTAAAAATCAAAAGTAGGTAGTGGGTGGTTATACTCCCAAAAATAAGAGTGACAAAAAAATAGCATAAATATAAACTTGTAGAGCTGCAGGTTTCATAAATGTTTTAGAAAAAATTGAATACTTTTCGAGATAATAAGTGTACCCACTTAAATAGATTGCCTGGTATCCTACTTTTTTAACATAGATTTTGTGAAATCGAAAATATCAAAGAAATTAAAACATTTAAACAATTAAAATAAAAACAAATTATTAATTACAAAACTAAAACTAAGCAAAATAATTTACCTGGTAAATTAAAACTTCTTTGATTTTAGTATTAAGTTTTTCTTCAACGGGAGTATGATTATTTTTTTTTGTTGTTAAAAGAGAATTTAGCTGTTTTCTCAGATTTCTTGCAAAATCTAAAGTACTTGTTACTTCATTCAATTTAGATGCAGCTAATAACTGATCTTCACTCAATTTTATTCCTCCATGAAATTGTTGAGAAAAGTATCCTTCTAACTTAAGCTAAATAACACAACAAATTAGTTAAATCACTTCAAATAATAAAAATAAAACTACAAACTGAGTATTAAAATAATTTTTAAATTATATTTACTAAATAAAGCAATTTAGTTTAATGGTTTGATTTTTTTGAAATTTAGTGTAATATACAATAGGTAGATATCAGTTACATTTTTTTGAATAAACTTATATAACAATTGACATATTAAGTACCTATAAGTTTTATATAAATAATTGGGGTTGACAAGTTTTCAATAGTGCAATTATTCTAAAAATTAAATGTATGTATTTAAATACCAACCAACAATTAGGTATAAATTATAAATGTGTGTCCTGTCATAAATTTAATAAAACAATACAAATAATCAAAAATTAATAAAAAAACAGTAAAAACTGTAAATACTGTAGGTAATTAACATTTTATATAGGTGTAGATACGTAGACAAAAAAAATTATTTTATTTTTTAAGTACATTCCTTGTTAGCTGGCTTAATCTTCGCAGATAATGAATTGTAAAAATAATTAAATAAACCCAAAGTAAGACGATCTTTTTAGTAATTAAACATTATCGGAAAGAGATATAATAGACATTATTGGTATTAGGTTATCGGCATATTATACATACCTTGCGTTTCTCTAAATTTCTTATTTTGTGTTCGATGATCAACATAGTTTGCTTCATTGGATCGTCTTCGGTTTTTTGATGATAGCCTGCATTCGAAGTCATGGTGCCGCTCCGAAAAACTGACGTGTATAATTATTAATGATATATGGTTCACCGACGGAAAAATGAAAATCGTTCACACTTTTAACGAATAAATTTTTGCATTTTTATATCTACGATGCTCAGACATAAGAGAGTAGGTATTATGAGAAAGGAAAAAGAATTACTAGAAAGAGTAAATTAAATTTTAGCGAGAGTAAATGAGATGACTGTGCATGGCAGAATATTAGAATAAATAATAATGAAAATGAACGGAGACAGAAAAATTATCACCATGGACTTCGTAATCATGATTTGTGGTCACACTCCGTGGTTATCACACATTCAGATGATAAAATGTGACAGCGAAAAACGAGTAATTACGTAAATACAAACGAACATTACAAAATATAATGTCTATGGGTATGTCATAACAACGAACAATTATAAAATACTACACAAAGTTTGTAGATAATATTGTTGTATATTATTTCACTGTTCAACTCTGAAGATGGGAAATATGGAAGATAAGAAAATGTTTGGAGTGCGTAAAAAATTCGATAAATATTTTTATCAAACAGTATTTATTTAATCCAAAATGTATTTATCCGCAAATATTACCGACGACCGTAAAAAAGCTGAACAAATAATGTGTAATAATGTATCGGTTGTTGTCATTTTGTCACTATAGTATCAGTTTAATTTTCTATATTTTTATTTTAGATTCTGAGTGGGACGACAAAGCCTATGATTTTACAAAGATAATTTATTTTTTCTTTTCTGTGGACAACTTTTCTATCAGAGATATTGCTACGGTTTAGATGCAATGATACTATGATAGCACCCTTTCTGAAAAGAAATCTGCCTGGGAAAGTACTTAAGGGAGGTTATTTTTCGATTTTGCCAACAGTTTTCTTAGCAAATGTGATAATCAGTGAAAAAACATTGAAAAAAGGAAAAATCGATACAATATTAAACAAATATTATTAAAGAAAATATATAATGCCTATTTAATTATTTTACCATAATGACATATATATTGTTCACAAAGCATCACTATCAACTGAACTCCTCTCAATATCATTTTTTCGTTAACAATGATTTATCATTGCTACACATTAAATTACCTATAACAATTGCTGCACCTACACCCGTCTACATTCTCCTAAAACATTTTTTTTTTTATCTTTGAACAACATTTCTACCAGCAATCCCCAATTTACAATTGTTATATCTTAAGAACGGGAGCACAAATATGTATGAACTGTGTGTGTGTGTGTATATTATAACCGCACCACAGCAGTACGACACGCAGTAACTGTTAAGCTGATAGTAATATAATAAATGAGAATTGCGGTAATTAACACCTTCCCTTTAAAAATAAAAAACAGTAAAAGTATAGAGTAATATTTAAAACAATAAATAACTAAATAAACCAATGAAAATAATCTTAACGTAAAATAGATACAATATATTACATTCATAATAATATAATATTGTTGGACTATAAATTACATACAATTAATTAGAAAAACAAAGAGCTGATACCGGTGATGGGAGGGGCCACTGTTGTAGGCGAGAAGTTGGGGAGGTAATATACATAAAGTTATTTCATTTATATCTGTAAGCAAAGATAAACCATTGCTTGACAAAAGACAATTTCGAACGCAGTTCGGTAATACATAATTTGAAGTGCCGTAATTTTTTTACGATTTTCATTTAAAATTAATTTCAAAACGCTTATTAAAAAAAATTCGTTCGACGGTTTTGGAAATTTTACCACGTCTAGGTAAGTCCAATATAAATATTATTGCCAAGTTTCAAATCTCTACGTGTATTTATAATCGAATTATAGCAAATAACTCCCAAAAATTAAAATTTCTAAAAAGCTCAAAAGTTTTGGTGATGATACCGTAAGAAAGTAAATCAAAGAGGCAACAAAAAAGGTTTCTTTTAATTTTTCGATTTAATCGTTTTTTCTGATAGAAAACGTCGTCCGTGTTTTTATAAAATAAGGAAATCGTAAAATTGTACTACGATTTTTCCCACTTAAGTGCTTTTATTTGGAAAATGGCGTCGAAAATAAAAAATGATAACTCTAAAGTACGATCTAGACAACTTGAACTTTCAGAAAAGTTGCTACACTTAAAAATCACAGAAATTTGACTAGGAAAAAACGTGTCAATAACACAGCCGAAAGGAAAACGAAACCAGGACGATAATTTTCGACGGGGACGCACCCAATGCGCTGTGTTCATTGATCGAAGTACAGAGTCCTTCCAAGAATTGATAAAACAAATAAGAACCACAGCGAAATGCTATTGTGGACAGGATAATCGGTCTGCGACAAATGAAAACTGGAGGAGTGATGATACAGGTACAGAGAGGTCAGTATACCGCACAAGTCATACAGGACAAAATAATTTATATAACTAACAAAGCCAATGTCAGAACTATCGAACAAAGAGGTCTCATTGAAATAAGATATATGGATATTCTGACGACCAAGGAGAAATTAGCCGCAGACCTCGCCAAGGAACTAGGACTTAACACAAACGAGGTAAGTGCTATTAATGAACTTCAGTGAGACCTAGACTGGCATAATGCTAATACCTATACACATTATGATTGAAGAGAAAAAGAGGAGCAGGATCCGAGTGGGAGTTATGTACTGCAGGGTCAGACAACGTAAAGAATGAGTCAAATTTTATAGATGCCTGGGGCAAGGTTACGAGGCCCGAAATTGCAATGGAAGCAACAGAAAGGATCAATGTAATAAATGCGGCAAATAAGGACACCTCGTTCGTGAATGCAAGGCAAATAAAGAAGAATTAGATGAGTTCATAACAAGCATGAGGGAAACAAGCTACCATTGTGCTTACATGCGAAAACGGAAACGCTCAGTCATTGACGAATGCACACCAAAGAAAAAAGCTTTAAAAATGGCAAAGCATAAACTGAAAAATCAATAAAAATATCAAAGAAAAAGGCATTGCGTGAACATTGCCAAATGGTGGAATATGATCCTTGTGGTGAACCGTATAAACTAGTTTTTGAGAAATTATGCAAGAAAACATCCATACCCTATACCAGGCATTGAAATACAAGGAAAAATAAAGAATATCATAGTAACTTATTCCCCAAACACAAGCACAAAGATGTGAAAATATGATCAACAGGAGAAAATCCTGCTCCCATAACGGACACAAAATTGAGACAGGCAGCAAAATCACTGAAGGCAAACAAAGCACCAGGAATAGATGAAGTGCCAAATGAGATTCTTAAAAAATAATCAAATTAATACTCAGAATTATTCTCAATGCATATAATAGATGCACAGAAGCCATATTCTCGACAGGATAGAAACAGATGTAAGACTTATCTAAATTTAGTTGAATTAATCAGAATGGAATACTTAAAGAGATTTTCATTTATAACAATGTTTGTGGTAATAGGGAGTTCAAGCAGTTTGCTGAAAAATAAGTTTAAAGTAATATTGTTAAGTCAATTGTATTTTCGTGTAAAAGGCAGTAGGAATAGCCAAGGGCACAATAAGAAAAATCAAAAAGTGAAGATAAAGATTTATATTTATTAGTCTCATTGAAATGATATTCGTTTGTGTGGTGTTCAATGTTCATATTAATATATTATAATAATAAATAGGTAATAAAATTAGTAAATAAATCAATTAACAGTCAAGTTAAAGTTAATTCAGTAGATATTTTCTTATACAAAATATATTGGGTGCGTTTCCTTTAGACAATAAAATCATGAGGCTCACAAGCACTTATGACTCAAGAGCACTCTTGTGCTGTTGATTTGACATATGATAGCGCTCAGGCCTAGAACTATAATTCCTAGTATTTGTGAGTACCATTTGTGTGGTGTATCACCATACAAGGTGTACAGCTTTTTATTAGTGCTCCACTACTCTACTAGGGCCCATGCTTCGTTTAGCTTCTACGGTTTATTATTATATAAGTATACAATCATTAGTTACACTAAAGTAACCACTGTGCCAAAACATTGTCCAGCTTCCCCCCCCCCCGATTAAAAAACCTAGAGTAGCCACTGAGTGTAAAACTTAAAAAAAGTAAAACAATTAAATTATGAACTGTATAAATAAATTTATTATTATTGTTATTTTCAATAAGTATTTGTGTATTTCCATCAAAATCTTAAAATATTCTTAATAATGATTCAAGTATCTGAGACATTATTTTACAGGTACAACCAAAATCAAATCCAATTAATAAGTATATAAATTAAATCAAAATTCTTAATCAAATGAAAATAGTTTTTATAAAGCATTTTGTAAATTTTTTTTTTAAATTTTATCTGATTTACTAAATTTAAAATAATCAAATAACTTATATCTAGTAAATATAGGTAATAATTATAATTTAAAAATATAAAAAAAATATCACCTGTTTTTCTTATTTTAAATTAAATGAATACAATATAAATTACACAGGTAATAATTATCATTATTTTTTTTTTTTCATATTACAACCACTATAGACTAGGTATCAAATAATAATAAAAAAGTTATTATTATCTACAAAATTGAATTTCATATGTTATAATAATGTAATGCATACATATTTTTTTTTTTTTAAATATTTAATTTTATATAAATTCTAATTATAATCCTAAACTTAAATGCTTATCCTTATTATAAACCTAATTGTGTAAATATAATAATTAAATAAATAAAATGAAGTTATATCAACATTTATATTTTTTTTTTTTAATTTACAAAAAAATATAAAATTACATACATTCCACCACATTTAAAATTATTATATTATATTATAAACTATTTTAATAGTTATTATTAAGCAGACTACTGAGAAAAGAATACTTAAAAACAATTTAGTTACTTCATTTTTGATTAATTAAATCAAAAATATTCTTCATTTTTAGTAATTTTATTTGAAATCTATATATACAACTTTATTGCATTAATTTTTTTGCAACTAAAATTAATGTTTATTAAATGATGAATAATTTGGCACTCAATTACATCACTGGACAATATTAATAGAATCTGTAGTGATTACTTCCTCATTTTGTGAATTTTTAGAATACGGCCCAATCGTTGTTTCGCAGTGGACATACCTTTCCTTGGTTTGCAAACTAAATTTAAAAAGAATATTATAATTTATTTTGCATGAAAAAATAAGTTAAATTAAATCGGCACACGAATAAAAAATCTATATTCACAGACCTTTAACACTGAGAGAATCGCAGTCTTTTTTTGTTGTTGTTCCATTTACAGCTTTTACATTAATACATTCTAGAACTTGTTTAGGTCGGGGTAAACCATTTTTTTTCTAATTAAAATTAATTTAACAAAAATATTAGTGTTTAATAATTCATGAATTCAATATAATTAAATAAACATACTACGCATGATTCTTTAGTGGTATTATTTTTGGATTTATTTTTCTTTGATACTGGCTTTTCAATTTTTGGATATACACAATCAATAAGTTTGCGCTCTCTAGGCGTTAAATTATTGGGTGGAAGCCATGTAGTGTCATTTATGTCTTCTTCTTCTGAGTGAGTTATTTTTGGATAAACTGTAAAAATAATTTTAAAAAAAATAAATATTTTTTTATAAGTAGAAAGTAATTTTGTATATTATACAATGTTTAGACTCAGTTTGATTTTTTAAAAACAAATTGTTTACAATATCCCATTAAAATTACTTACTAAAATTTTCATCTTGGCGGTCTGTATCAATTTCTTCACCAAACTCGCTATACTCAGATTCAGTTAGATCAACTTTCTGAACAAATTCACAAGTATATGATCTACATAAAATTAAAAAAAAATGCAAATTTAATTAATAGTAATAAAATAACCTCATTGTTACTTACACAATGTCATCTTGATTCGAAGAATCATTAGTACTCATAATATCTATTTCTGGTTCCTGTTTTTTTATTCTTATGATCATTTTATCTGAAAAAAAATATAAATTTTAAATAACTGATTTTCCTAACAGAAATGAATTGGGTATAGGTACCTTGAGGAAACTTTTTTAGTTCGTCAGGATATACTTTTATTGGTGTCTGTGTGTTACCGGGAATTTCATCAATATCTAAATTCATCTTTACAAACTTTGTATGTATAAACAAAAATACTAAAAATAACAAAAGTAACTATTATTAAATATATTCATCTATCATAAAGTATTATACATATTATTATACTTTATTTGTTTATTTAAAAGTAACTGACAACACAGATTTAGCATATATAAAAACCATTTTATTTGGAAATTAATTATTGATATAACATGTAACATTATAAATATTAAAAAAATTAAATGAAGTTGTTTTTAAAGGCCATTATTTTTAATTTAGTAAATAATAATTAATCTCTATAGATATAACTAAAGACTGGAATTATATGTTTTTACATATTGTTACTAAGCTTATACAATCTCATGAGAGTAATAAATGTTGATGATTCGTTCAATTTTGAGTTTGTAGAAAAAAGTTTCTTTTGCATATTTGAGAATATTTCATGGGTTAAGGAATATTTAGCTTATTTTGCATATTTTGTAAATTGTGAGAAAAAAATATTAATTTTAATAATACGGTGCCTGGAAAAATATATTTTGAAAATTTACAATTTTTTTTTTTTTTGTATTATTTTGATAAAATGGTTTAGTGTTGTAGTACCTACTTATTATAAGTTACCGTTTACTAAACATAGTGATTAACTTGCAATGCTGGCAGTTGTTTTTATACTGATAATAACATAAATGTATTTGTTTATCATTAATCATTATCAACTATTTAAATGTCCAAATATTTTGTTGTTCACTTTTCCAATCACGTGTAGTGTAGTTTTTAAGTTTTTAAAAATTAAATTACCTATATTGTTATATTTATATTATATTCTTACTCTTACTTAAGTGCACTATTATTTTATTTTAATATGCAAGTGTTACCAATTTCTTATGGAATGTTGTAAAACAAAAGATTGCATATTAAAGCATATATTGGTGTTCATTGATTAATTTTGCATATTTTTCAAACTTCTAAAAGAATGTAATGAGAATATTTTAAGGTTTTTTTGAGAATATTAGCATCATATTTTTGGTGTTTTAAAAGAATATAAATCCGGTCTTTAAATATAACTAAGTAACGGATTTTATTGGAATAAAATATTTTTAATCTTATAAACATGTGTAACATTTATATCGTTCTTAAATAAGCTCATTTAATTTTACATATTTTAATAATTTTTGATTGAATCATTGATTTTTGATGACAACAAACACTATCTACTTTACACAAAACGACAAGATTAATAAATTTGCCATTTTTTTTATTCTACATGATCTAAATTTGTAGACAAATTAAAGGTTAGGTGAAATGGTCAAACAGAAATTTACTAATATAATTGAGAAAAATTCTGGATTGCAAACTATTAAAATCAACAGAGATATTTGGAGTTGGCCCCTACCCTATTTGCACTACAGATGATTTAAGACATTCAAATTATTCGGATTATCCGGTTAATCTAAATAAAATTAATTTAGATATATATTGGATTATATTGGAATCTGGTTATGTCTGACACATTATTACTTTTAATACTTAAAGATATTACAAATAACTAACACTAACAGTTCAGGACCCAGCATATTAATTTGGTTTAGTTTTGGATTTAATTTAAAATGGTTTAATCTAAATGTCAGTGGCGTATTTGAGGGTGGGGTCCTGGGGGTTCTACCCCTCTAATATATTTTCTAATTCTATTCATTACTGAAGTATCCCAAAATATTGTTTACGGATGACAAAATATTTTAAAATTGCTTTTAAATTTCTATCATGGATTAATAATAATTGTAGATTACCAAACAATAATAATAATATTAGGTTTATGTGTTTTACACAAATAGATTGTGAATATATACAAACATACAAAATTAATTAAACTGATAATTTATTCAGTCTAATCGTTTATAATTTATTCTTGTCATAATTTTATTATAATCAAAAGTTTAAGAAGCAATCCTAAAATTTTTTACAAGAAAAAACTATGTGTAATATACGGCTTATAAGATTTTAAGGCGTATTATAATCAGGTATGAATTTGTGATAAAGTAATGTTAATATTTGTGGAGAAAAAGTATTCCCAGGAGTCAAGGCATCTCCTCAAAATAGGACACTGCTATATCTGATCAGCAAATTTATTCTATATCAAAGATAATCTTAAGTACAAAAGTGGAATATATAACTTACAACAAATATATTAAAGAAAATGTTCAAAATAAATACATTTGTCTTCAAGTCCATATTATAAACAAAGAAATAATTTGTTAATTCTTCAATTATATAAATCACTTAGAGAAACTGGTTTACACAAAATTTATCTTAACATAGATATTGTCATTTCAGTTTTGTTTGTACACCAGCAGCAAACGGTTTGACAGAAAATTATTTTTTAAGCGAATACAAAACTTACTTCCAACCGCAATAAATAAAAGATTTTTCAGTTTAGCATTTATTCATACAATTTAATCAAATTGTCTTGTTTCATTATTCTTATAATGAAATTGTTTGTTAATCAAAAAAAAAAAAGACAAATTATTTTACTACTTTTATTCAAATAAATAATATAGTGATTAATGTTTATAAATTACGATTACTTAGTAATTAGTAATCTTAACTATAAAATTTAATGTTATATAAATATTATAGGTAGTTTTTTGAAACAGATAAAATAGGTACTTGGTTTTATTTCATGTGACCTTTCTTAATTGTGTTATTCTTATAGTTCAAAAACATTTAGATAATATGTAAGTCCAATAATTATTTTCTTCAATATAGGTAGCAAATTTCTAGTACCTATAACTGAAAAATAAATCTGCTTCGTACGGATTCATATTATAACTATTGTTGGGTAGTGATGAAACATTAAGTACCATTAACTTGAATGTGGTTAAGAACCTACTTTTTCAAGTAACAAGGTTGCAAAATATTTTCACATTTTCTTTGCTAAATTAATTTGCGCGATAACAATTTCATGACACAGTAATACTTAGGTAATACTGGTGTATCCTACAAATACCTAGCAAAATTATATTCTACTGAAAATATTGTTGATTGAATGCTTGACTGTAAAAATTTGTAAAATATGATTATGAACAACAAATTAAATGAATAAGCCACCAACTGATAAGCTTTATTAAACAAAATATGAATATAATAAATATAATATATGCCAACATTATTCAGTAGGCATAGTTTTTTAAAGTTATTTAAATAAATACCTAGTACCACCGATAAAACAGACATTATTGTACTTTACCAAGTAGATAGTTACTTTTGAGTAGTTAAAATGTAACCTAGATGGTTACACTTGTATTAGTTTTGTAACATTGTAATTTTTAAAAGTAGGTAACTTCTCCAATATCAAATATAATAGATAATTAATATGATATAAGTAATAAGTAGCATAATTATTTATTTAATTATTTATTTTAATAATAACACAGGCCGAGGACCGAGAAATAGAGGTACATCAATAGTGCATATATTTACCAGACATAAAAATGTTATTGAGAAATCGAGAACGTTGGGTCTACGTTGGCGGTGCGCATGAGCTGGGTTATTGGGGAGTAATTAAGAAATAGCATCTGAGAGTAGGGAATATCGCATGGGAGGGACTTTAAAGTTGGGTAATTAAAGAAAGGAGTCAAAGAGAATCAGTTTTACCTGAAAGGATGTTGTAAATGAAAGAAAGATTGCGTGCTTGTCTGCAGTCAGCGAAGCTGGGAATATTAAGGATATTATTATAAACTGAAATATAGAAATTATCTTATCTATATTCTCTACCCCGGGGCGTTGAAAATAAAAAACAAATATTTATGACTAATACCGGCTATACTGATTGTTGGCGTCGTTTAATAAGGTTATTTAGTCGTCCAATGATACAATAATATGGTAATTCGTATCAAAAACACTATTGAACATAGAATTAATAGACTATTAATAAAGTAAATAAAACACACCCGAAACAACGGCGATGAAAGTTGGATTATATTGTGCGTACAATCTTGAGGTCGATGAATCGCTAAACGAGTCTTGATATTACAGTTACGCTAGCCGCAGCTACAGTTTTTCCATGCACGCCGACGGTATGCGAAAACAAAACGTCGGCGGCGGCGGCGACTGACTTAATGATCGTAGAACGAACACGAAGTCTGCGTGTTTTAAGCGAAAAGAAAGTTTGGTTGATACGAACGATACTATACAACCGGGAAATCGGAAGATAAAACAACAAAATATTAATCAATAAATATTATTATCATTCATCACATAGGTACGTAGACTAATCTTGTCAAAAAAAAAACCACATTATTCGTCATGTAATGTTAACTGCACAATGCATGATAAAATAAAGGTGTGTCAGCATTAATACGTATTTACGAAATACTAGCGCAGGCAGCCATATTGCTTTTCTCCATTTTTCATTGGTGAAATATCCACGCGCGTCTCATTGCAGCTTGGTGAATTGGCTGTCACGCGCGCAGCTCCCTTATCATACCATTATCACTGTACGCGAATTATTGTTATCACCATAGACCATTAACTAGTAATATGGTTATCACTACAAATTTTTAAAACTATATTATTAACAAAAACCAATTTATTAGTTTAAAATTAATGTAATTGACAATTGAAACTATAAACTAATAGGTGGTACCCAGTTTTGATCATGAAATAATTAAAAAGAGTTTTAAGATGTTTAAGTAATATTTTTAAGAACTTAAGTACTTAACTTTTAAGTACTTCTATGAATACGAATGGTCGAATACATTATGAACATTTTTGATCTCATTATTGTCATCTTTTAGTCCAGAAATAATCGTTTAAACTTCATTTATAAAAGGCTTTGCAATTGATGTTTTGCTGGATTTCTTCTTTGTTGCACAAAGCAGAAGTAGATCTATTTTCCTTTGAACATTGTCTTCTTCAATTTTTTTAAGAGTATTTATCCTCTTTCATTCATAATTGCTATCACAAACTGTACAAATAAAATTATTGCCAACTAAAGAATTACTGCTGTGTATATTCCTTATGTGTGCATATAGATTTTTTTTTAGTACCTAAAGTTTATACCACAAATTGAACATTTAATTGCAAATGCATTAGATGATATAATACTAGTATGCCAAGATATAAACAAAAATAAAATACTAACTTAATGAAAATCAAAATAAGTATTAATATAATGTGAAGCGTATGAAAAATGATTATGTTAGCAACATTGACCGGAGATTAAAAATTTATTTTTGGAGTATATATAATTTGGAATTATCTTGGTATTATGTATTATTTTTGATTTTGACATTTTCTTAACATTATTCTTTCAAAATTCTCTTTGCATCTTCTTAATATTAGAATAAATTATAATGGTATAATTATAAATAATTAATTAATATAATAGTAAATTATCAATCATTAAAGTGTAAAATATGTACAAAAGTGAATTTGAATTTCATAATACAAAGAGAGAAAATAGAGGTAATTTAAGATTAATAAGAGAATCTAAACTTAAAAATATTGTTTTCACCAATAATTCTTAATATATTATCATTAATTTAAGTATTAGTTTTAAGTTTAATTAATATAAAATACTTATGTTTATAAATAAAATAATAATAATAAATTTAAATATGTGTTTAAAATATAATAATTAATTATTATAGTAAATAAATATAGAAATAAAAAATAAATGAATGAATGTATCACCTGAAGTGTTATAATATGTTTATTATATGACCGGTTTGGAATTTAAATTCATCATGGGGTATATCACTATAAAACTATTATATTTGTCAATTTTTTTTGTCAATTGGAATAGAGTTACCTAAAAATATTCTTTATCATTTTTAATTTTTAAAACGATCGTTCAGCGGAAGCCTGCGCAGTAATGTTAACAGTCAGAAATATTTCACAAACACTTAAAATATCAAAATATATAGAAGATAAATCCTGTTCAATAATATAAATATTGCCAAGTCTTTTATACCTAGTTGTATGACCATATTTTCATTGGTATGGTTCTAAAATTGTATATAACTTCTTAAAAATAATATGCACACAGCACACACATCCACCGGCAAGCCCGGATTAAGATGATTTTGGGACTGGGGTCAAACAATTTTATGGGTCCATAAACATATTCAAAATATTGGTGTGTATACAATACTACCAGCCAAGGCCAGGGGCCCATAATATTACGATATTCCGGGCCTGTTCACCGTATAGTTAACCTACCTATAATAATAAAACCAATAAGGAATACCTACATTACTCGAATAGTTCAGAATCTTAAAATTGCAGATTGTCGAACGCCGTAAATAGTATTTGAGAACAATACATCCTGACGAAATACGAACACTATCTGATAATAAAAAAATAATAATAATAAAAAATACCTATTTTTCTGTTTATTATTTGTTTCCCCATTCTTATGACAAATCGCCTTGGTGTTATAAATATTTTTTCCCCAGCTATGTAATAATATATGGAAAAAATATATGACTAAAGCTATTAATTATTGTAATATACCACTATACCGGATCATTAGCAGAAAGTATATTGTAGGTATAGGTACATACTCACATTCACTATATACTTAGTCACCTACCTACACAATAATTCCCAACTGCAGTTATTCAATTCTTAACCATTAATATTGCAATAATAAAATAAAATAATGGCATACAAATTTATTGCCGATCATAAAATTTCTACGACCTCCGACGTTTTAAAGACCTAGTAACATGTTTTGCTAACCATTAGGCATTATATTATATTATAGGAACAGGTACTATAGGTACTAACAAATCACATTAAACCTTGTACAAGTTAAATAAGTAGGACGTAGGTGTAGGTATTAACTTAAAGGCTATAACCAGTATAACCAATTCTTAGACCTTAGTACCTACCTACATATTATAAGATGCCTATACTTATTTATATAACCGTAGGTTTAGTCAAGTTTATATTCGCGATTGAAAGGAACTATAGATAGCGCTCTAGTCGACACTAATGATAAGGCTGACAAGGAAATGAGTGCCATAATAGCATTAAAATAATAGTAATTTAGCCAAAATAATCTATTTATTACTATTTTTTTTAAAAAATTCCTTAATAAAACTTATTTTGTTTACAATTTTTTGTAAAAAAAAAAGCACATAATAATTAATTTTGTAATAGAAATCACTGACATAATTCAGTATATTGGTGATTTTAAAAGACCTTTTGTCTAAGGTTGAGAAATAGATAAATGCGGTGATACCCGATTGAACACGGTCGTTATTGGCCGATCTTTTTGACGACCCAATTGAGCACGATAAAATAAATAAATATTGTGCATAAACGTTGTCAGATTTTTACTACTACGTATGTTGTGTAGATTATTAAAAGGTAACTAACATATTAGTCGAAAAAGATTTTGCTATCGATCGATGGGTACCCACGGAAGTTAAAAATAACTGAGATATAAAGGAAATCAGAATTTTATATACAATGATTGCACTAAATAGTAAATTGTGATTAAGTATTATTGTATGTACCTACGCCGTAAATAAGACTTGGTCACAGTCAGTCTGTCCTGTTGTCTTGTGCTCGTGTTTCTTTAAAAATAGTATGTAATTTGCAAATTTTATGATGGAAAATAATGAAATACAAATTTGTTTACCCGAGAGAGGCAGAGTTGGACAATTTTAGAGCTTTCAAGTACAGGTTTATTGGGCCGAGAAAAAAAGTGAATTATTGAAATGGCGATGTACACAAAATGATTGTACAGCACCTTTTTTATTTAATTTTTTTATATATATTCGGTATTTAAGAAAACAAATTTTAATTGTAATATATACTAAACTAACTGACTCAGTAAAAGATAAGCCAATAAAAGATTTTTATTTATAAATATTTATGTTCAAATGAAGTTTATTCTTTAATAATTGTTACATTATGAACATTTTAAAATACGAATTGTGATAAATGCCTGTTTTTTTGATGAAATTCGGTTATAAATACACGTCGAGACTTGAAACTTGGTAATAATACTTAGCAGGTGATTTCTTTAAGTGGGTACATTTATTATCTTGGAAAGTATTAACTTTTTCCGAGATTTGTTTTTTAGGACATTTAAAAAACAAGTTGCTCCACAATTTTATATTTGTGTTATTTTTTGTCATCCTTATTTTTGGGGGTAAAATAACTAGTTAAAGAAAAATGAACAGCCACTATAAAAAGACTATATTTTATTCTAACATATCACAGGATGTGTAATATTCATTTCACTGACAATGATTTTATACGACTAGATATTAAACGGCTTAATGAAACAGTAGTCCCAACTTTATTTATTGACTAAGAAAAATTTAATGTAGACGCGATTTAATGTGAATATAATTATTGTGGATTTAGCAAACCTTATGTTGAATGTGATACTAATCGAATTACTGAAATGACTTGAAACAAAATTAAATATTTCTTTTATTTCAGCCATAGAGCCACTGGAACTAGACTATACAATGAATAAAATATCAAGTTGTAATGTGTTACCTGCAGTTTCTCCAAAAAGAAACCCGGAAAGAGAGCTTTTTAAATCTAGTAACATAAAATCTTATAACTCTGGTATATTAAGTTGATAAAACAAGCATTTAATAATTTATTTTAAATAAATAATATGACTTTTTTAATGGATTGTAGTTCACCAAAAATTCCTTGTGAAACTAATCGAAAAAAAAGAAAAATAGTTTAAAGAAACTCCGATCAAATTAGGTTTAAGAAAAAATGTTAAGACTTTACGGCAAAACGTTAAAAGATTGCAACACAGAGTTAGAAAGCAGCGTAAACAAATTACTAATGTACAAGTATCTTCATTCTTCATAAATAAACAAAATAATATTTTAAACTGGTTAAATTTTTAATGAATACATTCATATAGACGTGTATGCAAATATTAAATAGTTATGTATGTGTCTAAATTGGTCTCAAGTGGTTTTATTATAATATATTTTTTATTTCACGGATATAAAACCAAATAAAGTACAGTAAGATTTCGAAAAATAATTGTATACAATAATAGATATTTAAAATAATAAACAAAGGAGCATCAATATGTTCAGTGATTAATCCATTCTATTGGTTACCTACTTTTTTCGTTATTATTTAAGTATAATAATAAATTATTGTTAAATAAATAATAATATACCTAAATAATTACGTTAATTATTATTGAAAATATTTCTGAGTTCATGAATATTGATACATTTTATCAGTGTATAATCACTACGATAAAAATGTATAAAATACTATAGCCCTCAACCAACATGGCGGAAAAGCGATGCCGCTTTTCCTATGAACCAATACTATAAGTTGGCAATCTGTGAAATGAAATCACGCCTTATCATGTATCTCAGATTGATAATGTTAATAACACGTCCTTATCAGTATAGTTACCTCATTATACCTGATTTTTGGTAAGACACATTTCAATTCGCGCCAAAACTGATCTTTTTAAATTAGTTAAATATAAAAAAAATCATTAGTCCTAAAATAATGAAGAAGAAAAAAAAGCTATTTTTTTCAATCAGACGAAACTATAGAATAAAAGAAAAATACATTGGAAAAATGTTGACAATTCTCATTATAGCTGTGCATAAGCGTAACAGAATATTTTGTAAAAATCGAATGTATAACTGCATATAGTATAAATAATAATTTTCGGCATAAATATGGTCAAAGAGGGTGTTTGAACACCAGAACACTCCCCCCCCTCGTTACGCCACTGCATGGGAATACGATTTCTGGTAGACATTTTGTAAAAAGTAAAAAAAAAAAAAAAACATCATTGTAAAACCAAAACCATCCTTGCTACGTTCCGAATATAAAATATTACGATTCATACGTTTTACTAAGTATAATAATAATATTAATGATTATAAAATAATATAATAATAATCATGTGAAATTTTAATAAATTAAATCAAAAATAGAAAATAGACTAACAGTCGGAAGAGTGATCAACAATTGTAATATATAATATATATATATATATATATTTTGTTTAAAATCTGAATCGTTTTTGTGGTGAATTTCTTTAAAGCCACAAGCAATGCATATTTCACTTGTAAGTAAATCTGATCCTGAGTACAAGTTATGCAATTCAGTATAACGAAGAATTCATAAAGTATTTTGACTCTTCCCCACTCCCCTTTCCTGTTAAAGGCTTAGAGCCATTGAATACCTATAGAATGACGGTTTCAAATTTAAGATAACCATAATAAGTATTTTATTGATGGACTTTTACATAATATTGGGTTGAACGTCGACGTTTATAGACAATTAAAATATCGACTTATCCGATTATCCGACTTTTGGTGAACAGGAAAAAAATTGTTTATAACATGTTGATCGAGTAGGTATCTCCTACATGAACAATAAAATTGATAGCTACGTGATCTGATTTTGGATTTTTCACAAATTTTTATTAACACCCCACGAGTCTTAGATAGATTTTGAAACAATGTCAAAATATTGAAAAATATTACCGAAGTTTTCCATTCGCAAATTCGCCAAATAGAACATAGTTCATAAATTAGAATTTCCATTTTTCTATTTACGGGTAGATAGGTATCCCTTTAGCGATTATTCTTAGATACCTTAGTATATAGGTATACCGTGTACTTTTAATATATAATGTATAGGTATAAATATTACGCTGCTGCAGAGTGCAGGGTTTAAGTATGGCGAGTTTGTAAACCGTGGATAAATGAAAAATCCGATTGCGTATTAATACTTAATTGTCTAGGTAAATACTCGAATAAATGTTACCTATACGCTACCTAAGACGCTTTTACGCTTTTAAATATGTTTACATTTTTTCCAATATCCAAAAGCAGCGGATTGTCGTCGTAAAAATAGGCGAACAATTATTATAAAATCCAAAACTGGACCACGTACAAACTGTCCGAGTGGATACATTTTATAAGATGTTTATCATCATGTTCACATTTTTATATTAGGTATCCCAACCCAGAGTTCAACCCGATAACAAGTTTTTTTTTTCAGTTTACAAAATGAATCAATTAAATTGATTCTAATTGTTATTGCGTTATTAAAAATTGTTTAATAATATATTGTACACAGTTATAGCGAATAAAGCCGTGTAAATTAGTATACAATACAACCATTATACGGGAACAGAGGTCACCGTCGGAAAGACTCGCGTCATCGTCTCAGCGGAATTTTATAAGCCGGCCAATAACATGACGTTCGGCAACCAAGGGGACACGGAATTATTATTAGTACGTCGCGTCGTCAGACGGTCGCAGGAGACCTAGGAACTTTTTTCCGCCAGAATCGCGCGAACCGTCCAATAAGATAACAGAGAGGACAAGAGTAATAAAAATCTGACCAGGAGTCTGCACAGCGATTAATATGCGTAAACCTAAGCGGTGGGCTCCGTCTTTCGTCCTCTACCGTTAACCGGGTTGTCGACTCGACTATTCCGAGGCCAAACGGCAGTGAAAAGTAGTCGCGGTTATTAGCTCGACGCGGTGGCGGCAGTGGTGGTGGTATAATAGACGCCGTAGGCCGCGGGAGAGCGAGTCGGTGAGCCATACCAACTATAACAAATACGGAACGGTTATTACCGGAGCATACTTATCACAGACCCGGTAACGGGTATATTATATAATGATGGTAAATGGTTACTGCACGATGCACGGCCGAGCACAGAGTTCCGTCATCTGCCGTCGGCCGCTGTAGCCCCACCACGCGGACGATACACCAGAATGAAATAATAATAATAATAATAATAATAATCCAACCTCGCACGGAGAGTTCGTTGATCTCGTGCGCGCGCACGTACGAATGTCAGCCGGCTTCCGAGCAGCCGCCTTACACCCTAACAGCGTCGCCGCCACCGCAGCCCCACCGATCTACGAGCCGTACGCGCACGCACCGGGGACTGGGGAGCGGCGCAAAGCATATTATAATAAATATTGTTGTACACTCGTGTTCGGTGGCGACCTCGGAGCGACCGCCAACAATCCGAGAACAGAACACAAGGCACTCTGCGCCGACGACGGGCGACGACCGTGATCGGACCGCTCCCCTCCCGCCCACCGGACCCCGTTCCGCGACTATTGCACCTTTGTCGTGTGTGCGTGTACAACAATATTATGTACTTGCATCGCGTGTGCATTGCCGCCGCCGCGCCGCCGTCGCCGCATCGGACGAACGCGTAAACACGAGAAATGCGTACATCTCCGGAGAGTTGTTAGTCGGCTGCGAACGCGGTCGTGCGCGTGTGTGCGTGTGTTTTTGTTGTATTATTATACGTTCGGGCCACTGGGTGTGTGTGTGTGTATGTTCGTGTGCTTGTGCGTGTGCGTGTGTGTGTTTGCGTTTGAACGCGCGCCTGTGCGTGAATTATATGTTTGCGTTTGTGTGTGTCCGTGCTGCGGTGTATACATAATAGCGATACGCGTCGCGGCGTTGTGCGTGTGAGTGGATGCAACCCGTCGTCGTCGTAGTCACTAGGTAGTCGTCTGCATTGTATACTGCGTCGTATACACCACTGGACGGAAAAATGGATGGTCTACGTTTTCGATTGAGTGACAACCGTGAGTTTACATTTTGTATAGTATACTGTTTATTTGTGGGCACAGGTATCGAGAGTCGTTCAATTTCCTAACACACTCAAATGTAGTTGCGGTTTTTTCGCGAACAGTTTTATAACGAACTGTTTACACGTTTTCTGCGGGATGTTAAGTGACAACGGTCCATGCTTGTCCATTTTATAGTTTTATACTTACTTAGTACTTGCAATATTCTTATCATCATATTCATATTGTCGGCTCTTGTGTATGGGCCGTAATAATATAATGATATTAAAAAACAAATAGTAATATTATTACCTATTATTATTATTATTATTATAGTACCTGCCTATGCAATATGCGCACATGTACAATCCCACTAAAACATATTTATGTATCTATATTTGTCGACTACTGTTTTCTGAGTTCTTGCCTACTCGAGTTATGTTAATAACAATAGGTAATTGGTATTATGATTGTCAATACAAAATTGGTATACAATTATTTGTATTGATATTGTATATTTTTGCGACTGTCATGATTTTAAAACACAAGACTCGTTGAAGTCATCAAATATCGTTTTTTTTTTCATGTGTTATTTTATTCTTAAAGGTATCTTACCTTACAATACATTTTTATTTAGAACTGTTTGGTATTTTATTAAGGATTTAAGTACATCAAAATGTATAATTTAATTTTTTTTTTTGTTTAAATGGGATTATTTATAAGTGTACTTTGTAGATTTAGGATTAATTATAATAATAAGATACTTATGTTTCAATTAGGATAATGATTTTAATCTTATAATATTTTTTTTCAGTGGATCCACTTCAGACCCTGGATATTTGCCATGAAATTGTCAACATGACATTTTGTTCAGAGAGACCTTATTCTTTGAAAAAATACTCAAAAAATAGATCTGTCGATAAGTACGATGAAGAAAGTTCCGATAGGTTTGTAATTCATTACTTTTCAGAGAAATATTTTTAATTATGTCTTCTTCTTCTTTGTCTTTATCTTAATTATTTGGGTTCTGCCACCCTTGTCCTTAACTTCCACTTGGCCTGATCCCCCCCATCATCCTTGCATACACCCTCCATATTATCAATCTCAGTTGCATTTAAATACCACTTTTTCGGCCTTCCTATCTCCCTCTTTTCTCCTATGTCTATTTTCATTACAATTCTTAAAGTTTTTGATTTTTCTCTCCTCTTGACATACCTAAACTATCTCAGTTTACTTTCTCTTATTTTATCCTCTATCAAAGCCATGTTTAAGCTACTTATGTAATCATTTCTTATCTTATTTTCTTTTGTCACTCCACTCATCCGTCTTCTTATTAATACAACACTCATTCTCTGTTATATTTTTCTATTTATTTTCCAACACTCTGAACCATATAATAACTCATCACACTCCCGTAAAACTTATTAAAAGGCCAATTCACACCGATCCGGCAAGCTCCATGACAAGACAAGATATTTGAGCATTGAATGTTTTGTTGGTCTGTCGGTGCCTGTTGGAATCCATTTAGTTGAAATATACATATTTTTATGTACTCATATATTATTAATAGTTGAGTAAAATAATTTGTTGAGAAATTTTAGAGTGCATTGCGCACAAACAATTGACTGCACTGTTGAATGTCCCAATCTAAAACTAAAAGCAATCGATTAGTAAGAGTCACCTTGTTCCTAAAAACCTGAAAAAAATACATAATATAATATATTAATTTACAATTATAAATATGTATGTACTTTAGATTGTGTATTTTCGTGATAAAAATATTAAATTCACTTACCTTAAGCAAACAGCTAATTTTTATTTTGGAGGTATTGCTTTTTGAAAGTGCATATTTTATTAGGAAATATTATTCTCAATTTTTATAAGTAGAACATTAAATTGGTACTTTGACATTCGAAAATATTTAAAAAATTTGTCTTCGTGGTCTTCCAACATTTTACACAAAGTTGCGTGTTTACCATCAACTTTTCTTTTTTTTAAAATGTTGTGAACCCATATAGATCATTTTTTGACTACCGCATGAGCAATATTTTTCTCCTAGTCGGCATCAAGCAATAATGCCATTACTGCCAAATCTCCAAATTTTTTGACCGTTTGGAGTGTGTGTATCGTTTTTTGTTGGTCATGTGTGAATTGAAATGATTTTTGTCTGTCGTGTTTTGTCATGTTGTGCGAGTGTGAATCAGCTTTACCTCTTTTGATCCCATTTTCCTTGTACAGGGACATATAATAGTAATATAATAAGTGTAATATAATTAAATGTGAATATTCAGAATTTAGAGTGGCCATTTAGAATTATGTCTCATTGAAATCCTCTTGTAACATAAAACACCTGAAACTTTTCTCCACCTAATCCAATGATTCTTAATCATATCGTTTACATCCTTATTAAAGCCACTGTTAATTTGGAACAAATTTGCTCCTTAAATAATAATACTATATATATGTTTTGAAAAGAAAAAAATGGTATACCCACTATAATACACTATTGTTTTATAGTTACCATATACCTAGATAGATAAATTATACATAAATCATTAAGTATTATAAAAAATAAATTATCAATGTTTCTTTGATATGTGTTAGTATCATAGACATGATTAGATTCTTATTATCTGATCTATAAAATTAACCTACTTGGTTGAAATAAGAGGAATGACTTGGAGTTGACCAAGTCCATGTAATCCCTCCTTCAAAGGCCAAACTATATATCTTTTAGTACTATACAGTTTATATCATACTATATCATAGGTATCTTCAAGCTTGTAAACTAATTTAAATTTACATTTTAGCCATGAAATATCATATAAAGACAAATAGTCTATTTACAGAAAAAAAAAATAGACTAAATTAATGTAGTACCTTAAAAACATAATTTTCACATTTTCTAAGAGGGACCAAATTAGTATACTCCGTTTTTTTTTCATTTAAAAAATACATTATTGAAACAGTCTTCTATTTACTCATCATGAATATAATAAATATTAATTATACATAATAAGTGTATATAATTATTATGATATTATGATAGGTTTTGATAATATTAATCTAACCATAGATAATGTATTATCTATGAAATAAACATTGATAATAAAAGTACCTCTAATCTATTTTATGCATTCAACATTTTTGAAATATGTAACTGTCAATGTATTACTGGTCGAATTGTTGATTAAAAATGTAAAAAAACGTGTAAAAATACAATTTTTAATTTTCTTACTGCAAGCTTGACATTGTGTGTGTATTATATACAATGTGTTGTACTACACACAATTTTAGTCTCTGACCTCCTTCCTTCCTTTATTTAGTCTATAATTAGTATATTAAATAATATTGAACATCGTAAACACTGATAATCATTTTAATTGTTTCAATTTGACTCTGAATCTTAGATTTATGTCTGTATAGTAGGTAAGTATTTACTATATGGACTATTGAACTTAATCTGTAGTTAGACAAATTTAAACACTGATATTTTCTAATATAAACATTTTTTTTGATGGATTAATAATAATCAATATTAAATTTCATTTATTCCTTTTGATGAATTTTATTTAAAATGGCTGTATACAATTTTCTTAAAAATATTTTGAAATATCGGCACTAGTCTACTTAAGGACAAATAAATTTGGTTTTTTTTTTTTTTAATGTGTTCAATATTAGTATTGAATGTTTTTAAAAATTGATGCTTATGTTTAGTCTAACAATGTAACCAGAACCCAAATTGCCTACTAACATTTTGAGTAAACAATAATGATTAATGAACCATTATTACGCGCAATTATTGTGATGTAATATTTTTAAATCAAAATAACCAATAATAGAAGGATATTAATTAAAATAAATTTTAGTGTTGACATTTTTGATTTCTGTCTAGCAGTTTATGAGATATTCTATTTTTAAGTATGGGTTGGAGGAGATTAGTGGTGCATACCATCACATAAATGACACTTTACTACTCTCCCCCAATCAAAACTCAAAAGTGGAACATCTCATTAACAAATCAACAGAAATCATAAATTATAACACTAAAATTGATTTTAACTAATACTCCATCTATTATGATGGCTATTGGGCTTATGGGTTGCCATTTGTTGTTGTCTGTGAACAATTTTTTTACCAGGAATTTTACTCCAATTTTCAAGTGTAGCACTATTTTTGAAAAGAAATTTTATCTTGGTGGTATTTTAAAAAAGTTCATTTTGATTGCCCAAGGGTTTTCAAAAAAAAAAAAAAAAAAAAAAAAAAAAAAAAAAAAAAGGAAAATCTTGAAATATATTATTTTCAATTTTGTTTTCAATTGTAATTGTGTTAAAAATATTTGAAGAGACTTGAAACTTGAATAGAAAACTTATATTTGTCTTTTTTTAGATTGGTTATATTTTCAAAAAATTTTGTCATTTTGTCATTTGTTGAGCTATTTTTAGACATTTTAATTTTGAGAATTTGTTTATGTAATTTTTATTTGTTAAGTACTCTGTGGATAAAATTGTTAGACCAAACAATAATTCTTGAAAATTTAATAAAAGGTTGATTATAAGTCATACTTTGTGTCAAAAAAAAGTTGAGCTTAATAAAGTCAATATTTTATTGTTCTAATTAATATCAGTGGTTTACTATTATAATTTGTAATTCATCTGTATACTCTATGTATAGTATTATTTTGTAAACATTATTTCTTAATAAAAACAAGATTAAAGTAATGTTGGCCCATATAGGTATAAAGGTTCATTTGTATGAAAATTCATTATAGAATATGTATTTTTCATATATTGAAAGTATAAACTTTATTGTTTTGTTCTATAAATGGACATTTTATTAATTGATTATTTAATTGTTCTGTCAATCCATTTGGTTGGCCTGTATGTATGTAAATATGTTTTCTATAATAATAATATTCATGTATAAAGAGAGTAATCTAAACAAATAAATATAGGTTTTTCTAATTAGTGACTATTTTAATACTATCTACAATCTCCAGCGAGTTATCCAGGTAAATAAAAAATTATGGATACACATCAAATACAGCTGTTATTTTGCATTTAAATATGTTTTTTTTCACAAATTTTTTTTTAAGTGTTGTTTTCATAGCATTGTAAAGGCATTTTAAACCTAAAATTAAATTTTGTAAAACTGTTTTTGAATGCTCTTTATTGGTTATCTAGAAAAACCTTGTAGTCAACATTTTGACTTTTTTATGATACATTTTTAAGTCGGCCATAGTTTTTTGTTTCTCTTGTGCAATTTGTCATAAATGACTTACTAGGTTTTGTTGAGTAGCAGATATACTAATTGGTTGTAGTTTATTGAAATTGTGTAATAGGCTCTTTGGATTGTTTATTATTTATGCAGACTTTATGGATTGATGTTTCAAATTGAATTTTAATTTTTTTAGTGGTGTTGCGAATTCTGTGACTGAGCTAGGATCACCGCTGACTCCAGATAGTAGAGTTAGCGAAAATTCTTTTATATCTCCTGATGAATGTGAACAATACTTAATGGCACCACCACCTTTACCAAGTTGTGTTGATGAAACTGATATAGCCAGCTGGCCATGGAGTGAACAATGGGCTGCTAACTGTGCAAACCTTGAATTATTTGCTGATGCTTGTGGTGCTAGCAGTTTTGGCAAAACAAATAAAAATGGTGAATTAGATGACAATCATAAATTAAACATTTTTCAAAAATCAGCAAAATTAAATGCTTTATTTAATGCATTGCCATTGACTCAATCATTGGTTCAATCTCAATGTAAACTTAAAGAGTCCCCGGGTATTAAAACACATTATGAATGTACCGCTCCTAAAAAGTTTCCTGTATCTGATGAAGAATCTCCGAAAACATTCACAGTATGTAATAAGTCAGATGATAATGTATCTGGAGATATTTCTACTGTACAATCTGATATTTTAAATGATAAAAGTTTATTAAAAGTTGAAGATTCATTATTGACTGAAAAGTTGGAATCATGTACTCCATTAGTGTGTTCTGATAGTTTTAATGAGGCTCAATTTAATCTATGTAATAATATAGATACAAGTATAACTGATAATTTAAAACTTAAAAGCAATATTACAAATAATGAAAGCAATTACAATAATCCACATAAAAAATTATGTGTAGATCAAAAATTACCTAATAAGAGTAGATATTTTATGAGATCATCCTCTGGTAACAAAAAATCTCAATCAAAAATTACACAATTACTGGATAAAAATATAAACTTGAAAAACTTGAAGTGCTCTCTTCGAAATCCAATTAGTAAACGTCAATCTGAAACAAATGGCATTATAAAAAATAATGAATCTACTAAACTAAATTCAGTTGGTTCTAATTCTAGTAAAATTAGATTTCCAAAATTGGATACCCATTGGATTTCACTAAGAGAAAATATTATATGCCATTGGAATGGTTGTGACAATCATTTTAATGACATAACAAAATTTTTAGAGCACCTTCAGGTAAATATTTGTTTTATACTTATTACATTTTATATTAAAAAGTTAAATTTATGTTTTTAGGTAAAACATGTGGATTCTCAAACTCAAAGTGAAACTTTTGTTTGTCTGTGGTCTGGTTGTAAAGTATTTAACAAACCCTCCTGTTCAAGTTCATGGCTCCAACGTCATATTTTAACCCATGCTGGTAATAAACCATTAGAATGCATTGTACAAAAGTGTAGACAACGTTTTAGTTCTCAAGTAATTAAATTAGTATTATAATATTATAAAATATTTATATTGCAGTAAATGATGTTATAAACCAAAATAATGTTATTTTTAGAAAATAATGTTAGTTACCTAACAAACCAGTTTATATTGTTATTTATTATTTGTTTGGTTTGATTCTACACATGGTAGAAAATGTTATCATAGATCATATTACATTTGCATTATTAATAAGCTTAGTGGGGATTATTAGCGTATGGCTTTCTGATGTACTTATATTAAATTTGAATTACATACCGAAAATGTTTTTCTTAAACAAGTACTCAAGATCTCAACTTGTGCTATGCAAAGAAATTTTGTTGGATTTTAAAACTTTTCTTGAATCATTGGGCGAAAAAGGGATAACATTTTGAGAAGCTGCAGGCTGTAATAGTCTTTTGGGTACACAAGGTTATCAAAGATGTCACTGTAAGACAAAGTGTAAACCGAATAAATGTACCTGTAGTTGAGAAAATAAATAATTATCAAATACAAATTTAAATATTATCTTTTTTTTTTATTAATTATAAAATATACAAAAATTAACATACAATTCTATTTGAATTGCAATTAACATCATTAACTGTAACATTTACATTACATATTAAAATATGCATTATGCGTTTTGGTATTATAATATTTAATTTTAATTTAGTTAATGCTAGAAAGACATGTTAATCATCATTTTAAGTCCAGAGAAGATGATATAAATGGGAAATTTATTCGAAGAAAGGGAAAAAAATTACGTCTTCGTAAACAACCATTTACTGGTAAATTTTGTAAAATCTTTAAAAATTATTATAAGTTGTATTATTTTAATTTATTTTATTTTTAGCTAGGAAATTTGATTATTTTGATCAAGCTACTATGTTGGAACTTCAGACACAATTATTTTTATGTACACAAAACAGCCAACAAGATTTTATTGATTTTAGCAGGAGAACTATTAAATTTCAACCTAATGTAAAATTATTTTCAATGTTTTTAATTTAATAGAAGACATGTTAAAACAGATTTATAATTATTCACATTTTATCATTACAATCACTTTTAGTGATACAAAATTATTTAATTAAGATTACTTCTTACTAACAAATAGTAATACATCAGTTTTAAGTTCATGTCTACTAAAAAATGATAATAATTATTCATACATTTTATATATTTACATATATATATATATATTTTTTTAGATTATAGCTAAAAGAGTTTTAAATGAGAACAACAAATTAGAAGTATTAATGCGTTGGTTTCCTCCAAATATGTAAGTTCTTTTCATAAAACCATTCAAAAATTCAAATAACCGGAATTTTAAATACACAAGAACAGACATTCACAAAAAATAATTTATATATTTTTACAGATTAGAAGATGAATGGATTTCATATGATAATAAAACTAATTTCAATGTAATGGAGCGTGTTGTACCAATCATGTCACTCAGTACAGAAAATCGAGATTCAATAACTAAATTGTTTGGTAATATTTTCCCACCTACATCTCGCCGATCCCGCAAATAATTATTTTAATATTACTAATAGGGGTTTTTCAGTTAGATAAATACTTCAATAATTCTTGTGATATTTTCATGTAGTAATAATAGGTATTTATTATTAATACACCAATGTGTTATTTTGGATAAACAAATTTACTAGAAAAATAATGGTACAGTCTCTAAATTCTAAACAACAATATTAAGCTATTTTTAAATTCAAATTTATTTATCTTTACATATCATCAGGATCAGTTTATCAAATTTGACATATTGCAGAGTATTATTTCAAAAATTGTATATATTAGTCATTTTTTTTTTTTTCTGTATATACTAGTCTAAAAGTGCTCTGTGGTATAAATTGAGTTTTATATAATAATATTTGATTGATTTATTATTCAACCATGTGATAGAATGTCTATAAATTCAAAGTTTATGCATTTATGATTTTCTGTTAACTGAAATCCTAATATTTTTATAAAGATATTCATTAAAAAAATACATGTGTTATACGTTAAGTATACATATACTATTTCTGAAACTACAATAATATATACTGACTAAATATTGTGCCATTTGAATTCTATTGACTGAAGGAGCTATTTAGTAGAAATTTACTTGATATAAAATGTACAATTTATCAAATATTTTTGTACTCAAATAATATAATTTTTTTCTCAGAGAACATTGCCTTACTAATTTTTAATAATTATTAATTGAAATAATATTTGATGACAGATCTCAATTAATTTTATTTGAAGGAGTATATTAACTATTTATTAACTAATAAATAATTTCAAAAATTTTGACTGTTTTTGATCATTTACACATAATATTCATATAGTTTTATTTTTAAAATAATATGCAGTATCTATTTAAATTCAGAATATTTTTTTTTTTTACTAGAATATTAATTATTTGTAAAAAAAATGGATTTCTTTGTATTCTACATTATGTAACTAAAGTGTATAGTCTAGTATAGGTAAATTTAATCTGTTTTTAATTAATTACTGAATATTTTTCATAATAGTTACATAGTTAAATTGTTTAGTTTAAAATTGAAAAAGCCAGATAATTTGATGATGGTTTTAAAATATTCTCAAGATATTAAAAATAAGTTATAAAATATTAATTATATGTTTTAGTATATAAATATTAAAACTATTTTGGTACCTACCTAATTTAATATAGGATTATTTTAAAAATAATGTTAATTATTAGTGTGGTCCAACCTATAGGTCCACAAGCCTTTTTTTTCACATTTGATTATTTTATTTCTGCAGCTGAAAATTAACGTAATTGTATTTTGTATTGTATTAAAGAAATAATGTATAAGTAATTGTAGATTCTACAAAGAATTTATTTTTAAATGCATTATATATTAAACATAAGTATTTAAATGAAAAATAATAATTTCTAAACTTATTCAACAAGGGAATTACCCTATATTTTTATGGTATACAATATTAGGATGTAATTTTAAATTGTAAATATACTAATTTACCATCAAGAATGAAATGATTGAAATAAGTTAAATATTAAATAAAAATGTATGCTAAAATTTTAAAGTTTAAATCCTTTAGAATGTAAATCACAATATGAGTAAACTTAGCAATTTAAAATTTTTAATGATCATTGATTTGTTTTATTATCTATTTTAGTTAAATTGATTTCTTTTAACTTTTCTGTATTTTTTTTTTTTTTGGGGTTTTACATTTAAATATATTTCTTTTTATTATTATTATTAACTTAATTATAATTCTAGTCTTAGTTAAAATTTGTGTTTTGTTTTCTCCATATTTTTTTTTTTAAGAACTACATCTATTACTTATATCATAAAAATACTTATCGATTATATTATTTCTGAAGTATATAAAAAAAAAAAAATGAAAATGAAACTTATAATTTTTCAAAATTTCCTACATTTTAGTAAATAGTGTAATTTTCTATTTATACTTACAAGACTGAAAACACTGCCAAATTCTTAAAATATCTTTAATGTAGCTTAATTCAATATACTTAGTTATAATATTATACGATAGTACATTTTTATGATTAAACGATAGACTCAACAATTTCTAAGGTGTTCATTTGTATTACATCAAAATTATTTTTAAACATTTGCCTTATACAAGGTAAAGTAATTAGATAATCATTATACGTGTAGAATTGTACATTTACTATTATTATTATTTTTTTTATTTTTTTTTTTTTGTAACACGACTTAATTATTCATTTAGTTCAATAATTAAACTATAAGTAAATTATTTTCTGCATGTGTTCATTAAAAATGTATTAGTACAAATGTAAACAAAATTTATTTTGTATTAAATTATTTTTTTAACTGTGTCTCATGTTATTTTTAAGAAATTTATTAATTTGAGTATTGTTCACAAGACATGCAAGTAATGGTTTAAATGTGTGATACATAATTATTTTACTGATTTTAACTATATGTAATATGATATAATTATATGTAGTGCGTGCATTTATATATAATATGACAATAGTTGTGTTCAATAATAACAGTAATTATTTTTATTTATATATAATATGACAATAGTTGTGTTCAATAATAACAGTAATTATTTTTATTTATATATAAATTTTGTAAAGAATTTATTAGCAAGTTAATTATAAGTACAAATTGAATTATAGATTTAATTTTCATCTTAAATCTAGTTCTTGAATTTTCGGCTACATTGAATAAACAATGTGGTTTTAAACTGGACTTAAAAAATATAATTCTTTGGAAATTTATACATTTTTAGAATTATTATTTTCTTTGTAAAATTTATAACTTAATAAATAATATTTTTTGATTAATGAAAGTGAGGAAGTTAGTAATTTTATAATTCTTTATCCTTTTTTCATTATTATAAAAAGAAGCTGGTATATATTCATTTATCCTAATATAGTTTGTATTTTGTTTTTATTATAACTTATTATTTTGATAATTATATTCTAATAATATAATGATTCCAAGGTTCAATATGATATTTATGTTTCTTATTTGTTATTGAAAGGTTAAAGTTAGGTTAGCATATTATATTACAATTGTAAATGGTTATTTAGCTATGTGTAAATAATTAAAAGGTTGACATAAATTAAATTTAGTACTCTAGTGGTTTTTTGTTTTCTGACCATGAATTTGATAGTATTCAAAATAGTCTGATTTTGATAAATTATAAATCTTTTGAAAAACTTTTTTTAAGATGCATTTTTGGTTTAAATTTTAGGATTATATGTATATATATTTAATACATTATTTCAATGACTTATATTTTCTGAGTTTCTATAAACTCAGGAAACTAGAGTTTTAGAGAGAACAAATTCATATTTGTAAGTGAGCTTTTTTGTGAAATGAGTGGCTGATTGTGAGCCATTTTGTTGATAATAAAATAAAATAAATATGTTATATAAATAACTTGTTTGGTATCCAATTGCTGTATTTGAATGAGTTTTAACCTACAAAAATATTCTTCATCAAGTGTATTTTCTTAATTGTTTGCCAGGTGTATAATTTCCTAGATCTAACTGCCTATAACATTCTCCTTTAGAAATTTACTAAACCTTCTTCCCTTCGGGGTAGAAGGTCTGAAATAAGCACTGGGTACACCTGTCTTCAGTATCTGCTCTTTTTTCTTAGTTCAATGACCTGAAAACCAAAAAAAAAATCAAAGGAAGAATATTTAGTAAGCACCAAGTATCAATATTTGAATTCAGAGTTTTATTAAAATAAATAACAGCAGGTACCCAACAATCATATTTTGTAGAAATAATTAATATACTTTAAAAAGAAATTGCATTACATTATAATTATCATATTTTTAAAAACTTAGTACCATATTATAACTATTTATTAAAAAATGCACTTTTCTTGAATAATTTCTTGTCCTCGTTCTTCGTATTCAGATTTGCTGATCCACACTTTACTAAAAGTAGAAATCGAAGCCAAAATTGAACCTCCAATCCACGTAGAATATTTTCGTTCTGGGCGTGCAGTTATTTTAATTTTTGTAGTAGATAAATTTAATTTTTTTAACATAGATTCTAAACGTTCGGTTAGAAATGGAAATTTAGAAGTGCCACCAGCCAGTACGATGTTTTCGTACATTGTCGATTGTTCATTAATATTGCAAGCACTGCATGAACTTTGTACAATATCATGAAGTCCGCCTTGTTCATTTTCGATGTCGAATAATGCCGGATTAAATAAAATTTCGGGCGATTTGAAGCTAAAACATTTTATACCTGATTATAGATTAATAACGTATTGGTTCATAATATATTAATAATTATATTATAACTCGAAAATCATTTATTTTTATTCCAAACACGATTATCTAATATGTGATTTTATTCAATCAAATATTATTATTGAATATACTTTTAATATTCATATTGTCATTATTGTTATCCTAATATTGTAAAGTAGACTAGATATTTAAGTAGGTATGTATATTTACCTATTTATTTCTAGATTTTTAGAATACTAAATGAACCTATCGTTTAAAATAAGTGTTCTGATACAACTATACCTACTTATGCTTAATAACATACTTGTACAATTTACTTTATGAACAACATTTAATTTCATTTAAAGAAGTGAATCACGTGAAAGGAGTTGTGCGATGGTGAAGTAAGATTGAGCGGAATGACATGGTTTCGAAATTATAGCTTTTTGAAGTAGTGGTATTATGCAGTTATTATATTTTATGTTAAATAACTCTAATATTGTCATTCTATAGACTGTGTGTCTTAGTATAATGGTTATACATGCCTATTGTCATCCTAGGGCTCGTGAGTTTAAACTCGGGTTTCGAGAAAATGTTTGCATTTTTTCTCCCTTTTAACTAAACAACGAAAAAAATTATAAATTGTGGCTAATAATATCTGCTCGGACTATTTTAAACGCAAAATATCCCACGATTTGTTGTGCAAACTTTTCTACCAGAAATCTTGCTCCGATGTAGCTTATTTTCTGAAAGGAAAAGGGCACTTAAAGGAGATCACTTTTTGATTTTTCAAGCGGTTTTCGTAATATCTGCAAAAAACCGGGGTAAAATGTCGGAAAAACGGAAAATATAAGAAATAATAGTTGACAAATATTACGACCTTCTTTTTTCCTGTGTACAACTTTTCTACCATTAATTTTACTCCAACTTTTAATGATAGTAATGTTTATAAAAGGTAATTTCACTAGTGAGGTACTTTAGAGAGGTCATTTTTTGATTTTCCCAAGAATTTTCCCAGCGAATGTGAAAAACCGGGAAAATCTGTACAACATTAAACGAATTTGATTAAAGAAAATATATAAAGTCTATTTAATTATTTTATTATAAAACATATATTATTGACAAAGCATCACTATCTACTGAATTCCTACCTACTAGCTACTACATATATAAGAGTTGTGAAATATTTTTTTGAGAGTGAATCGAACGGCTTTATGAATTATTGAATCTGATTAGTTTCGTTCCTTAAATGCATAAAATATGAATGTATACCCTTTTCGAAAACTATACTGATTAACTCATATACCGCAAAAACGAAAAATCCAAAAAAAGTTTTCTATTTTTCTAATTTTCTTTTTAATAAACGACTAAACACTGTTTCCTATACATTTTAAGAACTTTCTTTCCATTCAAAATACTAACGCTTCGGTTTTGATCGAGACTATCATTCCGTCCGGTAGTTTATACTGTTGTTCCTTGTTTTTTGAAAAAGTGGATATTTCTTTTTCAAAGTCCAAAGCACAGTAGCACATTTTTTCCTTAATTTCTCGTATTTCTTCCCAACTTTTTGATGTAGTAAAACTATAGCCACGATCGTTTAACTGTTTCATTAAATATTTGGTTATGTGCTGACCGCCGATTGGCATGCTACGCATAGCATGTCTCAATGGATATCCTTCATAAATGGGAACGACATGTGTTTGTTTGAATCCAGAATCTATTGACAAACCGGTGGTCTTTCCATTTCCGTACAATGGTAAAACCAATTTTGGAATCAACGCCGCATTGGGTACGTTGAATAATTCGAACATAATCTGTATATAAGTATCAAATTAGATCAATGAAAATTAAGAGGATCTTTGTAGAATTTGTGAAGCGCGGACAATTATACCTACTTACTTTTTTACATATTTACTTAACACATAGATAGGTACCTACTTAGTAAAGAGTAATGAATTAAGTAAATAACGTAACCGTAGTAGGATAAGCAGTGTCGGGTTTACCTCAGGTGCGTCCCTGAGGGAGACGATGTGAGCGTTTGCTTCCTCCCCACTAGATAAGTGGACTTACATTGGCATTTGGCATAGTCATTGGTTCAGAAGTAGATATAATAAATATATTATTTGTTAAAATTTTTTACATTCTGAGTGTAACGAAGAATTTATTGGTTTTACAAACAATTTTTTTTTACACTACAACAAAAATGTTTACCAGAAATCTTGGCCCAAAATGTACATGTGGCACCATTTCTGAAAGGAAATATTATTTGGATGGAACCTACTTAAAGAGGCCATTTTTTGATTTTCGAAGTGGTTCTCATAATATCTGGAAAAACTTGGGACAAAAAGTAAGAAAAACAGGAAATTTACGAAAATAATGCTTTTTATTATTTTTAATTGTGTTATTTATTGTAATTCAGTTAAACATATTTGTAGACTTGAAATTTGGACAGAAAACTTATATTTAACAATTTTCACGTGCAAAACTATAAAAACATTTGGGCTATATTTAAGTTATTTATAGACACTTTAATTGTATTAGTAATTTTTATTTGGTAGGCACTTTGTGGATAAAATTGTTAAACTAAACAGAAATGCTTTAAAATTGAATAGAAGGAGGAGGTTAATTATAAGTCGTACTTTGCGGTCAAAATAAAAAATTTAATTTAATTTAATGTTGTATATTTTTTTTATAAGAATTTTAATATCAAATTTTGACGAAAATTGTTTTAGTAAAAAATTATGTGGAACAAATCGAATTACTGATCCATACAAATTGTTTCAGTATAAAGTTATTTCACTGTAACATAAATATATATATTGTTGAAAAAGCAATTCTATTAACCAAACTCTGCTCAGAATCGTTTTTCATTAGCAATGATTAATTTTTGCTTACAGATATACATACAATTTCCCTCTATATCCTACCTTCTTAACTTCTTCCAACTTCTCATCTACAGCAGTGGTCTACCAATCGTGCTAAGTATGTCGGTCTTTTTTTCTCAATCATTAATATTAAATTTAATTATTTCGCCCCCCCTCTCCTAATCAATGTATGGAGACGCTCCTGGTTTATCTACAAGCAGAACAAGCAGATGATTAGAATGGCAACATTTTAAGGGTGTCTGCAAATATACCACTCGTATAAAAAGTACAAATAAATACATGTATATGAACATATGTTTTGAGATAACAATCAGTTTTTTTTTGATATCTTATGACTACGATTTTATAAATCTTTTTGAAAATTGAAAATATTTTATCTTTTTTAAGCCATTATCAATAAATTTCTAAGACAGCTACAAATGACTTCATGTATGTTAAAATGTTTCTCATTTCGAAATTTGGCCATCTTGGCTCTTAAAGTAACAGTGGTGTGTTGGGAATGTTTTAAGGTGGAGGGATGATATCAAAATAAATCCTCATGGCGATCTCATGGGAGGTTTATCCTACACGACCCCTCCCCCACCCCTTTACTAACATTTATAACTCAACATCAGGGCTCAGAAGTTTTCTATTAAATGGCACGTCTGTGTTTTTAAAATTACAACGTCCTAATTACGTTCGAACGCGTCTAGTATGTAAAGTTTAAATTGAAATTTACTATTTATTTTTTCATTAACTATTAAGAATATTGCTTACCTATTATAATAATAAACTATGAATATTTTGACACCTACCAATACAATTAAACATTTATAATTTTTTAATTTCATAACAGTTTTGATAATTTGCATTTGTACTTCCAGTTTGCATAAAATAACAATATATTATCTGTTTATGGAGGGGGGATCTATCTCCCATATCCTCCTCGAAATTACGCCTCTGTAAAGTAAAAATATTAAAACAACGTGATTTATCTCTGGCCAATTTGTATAAACTTTTGAATTTAATAAATAATGATTTAACTAACAACATATTTATATATTCTATTTTTTTTTGTTTTAAAAAAACAGAAGAAAAAACTGTATCATAATGATGAAAAGGTGGCAAATTTTCTACTGCTTGTATGTGGAAAATTGATTAATCTACTACTAAGTACAAGTATAGTATTTTGAATAATTTAGTTGATATCAGTGGTGTATTTATAAAGAAGATTATGAAGATATATTTCCTTCTGCTTCTTTAGTATCCATTATTTATATGACACCTTCTTAGTAATAGTTATATAGTTAGTAGTCAAAATATCAAACAAATCTGAACGTATTATACGTCTACATTTTTTGTTTAAAACGAAACTATATTAAGGAATACAATATTATGTACCTAATAGATAATATGGTATAGTATCTAGAATAATTTAGGGGGATTCAGACCACTAGTCTTCTTAACATTTTATAAACAAATCTTCTTCTTCTTCTTCAATTTGTTAACTTCTTCTAGATATGTTCCCCATACAACTATATCATTTACAAACATCATACATCTTGCACATTACTTTGTATTTCCTTCGTAACTTTATCTATTACAACAGAAAAAAGGTAAGGGCTCAAGGACAACTTGATGCACACCTAATTTAACCATAAATCATCAATTATTCCTTACACATATTTTACACCCATATTTGAATCTTCATACATATCATCTATAAAAATAATATACAATCTCGGAACTTCTTTTCACATTGACACGGTCTCGTGCACCACATTGCTCCCTCAACTGTACACACGGCTTCTTCCCCAACTGCTAAAACCCGGGATGTTAGATTATTTAAGTCCATTGAAAATAGTGTTAGAAGTCAGGTACAAGGCAGGTCAGTGGTAGAGCAATCATTCGGTAATTGTGAGCATTATTTTCCAGACGAGAACGGTTGTATCAACATTAGAAACTCTCTCGGCACTCTGTCATAGAACTTCTCTAAATCTAAAAAAGCCATACATAAGTTGTTTTTCTTTTTTTTACTTTTATATAATCTGTCTCAACAGAATTTTTAATCTATTATCGATTTCACTCGCATAAAACCAAACTGTATTTTATACATTGATGTCTCGCTTCTAATTTTCTTTTAAGATTCTGAGTGCAGTGAAGAATGTATTGGTTTTAATAAGATGTTTATTATTATTTTTTTTTTTATGTGAACACTTTTTCTACCAGAAAGCTTGCTCCAATGTATACGATGTAGACCCATTTCTGAAAGGAAATCTGATTAAAAAGGTACTTTAGGGAGATTATTTTTCGATTTTCCCAAGAGTTTTTCCAGAAAATACGAAAAACTGGAAAAATATGAAAAAACCAGGAAAAATGTAGGAGAATCGGGAAAATCGGAACAATATTAAACAAATACTGTGAAAGAAAATATATAATACCTATTTAATTTTTTTACCATAAAATGACATATATTGTTAACAAAGCATCACTATTAACTGAATTCTGCTCAAAATCGTTTTTTGGTAAGCAATGGCTTATTGTTGCTTGCAGGTATTCTTTAAATTTCCCCTATACCTTCCCAACATCACACTTACAACATAATTTTAGTAACCTTTTAGTAACTAATTGTAACCGATATCAAACAGTTTGTAACCCACAGTTTCCGAGAAATCCCAATTTTAAAATAAATTAAATTGGAGAATGTGATGAAACACCATACAATTATCAAATTCTAGTTTTTTCTTTAAGGTAAATATTACTTTTATCAGGTAAAATAAAAATTGTGTGAGTCAGTTGTGCACAAGAAAAAAAATTGTAATCGGTATTGTAGTAGTATATTTCGTACATTTTCCCGTTTTTTTCGGTTTTTCAAATTTGGTTTGTGTTGAAAAAAGGTAAGATAATGGATACTGGTGCAGCCTCTAGTATAGATGGGAGGTTGGGAAGGTAGGATATAGACAGGAATTTAATGTATGCAACGGTAAACTATTGCTTACGAAAAATTGATTCTGAGTGGAGCTCAGTTGATAGTGATGCTTTGTCAACAATATATATGTCATATTGTGGTAAAATAATTAAATAAACATTGTATATTTTATTTAATAAAATTTGTTTAATATTGTATCGATTTTTCCGGTTTTCCCATGTTTTTCCCCGGATTATCACATTTGCTTAGAAAACTTATGGGAAAATCGAAAAATGACCTCCTTAAAGTATTTTCCCAATCAAATTTACTTTCAAAAAAAGTGATTTTATTGTAAATCGGAGCAAAATTGCTGATAGAAAAGTTGTACACAGAACAAAAAAAAGGCCATAATATTTTTTATTTATATTTTACGTTTTTCCGACATTTTATCCCGGTTTTACCCAGTTTCTATGAAAACCAATTGAAAAATGATAAAAACGACCACCCTAAGCCATTGAAATAAATTTTCCTTTCGGAAAATGAGCTACACTTTTGATACATGGGAGTAAGATTTCTGGTAGAAAAGTTTGCTCAACAAATCGAGGAGTAATTTTCGATTATAATCGTCCGAGCAAGTGATAGCTAGGTCTCTAGGTACACTTAAAATACATTTGTTTTTCCCTATTTAGATAAAAGGGGAAAAAAAAGTGCAAACATCGAACCACGATCCACAAACCCATGACCCCCAGTTTGACAATACGTACTCATGATCATTCAACTACAATAAACGTATAGTCCATCGTATAGTACCATCCTTCTTAAATCGGCAATACACATATGTTCGAAAAAAAAAAAATTGATAAATTAGATTTGTTCCAAATAATTTTTTAATCAAATAATTTTCATCAAAATGTAGTATTAAAATTTCTTTATTAAAAAGAATACTAAATTGAACCCAATTTTTTTTTTACCACAAAGTAAGATTTAATAAGCTTCCTGTTAAATTTTCAAGTATTTCTCTTAAGTCTAACAATTTTACCAATACAAATTACCTACAAAACTTACAAAATTAAAATGTCTATAAATAGCTTAAAAATAGCTTAAATATTTTGAAAATTTTACCACGTCAAGAAAAAGCAAATTTAAGTTTTTTGTCCAAATTTCAAGTTTCTAAGAATATTTTTAACTAAATTACAACAAATAACAAAATTGATAAAATAATAAAAGCATTAATTTCGTATATTTCCCGTTTTTCTTACGTTTTATCCTGGTTTTTCCCAGATATTATGGAAATCACTTGGAAAATTAAAATATCCCCTTCCAAAAGTATCATTTGGACAACATTCTCTTTCAGAAATGGTGCCGCGCGTATATATCTGAAAAAGATTTATGGTCAAATTTTCGTACACAGGATAAAAAAAAAAAAAACAAAAAAATAAACATTTTTAGTAAAACCAACACATTCTTCGCTACACTGAATTTAAAATAGGTTTCAGCAAACAGTTAACTGCTGGCGTTAACTTAGCAGCGCAAAATTGAAAATTGGCCCACCAGTGAAAATAATGTCCAACAAAATTTGAAAGTTGTGAAACAATAAATCAACAAATTTTTTGTATGGGTAGGATTGATGTCTACTAATGCTGTGCTACGAAGTTCACTTGTGTATCTAAATCGTACTATGACGTTAATAAGATCTTAATAAAATTATAGCTCCCTGAAATGGAAATTGAATTTTCTCTCGGAAACTGTTTGGTTACAAACTGTTTGATGTCGGTTACAATTATTTACTTAAAGGTTCCTAAATTTTGAAATTGATCTGAAATTGATAGGACAAAGTCAGGTGACCAACTTCACAGACGTCCACTCGTCTGTACTTTTCCCTTCTATTAACACCTTATTATTGAACAAATCTTTTAACTAGCCTATACCTAGTTCCTCTAACATTTACCACACTTCCACTGGTACACTATATGGATCCATCGCTTTTTTAAATTTGTATTGCTTTCACAGCCCATTACACTTCCTTCTCTCTCATTAAACTTATCAGACCTTTGCTTAACGAAACACACCATACAATTTTTCTTGCTTACTGCTCATTCAGCCATTTTCAAAATACTCTTTTCATCTCTTTTATATCCATTCATTAATACCCGTCTATTTTCATTTTTTATACACCATACGTAGTTGAAATCCTTAGACCGTTTTTATCTAACCTTGGCTAATCGATAAACTTCTATTTCACCTTGCTTTACAGAGATGTTCCGGGTACCCAGCCATCGAGTCCTAACCGGGTACCCGATATCATATTCTGTACTCAACGACTACTCAGTACTCAGTACATGGCATTTGTATAAATTATTACTCGGTTAATACTTGGTACCCGGTTTGTTAATAATGTACCCGGAACACCTCGCTATTCCTTCGTTCCTGGTGTCTCATACAACTCTTCATCTATTTCTTTAACTTTGTTTTTCTTACCATTCTTTCAGCTTCCTTGAACATTCTTTAAAATCTCTTTTTTACTCTACCCAATCACCTTACTTCCTGTTCTGCTGCTAACTTTAAATTGTTTTTTCTTACTAGCTATAACTCTCTGAACTTCTTATTATGGATAAATAAAAACAAAATTTAACCTCCATAAGTTTTTTACGGTTTTCTATTGGATTATTAATTCCCTCGGTGTGTAAAATATTAAAATCTTCCGGTGGTACAAGCAAATTTTCGTAATACATATGGTACCAAATATTTTCCATAGCGTCCCAATCCTGTATGTCATCGTACACAATTGGACGGTTAATATCCAAAATGCCAATATTTTCTACGGCAAATTCACCAGCATACATCGCTCTCAGTCCGTATCCTGTAATATTCATCTAAACAAAATCAATAATTGATTTACCTAATTATAATCATATTATGCAGTCATGCAGACTCGTTATTGTTATTATTTTTTAATTAAATTATAAATAATTATTTCTGACTTGTTTCCGGGGTGTTCCGACTATAGTAGGGATAATTGCACGAGGAAAATCATCGCCAGCAAAACCAGCCTTCAGTAGATAAGAACCATTATCACATATTATCGTTGAACAGGCAGACGAAGTTTCTGGAAATTAAATAAAAATGTCCATATAGTATCGCAATGTTTTACAAAGTGTCAATATTACTGAACATCGCTTGTAATTTCGTTTTAAAAATAGTTACCTAAATAAAGGGTCACTTTAGATTAAATGAGCTTAAACTCGGGAATTATAATTGTTTTGTTACCACTATTAACAGAACATAGTAATGAAAACCTATCTACATAAAAAATTTTACTAAAAAAAAAAATGTTTTGATTATTCAATTATCTAATATTATAAGTTTAACACATGTTACCCAGTGCGATAAATAGGTTATTCTACTATTTTTGAAATGTTTTCATGCAGGAAAATAAATTTTACATTTTAAAAGAATAACATGTACACAGAATATATATATATTATAGGTTGTAATGGTATTAAATTATCATTATAATGCAGTTTATATAGCACTTTACGTTGTGGCGTGTCCAGAATTTTTAACGGGAAGGAATGTAGCAAATAAGAATCATAAAATAGTCTTCTCTACCAAATTCGATTATAGAACAGGCACTTCCTTGAAAGCGGGCGAGGGGTCGACCCCTCATAAGCCGTGTGATGTTCTTTTTTATTATATAAAATATCCATAATTCTTCAGTACAAATAAGTAAAAATGCAACTGATTCCAAATACCACAAAGATGATGAGAAAACTTATATTGCCTTTTCTTGATGTAGTAAAATTGTTGAGCAATTTATAGACATTTTATTTTGCGAATTTTATACGTAATTTTTATTTGATAGTTTGATATTTACTAGATAAATTATTAAACCAAACAGAAATTGAGAATTTAACATAAGGTTCATTAAAAGTCTTACTTCGTGGTAAAAAAAAACACTTTTAAATATTCATCGAAATGAAAACATTAATACAGAACATATTGTTTATCAAACCGTTTGCAAAACGCTGCTTAAATTAATAGTATTTTGGACTTGTTCATCTAACTTTTATTAATTATTATTATTATTTTTGTTATGCATATTATTATTATTTTAATTATTACTCATTTATGTGCAAAAATAAATTTAACTTTTAAAATGTACTGTTTTACTAAAATTGTACAATATATCTGCAGTCTTCTAAGCTAATATAAGTTGACATCAGACATAAAGGTTTTAGGTTTTTGTTTACCAAAGCAGTGATATTCAAGAGATTAAAAATGGCTAGCTCTCCCCCCCCCTCATGAAATTGATCTGAAGACGTCCCTGAGTAATACTATTAACCGAGCTCTGCCCAGAATCGTTTTTTGTTGGCAATATTTAAATTTGCTTAGGTACAGATATACATTAAATTTCCCTCAACATCCTACCTTCCCAACTTCTCATCTATAACAGTGGTCCACCTATGGTGCAAAGTCTTTTTTTCATATCAATCATTAACATTAAATTTAATTATTTCGCCCCCTCCTCTGATAGTCAAGGTCTGGAAATGTTCCTGTTATGGGAATTGATAATTTAAAAGCCGGATTTAAAAAATTATATTTCTAATAGTCTAATCAATACGTCAAACTTTTCTTCTAAAATTTAGAATCTAAATTATTTATATTCTTTTGTATTTTTAAACCATTGGGAGGGATATAGCCCCTAACCTTCCCTCTGCGTATGTCACTGATTACGTGTAACTATAAGTCAGTACTTCACAAACTTTTTCGACTTATGACTTCCTGTTTGAACTAAGGATTTCTCAAAGCGTTTCTTTAATTCATTGTAATCAAAAAACTTATTCTGACCGGAGTTATATTAGTCATGGTGTTTATCACATGTGTAGTTAAGGTAACCAAGGTAAATAAAATTGACGTATCAATAATTATTGACAGTTTTTTTTTTAATTTTAAAAATAAAGTATTGATTTATTAATATTTTTTTCTTTTAAATATCCGAACAACTTTTCTACTAGAAATTTTGCCCCGATGATTTCAATGATAGCAATTTTTCTGAGAGGAAATCTGAACAGAGTAGTACAATGTAAGTACAGGTCATTTTTTAATATTCCTAGGAGTTTTCCCAGTAAATGGGAAAAAACGTAGGTAAAACGGGAAAATCGGTACAATATCAAACAAATATTATTAAAGAAAATATATAATGCATATTATGTAATTATTTTACCATAATATAACATATAATTGTTGACAAAGCCTAACTATTAACCAACTCCGCTCAGAATTTCTTTCGTTAGCAATGGTTAATACTTTGTATATACATTAAAATTTCTCTTCCATGCACCTTCCTAACTTCTTACTATAACAGTGAACCACCAACGTGTCAAGTATGACCGTATTTTTGGCTATGGAAATCTATTAACTATCAATCGAACTATGTCAATTGAATTATAATTGAAAAGTGTGTCTACTGAAATCGGTTGTATTTTAGGTCTCGATTCAGAGGGATGAAATGTTTTAAATGCATGAATATATTCGCACATATAAATTGTTTTATTTGTAAATTCAATAACTTGTTTGATACCTAAACTTTAAAAATTGAAGTTTTTAAATAATATTTTTGTATATTATTGTTTTTTTATACATATATGAAACTAGAATAATGGATATTGTATCGGGTTCGAATCCGATCTTCTGTGAACAAATTGTTTGTATTTTAGATTCGAAGTGTATAGAGGGATTTATTGATTTTATTATGGTGTGTCTGTGAAAAACTTTTTTAAAAGAAATTTTGCTCTGAAGTATCAAGTGTAGCATCTTTTTTGAAAGGTAATTATTTTTAGTTGATATGAGGGTCATTTTTTAAATTTTTTTAAGGGATTTTTAAAATAATTAGGAAAAACCCAAAAGAAAATTATAGGTAAAACGGCAAATGTTTATATGCTGCGCGGTTACATTACGGTTTTTATTGTTTTCTACTAAAAGTACTACTCCAATCGAAAAACGATAAGAAAACCTTTTTTGTTGCATTTTCAATAAAATCCTTGAATAATTTATTAATTTTTTGATTTTTTCTGTAATTTGTACAATAATTTTAACGAAAAATACGTAGAAAGAACGGTCAAATTTACGAATATAATTATTTTATTATTTTAAATTTTATTTTTAATGTAATTTAGTTTGAAAATCAAATTATGACGAAAATCGTAAATTGTATAGTCTGTAAAAACATATGTAATGGAACTTCGTTCCGAATCATTTTTTGTTAGCAATGGTTTATTGTTGGTATAAATTAAATAATTTTATGTATCCCACGTTGCCAATTACCCAACTACAACACTGGCTGCACTTGTCCACAGTATCAGCTCTTTTTTTTTTATTTAGTAGGTATTTATTAATGAAATTATATGACATAAGAGAAATGTTTGAAAATTTAACACAAGATACATTGTAAGTTGTACTTAATAGTCTAAAAAGTAAATTTGAATTTAAAGTATTAGTTTTTTTTTTTCATAAGCGTTTTAAGAACATATTTTGTCTAAAATCGTAAAAATTATGGCATTTCAAAATATATCTTACCGAACTTTATTGCGAATCGTTTTTCGTTAGCAATGGTTTATTATTGTTTACAGATACAAATTAAAGAACTTTATGTATCTTACATTGCTAGCTATTCACCGACTACAGTGGCTGTATTTGTTTCCATAATCAGTTCTTCTTTTTATTAACATTAGCCATGACTAATCCATGACTAATCCACCGGTCAAAATATTCAAATTTAAAAATTTATAAAAACGTTTTTCTAAATTTGTCGATGATAGTGGGTACACAACTAGTTTATTAATTTACGTCATAGAATTATTTTAAATTATTTTACATTTTAACTTTAATAAGTTAAAATGTAAAATAAATGTCCAATAATTTTTTTTGGCTGTCATCACTAATGTTTGTGAAGTATATAAAATATATTTTGTGATATTATTGCTATTAAAGTACGAAATGTGGCTATTAAATAACGAGACTGCTCGCCTAGAGGGCGCCTTAGATGGGTAGTGAAAAAAACGAGTAATGCGTTGGGTATCTAAATATCTTATCTATACACGTACCAAAACACGTTTTCGCCACTATTATAGTACTACTGCACAAATGCAGTTAGAGGTTTGAAACGAACGTGTTTTTTTCTCATGTCGAAAACCATGTGTGACGAAAAACATGAGCAACGGATAAACGTACAATTTTCTCGTGAAACTAAAAAAAACTCCAACTGAGTGCTACAAATTGTTAAAAGAAGCCTATAGTGAGGATTTCCTATCTCGGGCGCGTGTTTTTGAGTGGCATAAATTATTTTCTGAAGGTCGAGAGTGCACCGGAATCCAATTCAGTCGTAATCCAAATTCAAAACCGTTTTCTTCGATATCAACGGCATCGTGATGACAGAATGGGTTCCAGAGGGTCAAACTGTGAACTAACATTACTATTTGACAGTTTTGGCAACATTGCGCGAATGAGTTCGTAAGAAACGGTCGATATTGTGGAAAAACAAGTCGTGGATCTTGCACCAGGATAAAGCGTGAAGCGTTATTTGGCCGCTTAAGGCACTCCAGTACTCGAACACGCGTCTTACTCACCCGACTTGGCACCCTGCGACTTTTATTTGTTTCCGAAGATAAAGTCTGCCTTAAAAGGAATCCGGTTTGAGTCGATGGAAGAGGTGAAACAAAAATCGGCGGAACTCCTGAATGGTCTTACGAAAACAGACTTCCAGCACTGCCTCGAGCAATGGAAGAAACAAATGAAACGGTGTGTGGCGAGGGGAGGGGAGTATATTTAAAGGGAGCATTTGAATGTAGAATAACTTTTATAATAAAACACTTTTTCGTAACCAGTCTCGTTGTTTAATAGCCACACCTCGTAATTTATTTTATTAGTAGTACCTAATACAGCATACCTATTCAGGTTGAATCAATTTTATAATTTATAATTTGAGCTAATTTTTTTTTAGAAAATAAAATGTTATCTATCAATTTACTTAAATTATTTAATATTTTAACTTTGTTTATATTATTTGAGGACCTATATGGACGTTTCAAAATGTTGGTTTATTTATAAAAATGGTTTTCTAAATTAATAATTTTTGATACTTTGGTTTGGATATTTTTAAAAATCGGAGTTGTCCT